TATAACGAACAATCAATAATACTCGCATCGGTGCTAGGCCGAGAAAGGTCTTGCCAAGCCGTTCAAACCTCATGCATGACACATGGAGAAGACGGGGAAGGGCTGTCGTAGAGTGCAAAGGCCAAATATGCAATGTGTGAACCTTGTACAAAGTAAATGCCGGAAGAAGAACTGGAAGTTGAAGCCAAAAGTGCATAACTTGCTGGGCACACTCGGGAGCCGCCAAAAGGTTGAGCGGAACGGGCTTGGAGCCTTTTCGAAGTGCCATCTGAGTCGCACCACGCGAACCTCTATGGTCTGTAAAGCAACAGCCATCGATGAACACCACCTGTAATCCTATGCTTCACCTTATAAGTCCTTGCCTTTCAGTGAGAGACTCGCCCCATGGGCTGTAAAACGGGAAGGGTTCATACATCCATGCCATGCCATTCCTGATGCGTCGAAAGTGATATGATACAGTGCCAGATGTGGGATCATGTGCTTGCAAGTTGCAAAGCAAGTGAGTATCTAGGGCAAGGTGCGCTTGTCACTGAGAACGTTTAGGCCGTCGGTGACGAGGTCATCCAGCTGTCCTTCAACTTCTGTATGCGCCAGTCGACCTCTTGGCCTATGCTTTCCCATTCCCGTCTCGGCGAACCAGAACTGGGATGCCTTGCTTTGAAGGCATCAAGTGGTGTCGCTTCCCGTGACTGCTGTGTGAGTCCCCGACCTGATCCATGCACCTGGGAAGCAGGCGTTGAAGGCAGCGATTTTCCAATGCCGTAGCTTCGCTTCGCTGATGCTGTGGAGTCCGAGGACAAGCCGCCTGGAGAGGATGGATTGGCACCACGCGAACTTCCTGCTGATCGCGCTGCGGCGATTGCATTCCGAAGAGGCGATTCACCGCCAGGGCTCATTCTTGCTGGCGTTGCCGGGGAGAACCCACGCTTGCCGGGCGAGATCGGCCCCGGCAATGAAACAGAAGGTCGAGTTTTGGGAGAGCTTTTGACAGGCATGGACACCGAGCGAAGGGGTCGTCGCTGAGCAGGCTTTGGCGCAACCACACTGATCTCAATCAGCGACGTGGCGATGTTGGCGACGCAGATGATGTATGCGACCCATCCTGAAGCCACACAGCGTGTCAGTTTGCATTTTTCTGGGTGCACCAGATGACTGACCCAAATAGTAAAGCGCCGAGCTTACGAACACGTCAAGATCATTGCCGATCCATCTATAAGTGACCGACAAGGCAGCCCTAGCCAAGTTCACCAGGTGTTGCAGTGAGAGTGAGCAGACATTTTGAAGATTCAAAGTGCGTGAGCATGTATTGCACCCACCAATAGGACTTTTTCACAAAGGCCAATCTCGGAAGCAATGCTAGTATGGCGAGCAGTATCGCGTTGTCCCGGAGCTGCTTTCGGGGTGTCGCCATGATGAGGAATTCAGGCCGTTCAACGAAAGTGGCATCGATCCCGAGTCCGAGGCAAGGCGCACAATTGAATGGTCGGCAGATGCGACTACTCAGAGACTGCAATGATCTTGAGATTGACGTAGACAGCCTTGTTATGAGCACACAATAGGAGTTGTATCGACTTTGGCTGGAATTTAAGTGACATCACGAAAGTCGAAGCTTTCTGATGATGGTTTTAACGCTCGCACAGATATGCGAAAAACCCCATCAAAACAAAAAGATCCCGTGTTTCACTGTAAATTCAGAGAAACATTTGGCTTAATCACGGGAAACTCCAAATTATGCGTTGATTGTGCTTGGGGTGTTGCGGTGGACGCTTCCTAAAAGTCCAACGTCCCCAGTCGGAAGCAGCGCATTTTTTCAGGCGCTTGTGTCATAGACTCGTGGTACATGTAATGAAGCAAATGGCTTGGAATCCAAGTCTGACGTAGTAGATCTCGGCTCAAGTTGCAATCATTTGCATTACAGGCCATCGCATCATGCATCAATACAACAGCTTCGGCACGGATGCCGATCACTAGTAGAAATGCTGCATGCAGCACGTCACTCAGAGATACCCGGTAGAAATGGCGGACTGAGCGTGCAGTCATCGGGTTGCAAGTTTCCATGCATATTAAGCGCCAAAGCTCAGCGCCGCCAGTTACGGCCTTGATGCCCTATGCAACTCCACGTTCGTACTTATTTCGCTTGAATTGGTCGATAGTGCCTTCTGACTTCTCTTCCTGCGCCTCTTCGGTCACCGTCACTGCACGCGATCGCCGAGACCGTCCGCTTTTAGCCTTTTCGCCTTTATATTTAACCTTGTCTCGTCCGTGGCGATGTCTTTGGGGATGGTGATTATGCCCGCATTCGTCCTGCGTGTGCCCCTCCTCACTGCGAGTCTTTTGTGCTTCTGAGTGCGATATCGCTCGCTTCGCTTTGCTTTTTGCGCTCAAGTGGACTCCTGAGTATCCCGAGCTAGTTGATGATGTCTCGCTAGCTGAGTCTGTGTCATCATCAGAACTCGAGTGGTCTGAGCCGGAGGACGAGTCGGACGAGGATGACTCGTCGAATGCTCGCGGCTTGTGATAAATGCAGCAGACTGTCCCAGACGAGATGTTGTGTCAATGATCCCAGATTAACTTATCAGAAGTGCAAGATGCCAAATCCTCACGCTTGCTCTTCTTCTTTCCCATCCCTTCATTATCGATGGTTCCCTCGGTCCAAACGACTCGTCTGCCACTGCGCGGTCGTATCCGCCCAGCTTCGCCGCCAGCCCCCCTCAAGATGAGTCTGCCCACGGTAGGTCCCTGCGATGAGCCTTCGCCATTGTCATTTTCTTGTTCAGACGTTGGTGTTTCGTTAATCGTCATTGTCCGCGAGCCGTGGGAGTCGAGCCGACTCGAAGGACCGCCACCTCTCATGCGTGTTGTCATGTTGGAATTAATGTTCAATTCAGCAATTCGAGAGACCGTCTGTGAGGACTTGAGAAACTTGTCAGGCCATACAAAGAGAAGCACTCTTCAAATGGATAAAGTGTAACCCAGTGTACTTTCGGCCACTACGATTTCGAGAGAAACATCATGTGATATGAAGATGTTTAACATCATGCTTGAGGCATGTACGAAGCGTCAGGCGTGAACCCGTAATATATTTTACTCCGAGTTCGGGTGACGCAAAGTGATTTCGTCCACACTCCCAAAAATGTCACCACTCCTGCCGCAATCTTTCCAAAAATCACGAACTAATGGTCTACCGCGCCGGAGTTCACGCATAAACGTTACTTTTTGCGTCTCGTCTATTATATGGTCGAAGACTCGCCTTCATCGGTCTGGAATCTGGCCATGGATCTGTCATCTGGCATGCCGTTGCACACGCAATGAAAGACTATTATGGAAACTGCATTCTTTCAAGTGTCACAAAACGAGAACAAGAGACTGAGAATGGCGCCTGTTTCGTATGTACGGTGTGTCTGGTAATGCTGCTAGTGAATGCGGGACCACCTCGGTGCCGAGGGACCGACGTCGACGATGCAACCTTAGGCATCGACGAGCTTGCCTTCTTCTGGGACTACTGAGTCCCGCGTGTCCTTATCCTTCTTGCTCGCCTCCTCCTGCTGCTGCTGTTGCTGCTGTGCGCCACGGGTGCTCTTCGAGGGCTTCCGTGCATAGTACTCTTTGATAACCTTGGGACTGATGCGGTTGAGCATCTCCTTCGGCATGATGCGCAGCAAGCTCCATGCAATGTCGAGCGAGTCGAAAATGGTACGCGTCTCGTATGCACCTTGCGCCACGAATTGATGCTCAAACTTGTCCAAGAACTCGAGCGACAGCTTGTCTTCTGCACTCAGCGCCTCCTCACCGACGACAGCCTTCATCGCAGCAGCGTCGCGACCAATGGCGTAGTTTGCGTATAGCTGGTTCGACACATCACCGTGGTCTCCTCGCGTGTGCTTGGCTCCGATGGCGCTCTTCATTAGGCGCGAAAGAGACGGGAGCACGTTGATTGGCGGGTAGATCTGCCGGTTGTGGAGCTGCCGGTCGACGTAGATCTGGCCCTCCGTAATGTAGCCCGTCAAATCGGGAATCGGGTGGGTCATGTCTGGAGGCAAAAAAATGTTGAGTCAGTGAGCAATGACAGTGCTAGCATGTAACTAGAGCACTGGTGCGTACCATCGTTGGGCATGGTAAGAATCGGAATCTGTGTGATTGAACCATTCCGCCCTTGGACACGGCCGGCACGCTCATAAATGGTAGACAAGTCCGTGTACCTGTTATTAAAACGAACGTCAGTTATTAAGACAGGTGTCGGGTAGTAACCCCAAGGTGCACATCACGGCTTTAGCGAAGACGTACATGTAACCGGGGTAGCCACGACGACCTGGGACCTCTTCACGAGCAGCGGATACTTCACGCAGGGCATCGGCGTACGAGGTCATGTCGGTGAGCACGACAAGAACGTGCTTTTCGAGTTGGTATGCGTAATATTCTGCAGTTGTCAACGCCAATCTTGGTGTAATGATACGTTCGATTCTGGAAGTGGACGTGAATGAGGCTTTTGCTTTCAGAGCCGATGCGATGACACAAGCTCCCAAGTTTACTCACGTGGGGTCGTTGGCCAAGTTGAGGAAGAGAGTGACACGATCCAGCGAGCCATTGCTCTCGAAGTCGTTCTTGAAGAAGCGAGCTGTCTCCATGTTGACACCCATAGCTGCAAAGACGATGGAGAAGTTGTCCTCATGGCCATCATGGACACCCTTTTGGGCACCAGGACGCTTGACAAGACCAGCTTGACGGCAAATTTGCGCGGCAATCTGTGGCGCGTAAAAGGAACAGTCGCTGTCAGTCACATGCACAGGGGGTTAATCGAATGTGGCCTGAAGCAACGCACCTCATTGTGCGGAAGACCCGCAGCCGAAAAGATGGGGATCTTTTGACCACGGGCAATGGAGTTCATCGTGTCGATCGTCGAGATTCCAGTCTGAATCATCTCCTCGGGGTAAACGCGGGAGAACGGGTTGATGGGAGAGCCTGTCAAGTAATGTTCAAAAGTTTAGGTCAGACATGCACATTTTGGCAACGGGTTGATGACTCAATACCCACCATTGATGTCAAGGTAGTCCTCTGCAAAGACCTTTGGTCCCTTGTCCACCGGTGCGCCTGACCCATTGAAGATTCTACCCAGCATGTCCTCTGAGACTGGCAGCTTCATGGATGAACCGGTGAATTCGATGTGTGTGTCTTTCACATCGATGCCACTGGTGCCCTCGAAAACCTGTACGATCGCCTTGTCACCCGAGACTTCGAGGACTTGGCCACCCCTCTTGCTGCCATCCGGCAGGGTGAGGCTGACGATCTCATTGTAACTGGGGAAGCGAACCTTATCGAGGACGACGAGGGGACCATTGATGGCGCTAACGGTGCGGTAATCGAGACGTGGATCGACTGAGTAGTTCTTGACGGCAGCTTTTGCATTGAGGGCAAAGAGCTCCTGGTCGCTCATGCGTGGGTCCGCCATTTGTGCAAGATGGTCAGCGTTGTTCGCTATTTGAGTTGTCACAGTTGGGGACGTCCGAATGGATGCGCCTCGTTTCTATTGCCCGCGACAAGCAAGCGCTGGAGCAATTGTGTTGATGCACTGCCCGCTGCTGGTCCCAGGGAAGTTTGCTGCCCTGCTTATGGCGACCGTAGCCCAACTCAAGTCTAAGGATGGTATCTATGCTACTGGAGCGGTATCCATTCCACTACTGGTTTTAGGGACAGGGGGATGGCTACGACGACTTGGGGATGAGGCCTGAGGGAGAGCCTGAGAGCGTGCAGCAGAGAATCCGCGGGCGGCCAGTAGAGTGTGATGTTCCGCTGTCCTTCCACCCAAGAGCGCATCAACCACAACGAGACCTAATTGCACTCTCTGTCACCAACCCTAAATCCGCATTCCGAAGACCAAGACATGTATTGCCGAGTTGGGAGGAGAACAATCCAGATTCCGGACAAGCCGACGTGATTCAATTCGCTCTTCGTCGAAAGATGGAACCGAGCAGACGCTGGGATGCAGCAGCACCGCAAGAGGCCTTGAGCGGTGAGAGGCAGCGTGATCATTGGACCTTCCGCACCAAACCTTGAACTATATAGGACCGGCACGAAGGGAATGGCGATGCACTCGTAGCTGATTGGCGGGCAAAGTTCATGGCGTTCACGGTGCCGTGCGAGCTGCCACGATGCATGACAGCCGCCCGCAACCCATCTCTATCAAGTCCATTGTCTACGAGCATATTCCAGTATCTGCATACAAGCGGCCGCTCAATCTTTGTACGGTGTAGCTCATGCAACTGATATCATTCAAAAATGATCGGCAGCTACGCTTCATCCTCGGCCGCAGCAGCAGCAGCGAATGCTCACGCTTGTGCCCGTCGATCATCATCGAATCACACAACCGCAAGCACTACAGCCAGCAGAGCAGCACACCTCTCCTTCCGTACGCTCATTCCCTGGGTGCACGATCCGCCAAATTTTTCCACCAGCGATGTCGTCCTCAATCCAGAATACGATCTCGGGGGCGGGATCGGCGAGAACGACCTGCTTGAACTTCGTCCGAGGGATCCTAGCCGTGTGAAATTCCCGGATCATGCAGGGGCTGGTCCGGGTACAGGCGGTACTGCTGCACGAGACGACAGCCGGCGGGATGATGACGAGCGGGTGGCGAAGAAGCGAAAGAAATCGCATCCCAAAGCGTTCCTTTTCAGACTCAACCATGCCGTTGCTGATACCGATGCCATTGTCAAGCATCCGCAGCTACAGATATCTGTATCACGGGCCGTTGCCACTGCTTTTGGTTTCCAGAGTCGCGTCGAAGTGGTCCTGTCCAAAGTGAGTAGATAAGTGAACACCACCAGAACCCCATCCCAAGCACCGCCATGTCTGACATCACTCGCACCGTGCCAGGTTCCCCTTGAGCCTCATGTCATCTCGCATGTCGAGCTCGATTTCCGTGACCAGTATGTCGGCCGGGCAGACATGTGGCGCATCGCTTTGATGCTTGAAGATACTTGCGTCTACGTGGGGCAAAGGATCACTCTTGCCGGCTCGGTGCGCGCGACGATCGGTCGCATCTTTGTTCGCGAGAAAAAAGTGACATCAGGTTACGTCTCTGCAGCAACCAAGACGATCTTCCGGTCCGAGTCAGCCAAGTGCAATATCTTCATCCAGATGGCGAAAGAGATGTGGGAATTCGACGAGGATGGGGAACTTTACTATGAGAAGGCGGTCCAGGGTTTCATTCCGGAGCTCGTGCGACGGTGGAAGGACGTACCGACAAACCATGTCTGCAGCGTCATTCTTTTCGCCCGAGTGCATTACGAAGACTCGGAACTGCACATGCTGGAAGGCTGGCCAATGCGGCGAGATCCTCAAGGGCGTTCGTACGTCGATTACTACAAAGTCGTTGTCGATCTCGAGAATAACGTTGATTGGAATGAGGTCATGGAGATCCTCAAGGAGGAGTTCTTCCGCTTTCAGCATGACATTTTGCTCGTTCGGAGACCCGTCGCTGGCCCCTCGGCGCCTGAAGAAGAGACACACGCCGAACTCATCCGCGACCGCAATTTGGTCGCCGGCCGTCTATCGTACTCGCACGAGGGCAACATTCTCGAAGCGATCAATCTGGCCCTCAACCCATTCGATGAGCACTACATTGACCGGGATCTGAATCGCACCGGCCTGAGTATCGCGGTCGTCACTGCCGGCACGGGGCGTTTTGAGGTTGACAAGAATTTACTGCGGGTCACGACGGAGCGCATGATAGAAAATGGAATCGGCCTCGACCTTGTATGCCTCACCAAGATGCCGTTGCACTCGGTTCCGCTTTTCCACTTCAAGAGTCATGTCCCAGAGCCACCGAACGCTGGGGCTGCTGATTCAACAGCCTCTTCGTTCGGTCGTTCGGCGGCACAGAAAACTAAGCGAGGAACAGCACCAGTTACCCCCGCTTCATCGTCTATCGCTCCTGATCCACTTTACTTTGATGACCCGAGCAGGGCTGCAGAAGAAGAGGTTTCATTCTACGCGATGCCTCATTGGATCGATTGCTCGTTCTATAACTTGCAGCAGGACAAGCCTTTCCGCGCCGACAGATTCGTACCCCGCTGCAAGATGTATGACATTCAGATGATGGGTATCATGGAGAACCAGATCTCCGACATTAGTATCCCTTACCTCGACATGCGGACGGTTCGTACGGGAGTGACAGGGACGACGGCAGGTAACAGTGGCAAGGAGTCAAGCTCCTTCTTCATCCTTGTCAACAGCGTACCCTCATGCGAACCGTCGATGCAGTCGATCGGCTTAAGCAATTTGATGGGCGACCGGGGCTATTCAGCAGATCCCACATATTTTGATGGCCTCTCACCCAAAGAGCAACGAAGGCGAGCACGCGAGCAGTTTGACCGATCTATGCTTGCCGACGTACCCCCTGCGCCCTCATCTCTTGCCGCCCGCATGCTGCCCCGACCTTCGAGAACTCAGCTGAAATATTCCGAGCACGCCGGAGCGGCCAAATCACTTTCCTCCGAGCACGACAAAGCCGATTCAAAAGCAGCGGGCTCAAGTTTCCAGCACGGACCGATGAGAAATCCTCTCTCGCCGCAGCGGCCATCCTTGCACGAGACCAGATCCAAGTCGAGCATCCGCGGATCACAGCTTGCGCAAGGGTCTCAGAGCTCCTCCTTGCGGTCACGCGACAATGACAGCATACCTCCTTCCCCGGCAGTTAGAGCCAAGCAACGGTTTTCTTACGCTGACACTTCGTCCGAGTACGATGACACTGATGCAGCATCAACAGCGGCGGTACGAAAGGTTTCTTGGCCGACTTCACGCGTCGGCTCCATCAAGTCTCTCAACACGTTGAACCGCGGCATTTCCCAGCTGGCACCACCTGGAAAAGCCCATGCATCACTCGCGACAGTCAAGGCGCAAGTGGAAGACGTAACTGCTGCGCATATAACCAGTCCGAGTCTCTCCAGTGGCGCATCGATTGACTCGAAATCAAGAGGGACAACGGGACACGCACGCAAGGCATCGATCGACGGCAAGAGCCCTTATCGCCTGTCTGCTCAGTGGATTTGGACATCTTTGCGTGGCAAGCCACAATCAGCTGGTCTCGAACAGTCAATTAGCGGCGGTAGCAAAGCAGGAGATAGCCGTGAACGTGATGCAACGCCCATGTCATCTGCAGCTGCCTCACGGCGCATTCAGGAGATGTTGGGCAGCACATCCCGGTCCGCATCTCCCGCTCGACCATCTGCACCGCGGATAGTGGCGTCCGGCGACTACGCTGAGGCGAAGCGAGCAAAAGATGAATCCTTTCAAGAAGGCGAGGGCTCTGACCAGCATGTACCGATTTCAATCCCAACACAAGCCACGAGAAGTTCGCTGCAGTCAGACGTATCTGTCGAAGCAAAGATGATGCACGAGGCCCAAGCTTACGAGCAACGTCTTGAAGACGAGGAGGCGCGAATGCGATATGCGCAGAGGGCACTCATCGAGAAGCAAACGGTGGTGAACCCGTCCAATCCAAGCCGAGCCGTGCAGAATAGCTCGACTCAGCTGCTGCGATGGCAGCACCTGTTTCCACGACGTCTCAATCGCCACGCCGTCAAATGGCGCAGTATGACCACCCCTGCTTGCCTACCCCTGACGACCTTGCACTTACCCTCTGCGGCTGATCTCGCATCCCAATGGCAAGAGTACCCACACACCACGTCCGTCTCCTCCGAGACGCAGTCGTTCTTGCTGAAGAGAATGTCAAGCACCCACCCGGCCCTCGCTGTCCTTCGCGAAATGGTCTTTCAGCGACTGGCCCAGGGCTTTCAATTCATCGTGCCGGCTACTAATCGTGGCACACTCGCCACTTTCTCGCAACGCCTTCTTGACCCTCGGCGCTTCATGCTTCGACACCCGTCAGAATCATTCCAGCCGGGAATCGTGTCCTCGGGCAATCCGATCTTCTTGACTTTGTCGAATCAGATCCACAGGATCGCTTATGATCGATCAAGCGGGGCGATTAATGTTAAGCGATACTTGCGAAAGATTACCTACGATACCACGCCGCTTGACTATCAATGCTGCGTTTGGCCACGTCACTTGCCGGGCTACCAAAACACCGCCGCTCAATTCAGCTATCCCAGCTCGACAGAGTACAATTGGACATACCTCGACTCGCTTGTCTCTGGTTTTGTGGACGAGAAGTTCATTGACCCGCTGCGATATTGGCGCACGCGATTCGTTCTCGTGCCCACAGAAGGCCATGCACCAAGCATGCGAGCGCCAACTGGCGAGTACCTAAGCGATGAGGAAGTCCGCCTACTGGGCACCGATAAGCTGGCGGATCTCTTCTATCGGGCACGCTATCGTAGGAGCTCGGACGACCAGCAGCCGCTCCGCTTCCTACCAACTTCGCTGGACCCGGCGCAGAGTGTACACGATGAAGCATTCATAGAGCAACTGAAAGCGGTGAATGCTGGCGTGCGCAATGGGAGTGCAACGTCGCACGGCAATTCAAAAACATCTCGTCTCCTTAGCAATACCCCGCTTGAAGACTTGGTTCAAGAAATGCGAGCGGAGGGTGGCGTCAAGATCGAGAATCGTATGTGGCACCGAGTGCTCTACCCAGACACATTTGTTGGTGCAGAATTCGTAACCTGGTTGTGCTGCACATTTTCGGATGTCAAGTCGCGAGAAGAGGCAGTCGATTGGGGAATCAAACTGCAAGAGGATGACCTCTTTGATCACGTCCGAGGCGCGCATGGTTTCTTGGACGGACACTACTTTGTAAGTCGTTTTCCCTTGCAGCTGAACCATCGCCATTGTTCTCACATGTTTATGCTTTGCAGTATTGCCTCAAAGGAAAGTACGCCGCAGGGAGGGAGAGCAAGGTGAAGCCGAAATTGTTTAAGAAAGCGGGGAATGGCGACAGCACCGTTCCAAAAGTGGTACAGACACCGCCAGCTCGTCGGAAGAAGATCACAATGAGTAGATCAACGATTATTGACTTAGATCCTGGTCGCAAGAGCGATCGGGCCGAAGTCGCGATCTTGCATCACGACATCGCGCACAATCCTGGTGGGTCAATAATTGATATGAAAATGAAGAGAGAATGCATACTGACGTGTGCATTCGACTGCAGCAAACGGTTTCAACTTCCAGATCCACTGGATGGGAACGACATCGCGCTTCATCGAGGATCTCGTGCAAAATTGGACGCGAGCGGTGGAACGTTACGGTCTTCGCTTAATTGAAGCACCCATCGGTCAGATCAAAGATGTGTCCCTGCACAACCCGTTTCAAGCTCCAATCCAGATTCCTTTGGCGCTTCCACCCCCGCCGCTACACACATATGCGCATCGCCTTCCGGGACACACGTTGCCGCAGCAATACTTCGAGTTCATCCTGCTCAGGATTTTCGGCTTCATCCTCGACCAGGAGGCTAGCAGCCGCTACCCGCAAGACATTACGATCACATATTCTTCGCGGCCATCCAACTTTGATCACTCTCAATTCGTCCATCGGTCCGGTGTGGCTTTCGTTCAAGTGCTTGGCTCCTCTCAGGGCTTTCTCTGGTCAGTCCGTCCGCTCTTATCCAATGCACCACAATCCATTCTGACCTCCTAGGCTCCTGTGTTTTCAGGCTCAACAATCGGCTCTACACGTCGCATGCGGCTTCCATTTCTGGACGCTACCAGTCCAGCAAGAGGGAGCAGACGCAGAATCAACTCGATGCAGAGGCGCTGCGCGTAAAATTTGAGGGTTTCTGCAGGAATGCAGAGGCTCTGGAAGAGTTCTACCGCCACCTGCTTGTGGCCATCTTCCAAGAAAGTGAGCCAGTCCCAGACAATGCCCCTGTGCAGGGCTGAATGAAAAGATGCAACGATGTACTTTCGGTGGAACCATAGAGATTGTTGCGACAGTTCAGAAGCTACGGAGACACGGAACAGTAACATGTGTCGCAAGGGTGTTTCTTTTTAGAGCTACCTATACGCGAAAACTGCGATTAGCAGAATGCTCTCTTGCACGCCTTCGAGGTGAAACGTGAAGGCTTGTGGCGTTCTCAACGTTGTTTGACTTTTCGCCGAGGGATGCGGTAGGCGCAGACAATGATGCCGAAGTCCCTTTACTTCGCATCTGTTCTCCTGCTACAGGAATACTTGATGGTACAACGTTCGCACTCTTTATGCCCAAGACAGTTCTCTGCTTCTTTGCCGTATGCGAGGCATCGGTTGCAGCGTCGGGAAGCGCAGGATTGCGTTTGGCTGGACTCTTGCGGCTTGCCTCTGCCGCTGTCGCCAACTGCTGTTGCTGTTGAAGCTTCTTCTGCTTCTTGATGAAAGCCGAAGCGCTCATTCCGGGTGGAGCGAGCGGGCGCCAAGCTTTAGTGGTGCTGAAGACGCCCCAAGGGGACGAGTCCGCCAGCGCTTTCTGCTGCTCCTCTAGATCGGCGGCCGCTTGGCGCGCTGCAGCTTTAGTGCTGCTCGATTTGGCGCGATGCACCTGCTCATGAACTGTCTCGTTAATGGCGCACAGCTCATCGAGTGGTGTCGAGGTGCCTTCGTCGTCGCTGCTAGCATTCTCGCTGCCACTAACTTCCCCACTACCGCTGCCATTGGTGTCATCACCTATGACATGCAATGGAGGACGCTGAAGCTTGGCAGAGGCAGTAAGGACACTGCTCGCGATGTTGGGAGTGTTCGTCGCTTGCTGTACAGCTGCAACTGCCGCGACGGCCGTTGTAGCGGTCTGAACGAGTTGCCTACTGCGAAGTTTACTCTGCTCACGGAATGATGGACTCGGCAGAGGGGAAGAAAGGCCATTGCCTGGGCTGGCGTTCTTGCCTTTTCCAAGACTCGCGCCTTTCAACGAAGGCGTGAGACCTGTGGACTTGGACACAGAGAAGGGAAGTACGAAGGAAGGCGACGATGCCGCTGCTGCACCGTCAACGCCGCCAATGGTGGACTGCTGACGGATAGGCGTGAAGCTACCCGCATTTAACGGGGGGACCATCGCAAGCGACGAGTCGACCGGAAGCGCTCTGCCTGTGCTGAAAACTGTTTGCGTCGGCGTGCCAACGGGTGTTCTCTGGCTGTCGGTCCCACCGCTGCCGAGTAAACGGACACCGAGGCCAACTAAGCCGTTGATCTTGGGTAAACCCGCATCGAGCTGCACTGTGCGCTCGCGTTCCATTGGCGTTGCTCGGTACGCCATCTCTTCGTCGGAGTTGCTACCGTTAGCACTGCTGCTGCTATGCCGGGCAGGTGAGCTGGCCGCTGTGCTGAGCGTTGACCGCTCAGCTGATGGAGACGGAAGCGCCGGAGGGCGAAAAGCGGTGTTGTCGAAGCGCAAGTCGGTGTTCCAGCCACGCAGGGGCGGCAAGATAGGCGAGATGGCGACGTTGCCGGATTGACCGACAGGTGTGACGTTTTCAAATCGACCGCTGCCGAGGACGCCGAGGCGCGGCGCACCAGGTAGACGTGGGGGCATGAAGGGGATGCCCATGGAGACGTTTGTGTCGACTCCGCCGGTTGCTGCAGCACCGGTGCCCAATGGCGTGGACATACTGGCCTTTGGTGTGATATCGAGCTGCAGGCCGAGACCGACGATGTCGCCATCGCGTGGCCTGCTGGACCACGAGCCAGGAGAGATGCGGCCACGCTCGTGGTCAAGTTGAGAAGGTGTAGGCGGTGCGGGTGGTCGGACGCCCATGAGGGTGCGGGACTTATTGGAGGGCGAGGCGGCCCATTCTGCCCTTGGACCTGCGAATTCGCCCGAGCTGGATCGCGTCATGCCCATGCCGGAGCTGAGGCTGCCAAGGCCAACGAGACTGAGACAACCGCTGCCGAGAGGGCGTACGAACTCCGGCGACAACTGGTGGTCCGTGTAGCCTTTGGTGTCTTTAACCTCTAGCGGCGATTTGAGCGGCGGGAGACGCAGATCGAAGCGGCTGCACGCGGCACCACCGCCGATACTGCCCCCACTCCCGCCAGCACTTGCTGTCAGCACATATGCAGCGTAGTGCTCCGACAGGGGTGTGCTGAGGATCGAGTCTGTAGGTGAAGCTGGCGAGGCGACGTTCGAGAGCATCTGCTCGACGCTGGGTAGACGTAGAGGGATGCTACCATTGACAGCTTCCTTGAAAGTGGCATTGCTCGCCGTGATTGGTGTGGGAGGCAGCTCGTGCGTCTGTCTGACTCCTCCTTTTTTCTGCGCACCGCCACCACTCTTGAGCTCGTTGTAGTGGTCCTCATCATTGCCATCATCAACGGCATATGTAGACCGGGACATTGCTACGTCTTTTGCCGTCGCGACGGCAGCAGAGTAGCGACGGGAAGGGTTAGCAAAGACATCATCATCGTGTGTTGTGGAGAGGCTAAGCGAAGGGTTGAAGGAGGGAGAAGCCCAGGAGCGCTCTACCGTCGATCTGCGGACTGATTTGCCCGATGAGCCCGACCCCGAGCTGTATTCTGCAGCTTGCGCATGTCGATGTCGCTCAGGCGTCGGACCCGACGAGGATGACAGGCTGAGGTTGGCGGGGCGCATGCGGCCTTCGCGTGAAAGCTCAAATGAGCGCGATGCTTGCATCGTAACTCTGTGATAGTGATGGAATTGATGGATGGTTTTTGCAGTGGTCAATGGGTGCACAATAATTCAGCAAGTGCGAGCAGCGCGGCAACGAGCGGTGTACTCACATGGAGAGAAGGGGAACTGCGGGTGCGCAGGATGGCACGCGGGCGTAAAATGCGTATGCGTCACCGAAGGTCGTAACTATCGTGAAGAATGAGCGTCGAACAAGAGCGAATCGTAGAGTAGTGCGAGGTTTTTTTGTTGTATTGGAAGTGCCTTTTCTGGATCCAATGACTAAGCCCGTGATATTATCGAGTCGATGAAGTGCAATGTTGCGTAGCGCAGGTTATGGAGGTGGGATTGTATGCTGAAAAGATGGGAGAGCAATGCGTCGAGGTGAGCAGGCAGAGGCGTGAATGGATGCTATATGCTGTGAGATTTTGAAGCTGAACGGAGTGTGGAAAGCGTTGGCGCAGAAGACTGAGGATTCACCTGGTGAATTGAATCGGGGGTCTGAGGATTCGTGGTCGGCACCTGAATGGCGGGCGCCGACGTGCACGTGTAACGGTTGTACAACGCAATGCTCGAAGCGGGGCACGTTGTGCAGATGTCGTTGCTCGGGTGGATGAGTCTAATTGATCGTTCTGAGCAATGTGTTTGCAATGGGAAGGAAAATGCAGGCAGCTAAGTTGTTCCCTGGGAAAAGGGGGGAGGGTCGTAAGGTCGTGTCGGGACGGTGATGGTGATGATCGTATAAGAATGGCAATGTAGAATGGGGCAGATATAGCCAACGTCGAGTGAGGTTGGTCGGAAAAAGGCAAAGTCGTAGGATGGAAAAGAAAGCAGAAATGAGCACTCTTTCAGCACACCTGATGGTGATACAAATACGAAGAGTAGGAGAGGGGTAATCATCAGGAAGAAGAGAAAGGAGGTCATCAAAGCTGGCGGAAGCGAATCATCTCATCAGAGACTTGGAGGAAAGGTGAACCACTGTGAACAAGCGGCGGTGGGCGCGAACATGGAAGCCCTGCTAACTTGCTGTCTGCTGGCGTGTCAGCCCCAGTGATGCAAAAGAGGGGCGGACGCAGGTAGCAAACGGCAAGGCCATAGTGCAGCCTGACCGCTCAGCCCGGCACAAGGCGGTACAAAAGCTTATCACAAGAGGAAGTATGTCTGCTAGGAACTAGGATGCAGCCACATCAGTTCACAGCAGCAAGTCAGTGCCTAAATCGCAATCCGAGGGGAAGCGCAGGTAGCGGAGCCTGTGAGCGCAATGGCAGCTCTGGCGGCATGCATGAAGGTTAACACTGCCGTGAATAGTCAAAGGGAATCTCTGTTGCGAGGATCTGCGAGGATGAGAGGAAGCCCGGAGGTTACGTGCCCTCGTAACGAATCCAATTGCGATTGCAATCGTCTTGTGTGACTCCGACACCGACTATCCTATTGAAGCAAGTTCGCTGTGCTCGAAACCTGGGAGTGGGAACCGAGGGAATCAGGTCGATGGAACGCCGGATGGAAGTGGCTCGCCAGTGGCTGGCTCCAAGCCTATCGCACTAGCTGGTAAGATTGAAATGGGCCAGACGGTCCGGAGAGTATGTAGCGTAGAGCACGGGTGACATTGCGCATGCGCCAAATGATCCCTGTCATCGCTACTCGGGTCTCGGCGGCCCCGCTAACGGTCGAGTGCAGCAGCGCCTTGCACGTCTTGCGGCCTGCAAAGCAGCGAAGAGAAGTAGGGTGTTGCGTGAAAATTGTATGCATCGTTGCCCATCGCGAAGCGCTAGCTGGCAGCTGGGGATGGAGCTCGATGGAGAGGGATGGAAAGAGGAAGTGCTGATTTGCACACGACAGATGCTTTTCCGTTGGTGTTGGCGCGCATCATTTCATCGCGTTCGCTCCCTAACTGCCCGTTCCGCCACGGTTCTGTCCACGTGATTCTTCTTGTAAACCCACACACCAATCATCCCGAAACGATGGTACCCTCCACACCGACGAGCCATTGCCCCTCCGCTTTGCTTCTCGCGCTTTTTTCGCGACCGCGATCCTTCTGACTACTAGCATCATTGGATTTTTCCTCTCCCCATCTTACAAACAAGGTCCATCTTTACCAAAGTCCTGGACCTACTTTATCTTCTCCCGAGGGTCCCGGGATCATGGCGATAGACCGAGATGGACATTCCTTCTCAGGGATGGGGAGCTTCTATAATGTACGATCGTGCCGTAAATTCTTTTTTACACGACGATCGTACTTCGCTTGGCTTCAACAATTCCAATCGTTTCTTTGTAGTGATCGTGCTACGCGCACTGATGCTCAAATACCGGAGGTCGATCATGTATTAACTCCAAAGTGGAATATTGTACACTGTTTTGGCATTGATCAGAATCTTGTCTTTGCATATGCGTTGTGATCACCCCTTCGGAGGTGGGGAAGGACCTTGACGTCGACTTAGACGAGACCGTCTGCGGGTACGGCTGTCGTATATGGCGAGTAGTGTGGTACAGTGCTAGTTCCTCTGTTGAGCAAGTTTGCTAGAGCCAAAGCCGCCCCAAGTCTAAACCACAGCAACACCACACCGCCACACTCTCCACAGGCGCCAGCACAGCGAGAGAGCAAAGAGCACACACAGTCGCCGCGCTGTACTCCTTTCTTCACAGCAGGAGAGCACCGCACCAACCATCATACGTCCACCTCTTCTTGCAACACACACTCTCTCACCTGTTATCAGTCCCCAGCTTCATTGCCGTCCGATACTCGAGCAGAACACAAAACAGTAGCAAACGTATCAACCCAGAGCCATATCGCTGCTCCCTACATCCACTTGAGATAGCGCCCCGCCCGCCCGCTGCCGCTGCCGACGACGACGACGTAACCTTCCTTTCTCTCTTCCCGACCTTCCGTCTAATCAGCCCGACGACCAACCACCAAGATGGGTCTCTCGGTTTCCAAGCTGCTCAGCGGCCTTTTCGGCAAGAAGGAGATGAGTGCGTATCCTCTTTTCAACGTGCCTTGTTGGCTAGTACATCCGCTCGATCGGCGGCCAAGGGGGATCGAACACAGGTAGTGGAGTGGGCGTGTGGCGTCTGCTTTTCGACAGGGTGCATGTTCAGGGCGTGATTCAAGGAGGGAAAGGGACACAGGAAAGGAGAGGGAAGTTAGAAACACCATGAGGTGCTCTTTCTCGGTTAGGGGAGGAAAGGGCAAGGAAGAGCGGCGCTCAGGCTCGCACTCTTCGACCCAGGTGTCCTTTGACGCTCTTTGCTGGACCTCGACATCCAATGTTCATCGTCCCTCCTAGAAAGAAGACCACTTGCTGACCTTAATCCTCTTATGCCATTGCTCTCTTCACTCTTTGACGCCATTTTGCTCTGCACCCTATCTGAATTGTGCTGCGCTCTTCCTCCATCCGTCGCACGCTACCCTCTCGTCACCACTCACCTCGTGCTCGTGCCTACTACCGCCACCAGGAATCCTCATGGTCGGTCTCGATGCCGCTGGTAAGACCACCATCCTGTACAAGCTTAAGCTCGGCGAGATCGTCACCACCATCCCGACCATCGGTGAGTTCTGCTGGCCACCTTCCGACTATTCCGCTTTGCTACTAGCCGCTTGAATAGGAAGCACTGCTTGAACCATCGTCGATGGCTCGGGTTGCCTCCATTCTGATTGGCCAGACGATGGTCGATCTGTTGGCCCTTACCTGAAGGGCTGACGAGCTCGTCCGCCGCTGCTGTATGTCCGCTGCAGTACGGCCCAGAGCTCAACCATGCTTGTGCAGCAGCAGGGTTCTAGCGCCGCTAGAAACGGCGCCTGCCGCCGCCCTTTCTCCTCCCTCTTGTCGAAATATTTGTGACTGACCTTAGATATGTTCCACTCACTCCCAGGCTTCAATGTCGAGACGGTCGAGTACAAGAACATCTCCTTCACAGTGTGGGACGTGGGTGGACAGGACAAGATCCGACCGCTCTGGAGGCACTGTGAGTGGCGAACCGGTCTCTGCACTTTGCAAGTTCTGAAGCCATGATTTCTCATCTTTTGCCCTTTCTTTTTACCACTCCCCTCTCGCAGACTTCCAAAACACACAAGGCATCATCTTCGTCGTCGACTCGAATGATCGGGAGCGTATCTCTGAAGCGCGGGAGGAGCTGCAGCGCATGCTGAACGAGGACGAGCTGCGCGACGCGCTGCTGCTCGTCTACGCCAACAAGCAGGATCTGCCCAACGCCATGAACGCCGCCGAGATCACCGACAAACTTGGCCTGCACAGTCTCAGGCAAAGGACCTGGTTCATCCAGGCTGCCTGCGCCACGTCCGGCGATGGCCTCTACGAGGGCCTCGAGTGGCTCAGCACAAACCTCAAGCGCAGGGTCTAAAGCCTCTGGGGCCGCAGAGCGGTTTGCGGACTGGCGTTCTAGATGGATTGCGCAGCGTAGCGGAGCAGAACAGAGCGTAGCGGTATGAATCGGATAGGATACGATGGGAAGGTAGAGATGGGTAGCGGTGTAATCTCTCCTTGATGTGGCTTGGCTTGAATGCGCTGCCCCTGCACGCAGCGTGTCATTTGGAATCGACAAAAGTTGCGTGGCGAGTGCATACACGCATATAGTGCGTACGCTCACGAGAATCTATGCCGCACGTGTTCTCCTTTGCAAGACAGTGTAACTCGAGCTGCAGCGTGTTTTAATACCTTCCCTTTCGTCTGAGGTAGGACAATGAGATATGCTCGTTCGAGCGCCCGCGACGTTGCGTTACGTGTATGCAGAGCCGAGTTGCGGGCGAGTCAAAGCTTCCTGATTCCCTTCTCCTAAAGACACTGAAGAACGCTATGATGTTCCATTCCCGTTCAAGTTGCGATGGGAAAGTGGAGGAGCATACCACCCTTAAAAATGTTTCGCTGTCCTAAATTTATTTGGCTTCACAGACCACAGTCTACCGTGCGACACGAAGTTGAATTAGGATGCAGCGTGCTGCATGCATGATAATCTTAAAGTATCCTACCGGATTCCGCAAATCCTCCGTTGTGCGGACCCCATGCGGGTGCAAATACTGGCCTCCATGCTGAGGGTCACTGGTGGTTGAAATGCAAATGCAACTAGAGTACAAATGAGATGATGCATGCAACGTTCAAATGGTGCGGGGCCAGCAGTAGCTTGCGGTGAAAGCACGCAGATAATGGTTTTTGTTTGTCAGAGAAACGGTACGGAGGCAAGTTCTGCATCACTAGAACCCAGCTCAGCGGACTCTGTCTCTCTGCAAAGACAAGAAAGGAGTTTGCGTTTCCAGTCAGCTTGAAGGGCCCTTCCGGAATAGAAAAGGCGCTTCCCACACCCACCTTGATGACGGACATGTGACCTGAATCGCGTTCGACGCGATTGTACCACTCAAGCACGTCGTTCTCCGCAAGCCTGCTGATGAACGCCTCATCATGCGTGATGACGATCAACTGCGACCGGCCATTGCCTGACTCCTGTCGCTCCTTGATGAGCTCGGCAAGACTCTTCGCGAGCGCGTCGATGTTGTCCTTGTCCAGGTTGGTCGTCGGCTCGTCGAGCGCGAGGATGCTGCAGTCGCTGCTGAATGAGTCAGCCAGCGCAAGGCGGATGATGATGGACGCCAACACCTTTTGGCCTGCACTGCAGCGACCGCGCATGTCCATCTCAGAGTCATTCTTCTTCATGATCACACGATAGTTGTACGACCGGGCGCCTTTAGTTTCTGTCTCAGCTTTGATCATGATTGTTTCCACGTCGGTGCCTTGATATGTTTTGCTCCACAAGTCATGGATGTTCGCGTTGATCTCCTCCATCTTGACCGAATGAAACTTCATGATGCCGGACTCGATCGACTTGGCGAGTTTCTCAAGGTCGTTGTTAGCCTTCAGGTCAAGCTTGTGCTGGATGAGCTTTTCCTTGTAGCGCTCCTTGACATTGTTGTAGTCGTCGTGGAGCTCTTGCTCTCGCTGCTTGATCTGCGCTCGGATCGATTCCATCTCTCCGCGCGTGTGGGCCGCTTCGCCGTTAAGCTTGTTCTCGTGCTCTCGAGAAGCAGCGTACTCCTTTTGGTAGCGCTGACGGGACCTGTGCGCCTCCTCTACATTGCTGCTTTGAATCTCCTCGTCCAGCTGGTCGATCTGCCGACGCAGCTCACGGAAGCGCAAGTTGTCCATGATGTTCCTCTCAGTCGCTCGCGCTTCGTTGAGCTTCTTTTCGATCCTCGCGATCTCGTGCTCGATCCCTGCCAACTCTTCCTTGACTTTCTGCTGTTCGCCCTCGAGCTCTTCCATTTGCTTCTGGCATTGGGCGAGTTTGTCTGCCGGCCGATTGCGCGCCAGCTGCGAGATGGAGCGGCCCAGATCCTTGAGTGCATTGGAGGTCGATTGAAATTCATCCGCCTGCTTGCGCATATCGCGCTGCATCGTCTCCATCTCCTGCTGGACGTCGTCCCGGTTGCGTCGCGTCGTGCGCATCGGTACCTGAGCTGCCTCCATGGCCTCAGTGGCCTGGCGGATGTGATTGCTCGCAACAGCTATCTCCTTCTTGGTCTCGTCGCGTTGCTGTTCGAGGCCAACGCGCTCGCGCAACTCGCGCTGCTTATCTGACAGCTTGAGCTGCGCGGAATTGACACCGCGCTCGAGGCTGTTGAGCTCATGCATCCGCTCGCCTCTTTCGGTTTGCAGTGCGGAAATAGCCTTCTGCACTTGGCGAAGCTTCAGGCTCTGCTCGTCGATCTGGCCCTGCACATCGGCGACCGTCTCGCTCGGGCCGTACGTGGAAAGGTCCTGCTCGAGCGCGTCGACTACTTTCTCGAGCGCGCTGGCCGCCTCGTTGTTGGCGCGAATCTCTTCGAGCACAGAGCGCAGCTTGCGCACCCGCTCGAGCTCGTTGCGCTTGTCCTCTACCTCGTCCTTACTGGCGCTGGCCTGGCCGACGGCCTTGACCCTCCTATCTTCGACGGCAGAGATCTGTTGTCTAAGCTCGACAAGCTCATTCTCGATCTGCGTGATGAGCATCTGCTTGGGTCGGAGCGCTTCAAAGTCGGCGAGGATAGCTCGCCACATGTCGATCGTCTCGACCGCCGCGTCGTTCGTCTCGACGTTTTCCCTGGTCATTGCGCTAATGCGCTCGTTGACAAAGCTCTGGATGGCAGCAACATCCTCCTGGTTGACGGACCGGTTGCACGCAGTGCAAGGACCGTGGTTCGTGACACTCTTGAGCACGTCCTCGAAGAATGCGCGCCTGCCTTCGAACTGCTCGTGGCTCTTGACGCGCGTGTCGATCTCTTCCTGGAGCTGCTTGATGCTCGCTTCGAAGCCGGCGGCAAACTCGCCAGGCTCGCTCTCGGCCTCCTTGAGCTTGCTCGTGATAAGCTGCTTGGCATCGTCCTTGATTTGCAGCTTCTCGCGCTCCGCCTTCTTATGCAGGGACAGCTCAGATGAAGCCTGCTGCAGCACCTTGTTGTTCTCCGCGTCCGCGCGCTCCGCGTCGCGCAGCGCTTCCTCGTGCTTGGACAGCGCAGCACGCACGTTGCGTTCAGCGCCGTCGGCGATCGCGCTTTCGGCAGTGTACTTGACAAAGGCCTGCTCGTGCATCGCGGCGAGGTCGGCGGCGGTGCCACGGCGCAGCTTGATGTCCTGCTTCTTGAGGTCGATCCGGACGCGTGTGTCGGCGCTCTTGTTGAGCGTGCGCAGTTTCTCGTTCAGCGCCTGCAGCTCGTCCTCGCATGCGCGGGCCTCTGCGCCGCGCTCGCGGGCCTTGGCATCGTACTGCGCATCGTTGATGTCGCGCTGCAGGTCGTCATATTTCTTCTTTGCGTCGTGCACCTCCTGCTCGGCACGCTTGATGGCCTCCTCAGAGACGAGCATGTTGTCGATCTGTTGCTGCAGGCGACGCGAGCGCTCGACCAGATTCTTGCGCGAGTCCTCGTACGTCGACCGGGTCGCCTGGTGGCTGCGGTTGTCCTCGCGGATGCTCTGGATCTGCTCGTCCAGTTCTGCAAGCTTCTTCTGCGCCTTTTCCGACTCCTGCTGCATGTGCGTATTGAGCTGGAACGCTTCGCGGTCGAGCGCCTGGAGAAAATCAATGACTTGCTCGTCACTAAGGCCGTCGACGTCAAAGCCACGAATGTCGAGCGCCTTGCTGGCCTCCTGCACGCGTTTCTGCCGCTGCTCAGCGGCCTGCTGTAGCGATTTGACCTGCTGCTCCAAGCCTCCGCGCCTGCAAAATTGAGCCTGCAGCTGCGTCTCGACCTGCTGCAAGCGTGTGCGAGTCTCGTGGGCTTGCTCCTCTTTGCGTCGCATCGAGGCCTTGTCCATATCCAGATATCCCTGAAACCCTTCCTTGCGCTTCTGCAGGTCTGCGTCTGTATCCGACAGCTCCTCCATACTCTGGCTCAACGCCGCTGCATTCTCCGCATGCAGCCGTCTCCTCTCCTCGAGAGTCTCAAGAGCATTGAGGATCTCCTGGTACTTGGCGCTCTGCTCGGCAATCTTGTGATTGGCAGCAGAGACATTCTTTATCCCGTCCATCAGCATGGCTAGGTGGTCTTCCTTGTCAACAAGCGTGCTCTGTAACGAGGCCTTCTTGCGCTGCAAGCTCTCCGCGCGCTCGCAGTCGATCTTGAGTGCATCAAGCTCCTTCTCGTCGACCTTGCACTGCTGTACGCGCTCTTTGCGGAGATCCTTGACGCTTGCTAGGCACTTGGTGTATCTTGTCGCTTCGAAGATGTCGTCGAATTTCTTCTTCAGCAGTGCTGGTTCTGCGAGCGGCCAGTTGCTGTCCTCCTGGTGGCAGAAGATGACATTTTCCAGGATGGCCTTTGACACACCGAGCTCGAGCGGCATCAGCTCATCCAACTCTGAGCATTTGGTAGAGAGGGTGACGCGCTGTGCAGCAGAGATAATCGAATCCGTCAGCATCGCTTGAGCACCACAAGGGAGCCTGGTAGACGTACGTTTCGCCCTTGCGCTGCGTTCGGCGTATTCTTGACCAGTGCGCCCTCGAGCGTCTTCATGCTTAGCCCTCCGCCCTTCTTTGCGGATACCATGAGGTGACGTTCTACAAGCATTTTCTCTCCTTGCTTATTGATGAATGACAAACGAACGTGGCCCCGGACTTCATGGTGTCCTGCCATCTGTCCGTACAGTCAAGCGAGGTTGATGCCAAAGATTCATTCTGTCAGCATGATGGCTTCTCTTCGCGGACAAGGCAACGCAACGCACAGCGGCGCAGCGGAGACACGCACCTTTGGGTCATGTACAAAAGCACCGCCTTTGGTGTTGGGCGGCATGTCACCCGTGGTGGCATATTTGAGGCATTCAATGATCGTCGTCTTGCCGCTTCCGTTGATTCCGACGATGACGGTCAGCGGCGAATAGAATGTGCACACATGGTCATCCTTGTCGTCGAAGGAGCGGATGCCATGGATGGAGAGCTCTGCAGAGGCAATTCGGAAAAGACAAGTGAGGCGCTGATCAAGGCCAAGCCACAATTGTACGCCAGCAGACTCACTGTGAAGGTAGGCCATTGTGGCATGTAGCCTACCAACCCGCTTTGCAACAGGCTTGGATAGAGGGCACAGATGCTTTGGATCCTGATGAATGCAGAAGCAGCGGCCTCCCCTGGCCGGAAGGACACGCTTCTTACACGCCTCTCGTCTTCAGTAGGAGAGAGTAACGCCCTGCGAGCGCGAAGACGATGGGTTCGATCTCGTGAAGGCGGTTGTAACCGTCCTCTCATTCCAACGTGCCGATCGGCTTCCTGCGCTGCCACCAAGTGCGGGCCTTGCTGCTGGAAAGGCATGTGCGTTCGCCTATGAGCTTGTCGCTGTCGCCAACGAAGAAGATCGGCTGCCGAGCATCGTATCAAATGACCCTGGTCGGCGTCGGTATACGAGCCAAAAGTAACACAGATTCGATTCGCGTCGCGTCGCGCCAAACCAACACTTCGCTCTTCCTTCCCTCGTTTCGCATAATATTAGGGTTGCTATGTCCTGAGGGGTTATGCGGCGGAATCGAGCGGGCTTTCGTTTGTCACAGTCAAAAGGGCGTTGGATCTGATCCTGCGGCTATCTTGCCAAGTTGCCAAGCACCGCCGGGTGGTAACCTTGTGCCGATTCGGGATGTTTTCTTCGAATATCTCCCGATTTCCTGCAGCCTCTTGGCTCACCCGTCGGCCCTCCCAACAAACGGAACACAGTCATCGTAGTTGACAACACATTTCAATAGTGTTGACTCAGAACCCCTGATGACTTCCACCAGAACCCCCGGAATCCTGTTACCTTCTGAGCCTTTGTCCCCAGGATGTCCTCGAGACCCAGTATTTGCCAGGTTTTCGGGCAGGTCTGTAGTTCACACCCAGCTGCGCCGTCCGCAGCTCTTATCGTCCTGCAATACCTCGCAGAGGGGTTGTTTGACAGACGAGCCAGACAGCGGCAGCGAGCACTCGACGCGGCAAGGCAGCCCGCACGATAGCATGGCAGTAGTCGGAGCAATTTAGCCAGAAGTCGGTCAGGCCTCCGACAGCACCAAGAAGGAGCCCAGCATTTGGTTTCCTCATCCATTGCAGCCCTTCAGACAACCCGCCGGCATACTTATCGGCAACGCTGCATAGAGAGCCGCATTTCCTTTCTTCTTATGCTGCACGCAGGAGATGCACTATGCACAGTATCACCATCTTCATCACCATCGACCACCTTGCATTCCATAGTTCGGCAATAGCTTGCGGCTCGTTTACCCGGCGACAGTCTGGCAAACGCTGCAACCGACCTGGCCTCACCTTCGCCGCATCGCCTTTCCTCTCAGTTCGAGCCACGTTAGAGCGGACCGATAAGAGGAAACGTCACGAAGATGACAGGCTCTCTGAGTGAGCACGCATTCAAGCCGTTCGAGGTGTCCGCCGCGCATCTCGTCTACGTCGGCTTTGGTGCATTCGTTGTCATCTTTGCCTCCTTCGCACTTTTCATTAAGGAGAAGCTTTACCTTGGAGAAGCGCCCATCGCCGCCGTCTTTGGGATCATCGTCGGTGAGTCTTGCTTGGTCTGGACGTCTCACTGCTTGCGTCAAGTCCATGCCCGACTGTGCTGCTTATACTCGCGCTTACTTGCAACCAGGTCCGATCGCGATCAACCTCTTCCATCCGGCACAATGGGGCGCGCAGCCAGAGCAGGTCGCACCCGGAAATGAAATTACCAACGAGATCTCGCTCGAGCTGCTGCGCGTGACGATCGCGCTCGCAGTCTTTGCTGCGGGCGTTGAGCTGCCGAAAAAGTACTTGCTGCGCCACTGGCGCTCGCTCAGCATCCTCCTCGGCCCCGTCATGGTCTACGGCTGGCTCCTGACCGCCGCATTCATCTATGCGCTCATCCCGCGCCTCGACTTCCTCAACAGCCTCGTTGTTGCCGCCGCCGTGACGCCAACCGACCCAGTGCTCTCTGCATCCGTCGTCGGCGGGCCGTGGGCCGAGAAGCACGTCCCCGCGCACATCCGCCATCTGCTCATCTGCGAGTCCGGCTGCAACGATGGTGCCGCCTTTCCCTTTCTCTACCTCGCTCTCTACCTCTCCTTTAATCGTGACAATGTCAGATATGCCGTCGGCCGATGGGTGAGGGACCAATGCAAAGTGCGTACCTTGAGTGGGTGCTAATATGATGAATTATGTCTCGCTTGCAACCGTACAGGTGTATGAGACGATCCTGTACGAGATCGTCATGGGCACCATCCTCGGCGCGCTGATCGGCTACGCAGCACGCAAGATGATTCGCTTCTCGGAGCGCCACAAGCTCGTGGACCGCGAGTCGTTCGTCGCGCAGTACGTTTCGCTCGCGCTGCTCTCCATGGGCGTCAACGTGCTCCTCGGGTCGGATGATTTGCTCGCCGCGTTCGCCTGCGGAGCCGCCTTTGCCTGGGACGGCTGGTTCACACGCCAAACAGAGGACTCGAACTTTTCCAGCGTCGTCGACCTGCTCTTCAACGTCGCCACATTTATCTATATCGGGGCCCAGATGCCCTTCTCCCAGTTCACAGGCGGCGGACACAGCCAGTTGGAGCTGTGGCGCCTTTTCGTTATTGCCATTCTCACACTCCTGTTCAAGCGCATCCCGATCGTCCTCGCACTGTGGAAGTACATCCCGGACATCAAGACGTTCCGCGACGCGCTCTTCGTCGGGCACACGGCACCCATCGGCACGGGCGCCATCTTCATCAGCACGCTCGGCCGTACGCTGATGCCGGCAGAAGTCCCGATCCCGCCTCAGACGTCGAATGATGTGCTCGCGCTCTCCATCCTGCCCATCACCTACTTTATCGTCCTCTGCTCCATCGCCGTGCACGGCCTCACCATCCCTGTCTTCTCCTTCTCCAAGGGTGCCCACAAGGTCACGCGCACCTGGTCGCGTCACACGTCGTTCGCTGATGGAGAGCCGAGCTGGATGACGCGCGCCATGCGCCGGACGCGCACTGGCGAGTCGCAGGCGACGAGCATGCAGTACGACGAGGATGGGGAAGGAGGTGGAATGAGCGAGATCAGAAGAGTCCTTGCCGCGCAGCTCGCCAACATTGGCAAGGGCGCCATCGGCGGCGAAGAGGAAAAGGAGCTCAGGGACCGTCTCGAGGGAGACGAAGAGGGGAGAGTGGAAGGCACCAGTCCTAATGCCACCACGTCTGACTCATCCAGCACAGCATTCCGTGACAGGCGGGTTACCCCGGGGTCACAAGACATCGATCTGGAAAAGGGAGAGGCGACCGGCGATTTAGGCGTAGGCATGATGGAGAAGCTTGAAAAAGGAAATTTGGATGACGCAATCGACGACTTGGAAGATGGGATCGAAGCCGATGACAATAATGCATGCTCGGAGTGGACCGGCGAGGACACGTGCGAGATGCGACGATATCGCGAGCAGCAGAAAACTAATGAGGCTACTAAGGCTGCGCTAAAGCTTGCACACGCTCAGCAGCGGCAACAAGAGCGCGAGCAGGGCGAGCCGCTCGAAGACGACCTTGGCGAGGCGCCCATGGACCGCGACATTAGCCCGTGTCGCATCGGCAACGAAGGTCAAGCTGCCACTGTTACCGCTGAACGGGGCCGAATGCTGTCTTCCGCAGCCTATCGTCATCGGGACGGAGGGGATGAGCAAAGAGAGCAGGGCGAAGACGAGTACCCGCTTGTGCGAGAATGGATAGAGGGCAACCATCTGGTGCTGGAGCTGTGCAAATCGCGACTGGAAGAGCCCATTGTTGAAGTCATCCACCTCACCGACGAGGAGAAGGCGGCGATGAATGGGCACCAATCCAAATCGTTCAAGTGGGTCCGCGACCACGCTTCGGAGCTGAAACTCCTTGTGAAGGATGATGTGGCGAGCGAATGGACGCTCGAGAACGCGCGGCACAAGCTCTTGCAGCATGGCATCCCCGGCAAGCTAGCGAATGCCCAGCCCATTGTCAGCCAAAGGACAGAACGGGAGGCATTTAAGCAGACGGCCGAGGGCCATATTTCGAGCAAGGAAGCAATGAAGGAAATAGAAGGGTGCGAGTCCACGCCGTCCCCGCGCGACTCGCCACGGCAGGGAAACAGCCCGAACCGGAAGAGCCAAGAAGAAACCGCTGCAGAGCGCCAGGCTCGTGCTGACCTGCTTTACGGTGCGCTCAACTGGGCATCGGAGCAACGTGGCACGGATAGCGATCCTTCTTCGACTGCTGATAAAGGTCGACGCCGCCCAAGCCCTCCACAGTCTCGCTCTTCTGGAAGCAAGTCACTACCGGATTCCAATTCGCCCTCACGCAAGAGCACTACATCCACCTTGCCGCCACGCAAAGACGTTCCGGCAACAACCAACAAAGCAACCTATCGACCGGTCGGTGCAAGGCGGGAATCCATGAGGAAGAAGCTGCTCAGTGGGAAGATCAGTCTCAGCGGTCGACGCACAAGTTCCGCAGTTGATGTGGACGACGCTGATGAAGGCATTCAGGAGGAAGTTGAAATGGAAGCGCCGGCCGAAACTCATCCTACGCCCCAATCACATGTCAGAGCCTTGAAGAACTTCCCCCGAAGCGCCAGCCTGGGTGGATTGGGCTATAGCGCGCCGGACGAGGAGGCTTCGGGACAAGCAAGCCCTAGTTCTTTACGTGGACATCATCGCGCCTCGAGTATCGTCTGGATGGACATCGAAGATGGACATGACCGCACGCCCCGTACGCCGTTAGCGTCCGCTTCAATCATGCCGCGCAAGCTGCGCTCGCGCACCAATAGCAACAACAACAGTAACAGCAATGATCGTGATCGCTCCGTGCAGTTTGCAGAAACAAGCAACGATGACAATGAAGGCGGCTCGGAGAACGGCCAGACGCCTCGGCACAAATACCGCGGCCTAGCCGGCTTGATATCCTCCTTGCGGTCCGGCGCGACTGCACGCGACTATGAAGAGCCATCGGAACCCGAAACGCCGCCCCAGCAAGCATCCTCCGCGTCTGGTATATTGCAGCCGCCACCAGCCAAGAAATGAAGCCGGTCGCCAGCTCGCCACGATTTCTTAAAGGCATCATAGACTTGCTCGCATCTGTATTTGTAGAGAGAAATCGCATGTTCCTACGGGCATCCCGTTTACGCCAGGCAATCCCTGTATATTATGAACCGTGAAACTACATGTGTGCTCTGATCACCTGTGCGATGCTTTGATTATTGTGGGCGATGAATGCGGCTTGATGGAAATGGAGGTATCTGTGAACTGCGAAGAGCGTGGCTGATGAGGTAGGGTCAAAAGTGAAACATGTCAAATCGCAGAACCAGCTGCGAGTTTCTTCAGGCACGCCAGCGGGCCTGTATGCGTCAAGGCGAATGAGCGGCTTTGGTACCATCAGCCCGGAAGAATCTGTGCGAGACGTCTGAACAGCTGCTGCGGGGGCTCATGTTCGTCACTGCAGTGGCGAAAGAATTGCAGCTGCTTAAAGCGGAGCGAGAGCTGCTTGCGATGCTGCGCCGCCCCTCGGAGGCAGCGGGGTGGGAATGTGGAGGGAGCGAGACAGGCCTCAAACCCGAGTCTTCAGGAGCACCACCTGGGGCCTTCTTGCTAATAACGGGGGATGTAATGGGCGTATCTGGTCTGCTACTTTCCATCGCAGCCTCGGAAACGGCAACAGATGAGCGAGGATTAGCTCCCGAGCCCTGCGCCAGGCGCGCGACGAAGCTGGTCACGGAGATGTGAGAGGTCTGTGACTGGACGGACTGGGTGTGCTGCGCGCGTACGTCTCTACTGACGATGGAAGGCCCCCTGACAACTAGCGAAGGGATGCCCGGAAGGACGGGTTCATCGTCGTCCACAGTGGAGAGCGGGTCGGCAAAAGGTGCGTGACATTGCGCCGTTGGCGTCTGATCATCGTCGTCATCCTCCCCTTGGCCAACCTCGGCCGCGTCAAAAGTCGCATCGTGGATGGCAGTGAACGAGTGCCGCGCAGCGGGAAGGTCAAGACGAGTGACATCCGGACGCTGCAAAGCACACGCAGGCGTGGCAACAGCAACAGCATCAGCACCAGCCGCAGCCGCGTCGGGCGGAGTGGGGAAACGTCTGATGATAGATGCGCGTGCTGCGAGTGAATGGACAATGCGCTTTCCGTCTTCTTCCTGTACGGTCCCGATCGACGAAGCCCGACGCGAGCTGGAACTGTTGCGTGAAAGCAGCGACGTCAGCGTTCGGATAGACGCGTTGCGGGTGAGCTCCTGTGCAGCTGACATCGCTGATGACGACCTCGTCTCGCCTGGGGCGATTAAGTGATTGCCCAATTGGTTGAGCACGTTGGGATTCATGTCCGATTTTTTGTGCTTAGCTTGCTCCGCATGCTGCGCGCCGATACCGCCGGAGCCAAGGCCATGGGCGCAGCCGAAGCCGCTGCCGCTGCCACGGAAGCTTGTGTCCGTCGTGCCAGTCGCTGGCGACAGCGGCGACGGGGTACCCGCGCGCGGGAAGGGCACCGAGCTGCGTTCAACCCCATTAAGATGTTGCGTTTGTTGCGCATCAGCTTTTACGGGAGACTGGCGCTTACGCGAAGACTTGCGGGACAACGACCCGTTGGATCCGACGACGCTGATGGTATTGGCGCACTTGAGCGTCTCGACGACGGCATTTTTGATGACGGCATTCTCGGCACTGGCGGCAGAAAGACGCGACGAGCGACGTTGTCCCGCCGTCGTTGTCGTTGTCCCGACATCATCGACGTTGATGTCCAGTGCTGATGCGAGAGGCGATGGCGAGCGCACGAGGTTGGGCGTCCTCTTGCGCACCGCACCGCGGCCGCCGGGCGAGGCCGCTTGGCTCTCGTCGCACGGCACATCGGCAGACAGACGCGCATTCTCGGGCCGGTCGAGCAGCAGCGCTGCTGGCGTCGGCGGCGAGAGTAACATGGGCGAGATGGGGGACGACGGCAGCACGAGTCGCGGGAAAAGGCTCACGTTGCCATGGCTGCCCCTGTCATTATGCGATGGTGACAAGAGGGAAGCGAGAGCAGCAGTTGCGTGGTCGATGCGACCCGCGTCGCCCTGCGAGTGTAGCTGCAGCGCGGGCATGGAATGGCGCAGCGGCACGCCTGCATCGTTCCTGCCAACATTGCGAGCACCTACACGAGCGGCAGCGCCTGCAGCGTCGAGGGGAATGTCGCGACCGTAGAGATCCATGCTGAAAGAAAAGAACGTTGGACGGCGCCAAGTTGCGTCGCCGGCGTTCGGGTCAGGCGCAGCGGCAGGCAGTACGGAATCAATGTCACTAGGGCCCGTGATCCAGACGGACTGCCAGTACGGCGAGAGACGATACATGTCCGCTGTGGCTCCATCGCCCTGGTGTTGGTGCTGGTGAGGGAGATTGCTATCCTTGTGCTTCGCACCCGCGTCCGCAGCAGCAGTAGTAGCAGCCGGCGAACAAGACGGCTCATTCTTCTCGCCCTTGGATGGCAAAGGCGGAGGCGGCAACGAGCGAACGTAAAAGCGCGGCGGCAGCTGCAACTGCTTCTGCGGAGGCAGGCGCACATTCTCGAGCACGACGACGTGTCCGTCGCTCGAGGAGCCTTGGCGATAATTGCGGCTACCCATGCCCATGTCACGTGCCCTTCGGTCGTTCGCATTTCTCAGATCGACGACCGCATGTGGCACGGCGGCGTGGCCGTGCACAGCAATGGAGCGACCGCGGTCACTGCGTGCATCCACATCCGTATCCGCACGCGTACCGCTCAGACGCCGAACGCTGTACGCCTCGATGCCGCGCGGCGGTACGAAGAAGTAGAGTGATGCGTCAGCATCGGCCGCCGCGTCACAGCCGCTATCATCGTCGTTGTCGTCATCGCCGCCCTCGCCGTCACACCGCAGCAAACCCGGACAGCACGCGCAGTGGGGGCACGGCAGCAGTGCAGCGGCGCGCGCGCTGGAGGCGCTGGCGGCGCATGCGAGCGCGAGCTGAAGTGCGAGCCACACACGGCCGGCCGCGACGTCGGCAACAAAAGGCATAGCGATGCCGGCGAGGGCGAGTGCAAAGGCGAGTGCGATGGCGAGCAGCGCCAAAGCGCAGGCAAGGAGGCGCATGTGCAGCGCAGCAAGGCTCCGCGCATCGTCGGCTCCCGCTCGCTGCGCGCTTGGCCGCTCTGGCGGACCTGGCTCCTTTTCCTCACACGCCCCGTGCCTTTGGATGCACTCGCGCTCGCGCACATCCAGCTCCTTAGGGCGCCTCGACAGAGTCGAGGACGTGCCGAAAGCAGAGGAGGGCGAAGTGGAGAAGGAGAAGGAGAAGGAAAAGACGTGCCGCAGCGGCGACGATGTGGGTTTGGGCGCTGCGGCATGCAGCCGAGGCGCCGGAAGAGGGGGCAAGGTGCGAGCGTATGCGAATCCGAGTCCAATGCCACCGCTGCCTGAGCTCTGCTGCTGACGGCGCCTGTTCCCTTGACGAGCATGAGCAGGAGAAGGCACGGCACCGACGTCGCCACAGTCGTCTCGCCCGACAAAGTAGAGTGGCGCATAGGAATCCTCTGCCGCCGCCGCCATTGGAGGGGGGGGCTGCGCCTCTGCCATCTCCTCTCGCTGGACAGGCTCCACAGCGTCTGCGCCGGCATCACCAGCGCCAAGCTGATCCAGCTTTGCAGCGCGGTGTGGTGGCGGGCGTGAGAGTGCCAGCTGACCCTCCGCGGCGGCGGTGGTACGACAGCGCCTGTTTGTCGCCCTCATTCGCGTCCGCGCCGCGCGGCGCCAGAACCAGCGCGCGTGGCGCACAAAGCGGCGCGCGAAAAACAGTGCCACGAGCGCCGCGAGCGAAGCGGCGGCGCGTTCGAGCGCGATGGACGGCGCGAGCAGTGCCGCGTTCATCGCGGCCACGTCTCCCATGCTGTTGGCGCCACCGCGTAACGGTAGCGCTGCATGCGCGGCAAAGTCGAGAGCGGCGACGAGGACGGCGGCGACGGCGAGTAGGGTGACCGCGTCACGGTGGAGGCGCCTCTGGACGCTGCGCGCTGCGGCTTTGATGTTGCTTGGCGCGCTGCCTAGGCCGCGATGCGCCGCGGGGAGGCCTGCGGTGCTGGCGTGGCGCTGTGCATGAGGCGAGGGAGAGAACGGCGACACGGGGACAAGGAACGGCAGCGGCATCTGCATCGCAGCTGCGTGCGTCGGCAGGGGAACGGTGTGCAGTCCCTGCTGGTGTCGGTACATTGCAAGCCTGCTCGGCACACTCCTGGCCCCGGGTACGGCGCCTGGATGCTTGCGGCGCGCCAGCATCGCGGCAAGCCACGCAAACCAGAGCGAGCCGGTGGCGATTGCACGACAGAGGGACGCGAGCGTACCGAGCGCACGGATGCTGGTGCTGCCGACGGACTGCGGAAGGTCAAAGATGCCAGCGAGGAGTACGAGAAGCAGGAGGGCGGTCAAGAGATTGTTGTGCCTGTAAAAGAGCCAGAGCGGTGCCGCAAGGGGGCGCATACAGTCAATCCTTTTATTCCGTGCCAAGGGGACGGAGCCACGGCGAAGAGGAAAAGATGACACACAGCGCATACGGTTGTCCGCGCTTGAGCAGCGCGCGCGCCAGCAGGACGAGACCGATCTGGTACGTGGCTCACAGGGGGCAGGTCAATGTATGCGCAGTCGCATGGAACCCGCGCTCGCCGCGGGACACTCACAGAGCCGACGGCGAGGAGCGGCGCGACAGTCACGGGATTGTACAGCACGGCAAAGGCGTCTATCTGTGCAGCACCAGCGCGGTGTGGATCGACGATGCGCAGGCACGGCGGGATAGGGCGGAGGAGCTGGTCGACGGGCGAAGGGAGGTCCGAGGAGGTCACATCCAAGCGGGAGGGCGAGCTAGCGCCTGCACCGGCTGCTGCTTCTTTGGCGACGGGGATCGTCATCGTTTCCCGGCGAACGCGCATCGTCCTGCGATTCGCATTTGCGCCTGCGTCAGCGTCATCTCTGTGCGCCCCAGCTTCAGCCCAAGCCTCGGCGCGGGCGCGGCGGTGGTGGTGGTGCATAGTGTGCATGGCTGTTGGGCATGGGTGAAAGGAGCTGTGCGGGGTGTAGAGAATGAAGGTGTGAGTTGCTTGCCAGCTTTTTTGCGTCCTTTGCGCTTTGCGGTGCTGGACGGTGAGCCGGCTGGCTTGCCAGAGAAGAGGGGGGAAGGAGGTGAGCTGGACGATCAACGCGGGAGAAGGGCACCACAGACTGTCACGAGCAGCGGCCGGGGTGCCTGCCCCAAGACCTCCAACGGCGAGGAGGCAGCTTTTGACTCGAAACAAGCGGCGATGAAAGGGGGTAAGGAAAGAAGTATTAGGGCCACGTTCCAAAAGAAGAGCACCGTCAGTGACGCCGAGGCGGGAGGAAGAGGGGGGAAACACGCCAAGGCCACCGAACAACTAGAAGAAAAAAGAGGGGACGGGTACGGCTGCTTGGGTATCGAGGAAGGGGGGAGGGGGAAGCGAGCTGCGCGGTGAGGCGAAAGCCAAGGAAATGCGTCCATAGGACGGCCAGCCGGCGGGGAGCGCATCGATACCTGCAGCTGGCTGGCCACCCATGACAGTGCGACACCCATTCTCTGCTTCGAGCACGGAGAGAGCCGCGGTGGTGAGAAAAAAAAAAGACGGCGGACGCTTAGCTGCATGGAAGAGGCGACTGGCAAGCGGGGCACGCACATCTGCGCAGCCCAACGAGAGGGTGTGAATGGATTTCGTACGACGCAGTAGGTAGATAAGACCGGGCGCGACGCGTGGCGTCGCGTGGGTGAGCGGTTTGAAAGAGTCGAGGAGTGGCACGAGCCCAACGACAGTCACAGAGCGATAAACATTGCCCCCCCCCGGTGACTAGGCAGCACGTAACCTGGGGTGCACCACCAGCCCCACACTGAGATGCAGGCCAGCGCACGTGAATCCAGGGGACGCACCGCGGGAGACGCGTCTCAGAGACCGACTAGACTGCGCCAGTGCCTGGCATGCGAGATAAGTGGACGACACGACTGGCGGGCTGCCGCCTTGGGCTTGTCGCTCGCTCTCCACACTGGCTGCCGCCCCACTGATCACCGATGGGTGTGTGTGTGTGGGCCCATCAACACACTGCACTCTCCCCCCCTCCCTCCACACCAGTCCACCAGTCTACACACCGCCGCGCGGAAAGGGAAGCAAGCGCTGGAGCGACGGATGCATCATTGGATGGGTGATTCTCCTCCCCTTGCTCCTCGTAGTAGTTGGCATACTGGTAGCCGCCCTCGCTCACTGCTGCACCGATCCAGCTGGACAGGCAAAGATATAGGCGTGACGTGACGTGAGGCGAGGCGAGGCAAGGCAAGGCAGGGCAAGGCCTGCGCGCTCAACCAACCCCCTTCCCCCCCCCCGGGCACATCATCAGCCCCGCCCTAGGAGCTACCGTCGACCATCCTACCCCAGAGCTTTGCAGCCACGCTCGCCATGGCCGCTGCCACCCATCAGCACACACTACCGCAACAGAATGCTGCCATGGGCAGCCACAAGCAGGTCGTCATCGGCTTTGACCTCGCCGCCCAGCCCATGGCTAGCAGCAGCAGCAGCGGCGGCGCAGCGCAGCGCTCGGGCTCGGGCTCAGGCGCTGCATCCGCAACCGGCGGCGACGACGACGACGCGGAGATGAAGGATGCAGAGGGCGTGAGTGCTGCCCTCGTCCCTTAATCAACAATAGCATGCAGTTGCCGAGGGAAGAAAAGGGAAAGCTAAATGGATGCGCTCTCTCTGTGTGATGCCGACGGCGACACGAACAGATCCAGCCGCTGCCGATCCCCGGCGCAAACAACGCCCACCTTGCACCATCCTCCCTCTCGTCCTCCTCTTACCACTCGCCCCGCTCCGAGACGACAGCAGCGACGACCGCGATGCTTCCAACGCCGCCCGACGGCGCTTCCGGTGCCGCCGCCGCCAGCACTTGCAGCAGCAGCAGCAGTCGTGGCGGCGGCAAGTCCAACAAGCGCAGCGACGCGGCAACCATCGCCTACCCGCCCCTCGCAGTGCTCAAGCCGCCAGCAGTAGCAGCCGCAACACCGCCACCGCCAACACCACCACCAGTTGCAGAACACGGAGATGCGCGCAGCCGTGGACAGACGCGCGCGCCGCAGAGTGGCGGCGGCGGCAGCAGCAGCAGCTGGGGCGCCTACGCTGGCTCGTACGGTTCGAGCGGCGCGTACCGCAGCACATCGTTTCAGACCAGCGCCGAGCGCGACGAGCGGAGACGCGGCGGTGGCGGTGCTGGCACGCGCGAGAGGGACCCCGACTGGGAGGCCGAGCACGAACTCATGGACGACGACGTTGATGATGACGATGACAATCGCGAAGACGACGACGACAACGGAGCGCGTGGCGATGGGAATTACGACCACCTAATCTTCGATGACGACCTGCAGCAGCAGCAGCAGCTGAGCCACCGCGTGCCGCAGCAGGTGCGTGAGCTCGTCGACATGATGGAGGACGAGAACGAGGACCATGACCACGACCACGACCGCGACCACAATAGTGCAGGCGGCCGTAGCACCGCGGACGCCGGCGGCGTATTTTCATTTAGCAGCCCGTACCTGCAGGCGCAGGCACCGCCGCCGATGCAGTACGCGCACGCGCAGAGCGTACTCAGTCCCAGTTGGACGGCTGCCAGCCTGAGCCGCATGTCGCTCTCTGGCTCGCCAGACCCCGCGGGCTCCAGCGCTGGTCGGCGGCACCACCTGCTCTCGTCGAGCGTTCCAAGCGGCGCGCGCTGCTACACCAACGCGCACGGTGGCACGATACCGCTGCACGCGTTCCGCCGCCCCAGCTCGGGCGCCGCGCGCGGCGCTAACATGGCGCACAGCAGCTCGTTCGATGGCAGTGCAGGCGCAGGAGCTGGTTGGCCGGCTCCGACGGCCGGCGCTTCGTCCCCCTGCGATGCGGAGTACCATCCGTACGCGCGCAGATCTGCCGGCGCAGGTGGCGCCAAAAGCAGGTCCCGCAGCCGCAACAGGACGCTACTGGCCAGCACGCTCGAGCCGCGCGGTGGCGTCGGCGGCGCGCGTGTCTTTGGCTCGCCACTTTCTTCGAGCCAGTACTCGCGCAGCCTTTCTACCCCGCGTGATATCCTTGCCGATGACGACGAAGAGACGGATGACGAGATGCCCGTCGTTCAAGGCATTGATCCCGATGCAGACGCGACCGAGGACGAGGCGGACCGGCACGTCATGCTCGTACCTGGCAGTGCCGGCTTTGGTGCCCGGCGTGCCGTGTATGGGCCCACCAGTAGGAACAACAGCAACAACAACGGCACCGGCACCAGCGCGGGCAACTACCGCCTGCGGCGCGGCGAGCGCGACAGTCCCTCGGCCTCCAGCGTCGGCGTCGGCCCAGGGACCATGAGCTTGGGTCTTCTGCTGAGCCCGGGCTCGCCGAGCTTCCCCGGCAGTCTCAGCAGCAGCAGCAGCGGCGGGGGCGGTGTGAACGACGGCTACCACCCGCACCATCATGTCGCAGGCGAGCGCTCGCCGCGCCAGGTCAGCCTCGGACGCCAGTACGCGTCCGACAGACACCACCCGCCGAGCTCAGCGGGACAGGTGCTTTCCGTCAATCGGCACCACCCGTACGCGTCCAGCCCAATCGCTGCCGGCGCTGCCGGCCCACTTGCTATCGCGCTTGGCGGGTCCCCTGGCGCTGGCGGCAGCAGTGCATCAGCGGGTGCCGGCGCGCCGTCTTATTCGCCTAGCGCCACTGCTATGGCAGGCGGAGGCGTCATGGCCGGTGCCAACAGCGCGCGGCCGATGCATCGGCGCGGCAGCAGTCTGTCCAACCACGCGCCGACGATGTTCGGCTTCCCCGGCTCCTCGCCGTCTTCCGCGGCGCCTGCCGGCCCGTACGGCATCTCGCCGGGTGCCACGGGCGCGACGGCGCTGCCGTTGCTGTCGCAGTCGCCGCGCTACGGCGGCTTGCCGACGCTCAGCACACGCGAGCTGCCGCCCGGCGTGTACAGCGATGCGACCCCCGTCAAGGAGCCACCGGTCGGCAGCTTTACCAGCTCGCACTCGCGCTCGCCGCACGGCCGTGTCGGGAGGCACGTGCAGCCGCGCGTCGAAGAGGTCCTGAGCAGTAAGAGCGAGGACGATGTGGAGACGGATGAGGATGAGGATGAGGACGAGGACGAGATGGAGGATGACGCTGACGACAGGGAGGGAGATCAGGAGGCATTTGCTGCTGAGGATGACATGCAGAAGGATGCAGACGCCGGAGCGACCACCCGGCGAACGCGGCGCGCAACTGTTGCTGCTGCCGCCGCTGCGAATCCATCGCAAGCAGGCCGGTCGTCCTCTCGTCCTCGGCACAAGCCAGCGAGGATTGGCACTTCGACGCTCGAGAGGGGCATGGACGAAGCAATGCAAGTCGCCGCGATCCGCGACCGCCTCGGCGGCGCGGCCAACTGCTCGGCGTTCATCAGCAAGTTGTGGTACCTGATGATCAGCCCCGACCTTTACGCCCAGTACATCCACTGGAGCGAGAGCGGCGACGCGATCGTCATGAGCAACGACGCGGATCTCGCCAACGAGTTTGCGGCAGACGTCCTGCCCAAGCTGTTCAAGCACGGCAATAACGCATCTTTCGTCAGGCAGCTGAATGTGAGTGCAGTATGGGGCCAGTCCACATGTGGGCACTCTGTCAACCGAGGCACGTCCATTGACATACCGTATCGCATTCTCCTTTCTCTTGCAGCTTTACGGCTTCCAGCGCATCTCCTCCACGCGGCCCTTGGACGCCACTGAGCTGAAGGTCGCCAAAGCGCGCGGAATCAACGTCAACGGCACCGGGCACGCTGCGGCGAGCGCACAGACGCTGTACGGCTCCCACTCGAGCTTCACGCACCCCCGTTTCCAGCGCGACATGGAGACCCTGCTTCCAAGCATGAAGCCGCGCAGCAGCAAAAAGCCCAAGCGCGCAACGGCCTCTGCCGCAGGTGCAGGTGCAAATGGGGAGAAAGGCGACTCGGATGGCGAGGACGAGTAGCATCGCGCTCTTCTCCTCTCAGGACACATTGGACTTGCACTGCATGGATTCTTCTTTCTCGACTTTTGATTGTCGCCGGCTCCCTTCTGATCCGCCAGAAGGCGTCCTCGATGCGGCTAATAATGACCCATCGGGACAGACACGATCCCACCTTGTACCACTGCCACCAATAGCAGCAGCGTGGACAATCGATACACACTCAGTCGCGCATGTTCTATATCTTTCCTTTTCATGTTGAACCCAAATTTGCTGTATCATAGCTGTGATCACTTTCAGCGTAGTGCCATTCTAATTGCCTCGCTCGCATAACATTACCATCGCGCTAACACCTGACGCCCCCACGCTGACTAGCGCTCAACACTGCGTATGGTCGACACGAAAATCGATGCGCCGGCGCCTCATAGCACGAGAAACCCCGAGAAGTTTGCTGCGGGTGGCATCCCGTGAATCTTCCAATTCCTCATGGGTACATTTGCAATGCCAGGGAGCACGAACCGCTCCCATACACTATCACCCATTATTTCGTCCTTGCTGCTCCTGTTGCTCCTTGTCGGCGAGCTGCGCTACGCGCTGCAGCTCGTGCAGCACGCCGCACTTCGTCTGCTGCTGTTGCTCCTGCTCCTGCTCGTCAGCCTGTACCTGTGCCTGCACTTGCACCTGCAGCTGCGCCTGCGCCTGCATGCGTGCGCGGCGCAGATCGACGATAGACTGGCGGTCGAGATCGAAGCGCTTGTTGAGCAAGTCGATGTGATGCGGCTGCAATATCATCCGCTCGTCTTCCGGCTCCGGTTCCGGTGGGGCTTTCGATGATTCGGGTGATGCTGCTCCATCTAGTGTCGAGGATACAGGCTTGGCGTCTTGCTCTCCTTTAGAAAGGGGAGCAGCAGCGGCCAGCATATCCTCGAGATCCTTACTCTGCACAGCCTTGATGCGCCCGAGGGCAATCATGCCCTGGAGGTACTCGCTCGCCTTCCACGCCTTCCAGTGGCTGTACGCGCGCCAGCAGAGGTAGAAGAAGGGCAAGTTCGGGATGACGGGAACTAGTGCAAACGGAATGGTGAAAGGCATACCGACGACGCAGTAGATCAGCCGCTGCCGGTGATGAGGCGTTCGGTGCGATACAAGGTTGCGCAGCGAGCCGAGCAGCACCGTCGGTGATACGCGAAAGTCGCCGCTGGGGAGTGTGGATGGGTAGAGCAGCGGTATCTGCGGGGGTTCAATGTCAGAGTGAGAACCAGGTCTGAGTGATGAACACAATTCTTACGCTCACATCCCCTTGGCCTGACACTATGCCATGCTCTTTGGCCAGGCTTCCAGCATCGCCAGTTGCAGCACGCATTCCCTCTCCCTCTTGATGCCCTTCTGCGCTTTTGCTCCTCTTGATCTCTGGACCCAGCGCCGGGTCGATCGCCTTGAGGCTCCACTCTGTGTAGTCGATCCGATCCATGAGCTTCTCGCCCACATTGTACGTCCGCCGCTTCCAGTCGAAGGTGCTCTTGGCACCGGGCTTGCCGAGGTCCATCCAGAAGTTCGAGGCGCGAGTCAGCAGGCGTGTCGCGAGGGGCGTCTTCGTCTCCCCTTGCGGGTCAAAGCTGGAAGATGAGGTGGCGGAGGAGGAGGAGGACGCAGGATGGGCGGCGGCGCGTTGTGCGACATAGGTGACAATGGGATGCGCGCCGGCTTTCGCCCTGGCCAATGGGATGGCAAGGAGCCTCATGCTGGTGTTGCCGTTGCTGCCGCTACTGCTGCTGGTGGCGGCAGCAACAGCCGCATTTGCTGCTTTTGCGGCTGTGTTCTTTGCTGCCATGGTTTCTGTGCTTGTGGTCTATAATGCGCCTCATACAAGATGTTCCGAACAGGAACGAGCGACTCGCAGACACGCCGGTTTCCGATGCCAACACCCTCGCTTGAAGCAAAAGAGTACCGTTAAACAACAGGAAATTGTCGGCTGAGGATCACTGCCTGGTACAACGTTGGATTAACAAGGCTTCAATGTAAATCGCAACCGGAATGTAGCCGCAAAGTTGCGCCACGTGTCGAAGACTATGTTGGATGGTCTGGGTGAGGCGGTAGTGGCGCTTGACGATGGCTGCCTTTCAGCCTGGGGCCACGGGTGCTATTGTTCTCGCTGCTCTTAACCACCAATCGGCAGCACCAAGCCGGATGCTACGCCGGGAGTCGATTCTGGTGAATTGCCTCCATATACATATTCATCCCTCCCAAGCAAAGCAGTGCTTCACTTTTCAAATGTCGCTGATCACTGTGACATGTGCTGATTGGCAGGCGGTGAACTAGGTGCGACCAGAAACTGCTCCAGTGCCCGACCAATGCAGTCAAAAAACACGTCAACCCCTCCCCTTCGGGGGGACACGTGTGGAGCGGACGTCATCGCACATCCGCACCTCGACCCTCTCTGATCCGAACCAAATTGAAGGATGGGGCTCGGCCGAGAGATGGGGGAAAGTCTTTGCAAATCAACTGGTCCGCCGTCTCCTCAACACTCCCCACCACCCCACCCGAGCTTTCTTCCCCGCACCCACCCCCCACGCAGACATATCATCTGAAAGGCCTTACTCATCATAGTCTCGCTCCACCAGTCCAGAGTGCAAGGTCCGTCCCACCCCTTCTGACTGCCAACCATGAACCGTCATCTCGAGACCTCTTCGTCATATTCAAAATCGGACTTGTACTGTGCAAGGAAAGCGAATTTCGGCCAAAGCCTCGGGCCAACCAGGTTGGCCCGCCGCCAGCTCTGCCTCTGCAACGATGCCGACGACATCGACATCGGCGTCCACCAATGGTGCGACGCCCGTGAAGCACATCTTTCGCTCCCCGTACAAGATCGCCGTCATCCCCGGAGACGGTATTGGCAAGGAGGTAATGCCGCCGGCCATCTCGATCCTGCAAGCGGCCGCAAACAAGTTCAGCTGCGATCTGCAGCTGACCGAGTTCGACTTTGCGTCGTGCGACTACTATGAAAGCCACGGCAAGATGCTGCCCGATGACTGGGTCGAGACGCTGCGTAAGTTCGATTGCATCTACTTTGGTGCTGTCGGAGATCCCAAACGGGTGCCAGACCATGTCAGTCTCTGGGGTAACCTGCTGCTCTTCCGACGGCAGTTTGACCAGTGCATATTCCTGTGGCGCTGTACCCAACTCCACGGGCGGGGGGGGGGAAGTCCGTCAGAAATGCTCATTTTTCCATTCTCTTACCCGACAGATACGTCATCCTTCGCCCAAGCAAGCTGATCCCCGGTGTACCATCTTCACTCGCGAATCCAGGCCCGATTGACTTTTGGATCGTCCGTGAAAACACCGAGGGCGAGTATAGCGAGATCGGCGGGCGAATCGTCCACGGCACCGATCGCGAACTAGTCGCACAACAGACAGTCATGACGCGACAAGGTGTCGACCGCATCTTGCGCTACGCGTTCGAGCTTGCGCGGAGTCGGCCCGCGAAGCATCTCACGAGCGCCACAAAGAGCAATGGGATCAGCGTCACGATGCCGTACTGGGATGAGCGGGTCGAAGAGATGGGCAAGGAGTATCCGGAAGTCAAGGTGGACAAGTTTCACGTGAGTTCGGAGCAGTTGAAAAGCCACTGAGCTGGATTATACCCTTCCAGCTGCTGAAACACTACTCTCCGTCCATGATCCCTAGATCGACATCCTGACTGCTCACTTTGTCCAACGTCCGACGTTCTTTGATGTCGTCGTCGGCTCAAACCTGCTTGGCGACATCCAATCTGACCTCGGTCCAGCGGTGACGGGTACGATCGGCATCGCGCCGAGCGGGAACATCGACCCGACGGGCGCAGGGCCGCGCCTGTTCGAACCGGCACATGGCAGCGCGTCGGACATCATGGGCCAAGGGATCGCCAACCCGGTCGGGATGATCTGGGCGGGCAGCATGATGCTACGCCACCTGGTTGAGGCGCAGGCGGCCGACGCAATCCTCGCGGCCATCGAGCGCGTGCTCGGGCGCGGAGAGCGGCGCAGATCACGCCAGATATGGGCCGCAAGGGGAATACCAAGGCGTTTGCCAAGGCGATCGAGGATGCATTGGTCAGTGGCCAATGATCCAGCCGCAACTGCGGGTTCCCTTATAGGGCCAACTTGTCATTTCATCGACACATGTAGCACAAATCACCAGACGCGGAGAGCCCAACACTACGCTCGATCGAAACACTACGGTGAGCTGGTCTTTCCCTGCTCAAAGCCAGCATTCTGTGCGACGAACGCTGCCCGGGATCCCGTAGTGACACCAGTGGGCAAGTGGTAGCATTATGTTGCCGGTCAGGCACTTGCAGCCTTCCCAAAGTGCATAGAAGTGACCCTTCCATCGGTTGGCGTCCGATGCGAAGTGTTGTTCGAACATTGATTCGAAATGGGAAATGGCCCTGACTATGAGAGCCGGAAGCTTCGACTACTTTCTTTTTATGCTAAGAGCGATAAGCACAAAGCAAGAAGTTTAAGAGGTGCGAGCGCTTTTGCCGATTGAGTGAGACGCGTGCAACGAGTTTAGACCCAGAAAGTTGTCTCATATATAACAGGGCCGATGTTGCTCGGAAACTCCGCGGAGGGCATCGATCTCCAAATTTATAGGGGCTCGTTTGTCGATGGCCTGCTGAACGTGACAGGGAGGTGAGCATAGTAGTCCTTGCCAGCTGCTTGCTGCATCTATATCCGACGCAGGTGCCAGAGACACACTCTCCATCACGTCCGCTCTATATGAGTGCATTGGTCTGTGATAACCTCGATCGCGCAGAGCCTCGCTCTTCTTAGCGACAGGAGAGCCGTTGCGTCGAAGAGGCGAGCCTCACACTGGTGCGACCATCTTGCCATCCGACAGTATGCCGCAAGCTGCATCCATCTTTATCTCTTCCATACCCTGATGACAAGGCTGAAGGCGCTAACGACGAGCCCGTATTACGATTCTCTCATGACACGACCAACCACGAAGACACGATCCCAAACCACGACACTCGACGTGACGCGACGAGACATCTTTGTGACGCGCACGAATGAGCCAATCGAACGAAATCACGAACCGTGACAAGCGACCAGCGCAAGCTCGGCTTGCTTAGAGGTTCACCTGGGAGAAAGGAGGTAAGAGCAGAGGGACCAGGGCATCACAACACTATCCAATATGGTCAACTTTACCTGTCCGGCGGACCCGGTCATGCCCAAGGACCCGGTCCCTTTCATCAGTAATGGGAACATCAACTTCAAAGGTGAGTCTCTTCAGCTGAATGCACACCTTTCTCGCTCGTAACAACGTACAGTGACTCACAATCTCTGTGTGTGGCAGCCCATGATGTCGGCTGGCTCGTCACCATTTTCTTCACACTGGTGGCCACATTCGCCTCCTTTTGGCTCATCTTCAAACACCTCACGTACTACACGTGTCCGCTACAGCAGCGGCACATTGTGCGCATGCTTTTTATGGTACCCATCTACGCCATCGTCTCGTGCTTCAGCTACCTGTTCTATCAGGAGGCGATCTACTATCAGACCATCCGCGACTGCTACGAGGCAGTCGTCATCACCAGTTTCTTCTACCTCTTCCTGCAGTACCTCGGTGACACGCGCGCAGAACAGCATGCCGTCTTCAAGCAGGTCAAGCTCAAGAAGTGGATGTGGCCCATGGGATGGCTCAAAGCCAAGCCAAAAACAGGTCTGGGCTTTCTGTGGGTAATGAAGATCTGCATCCTGCAGTACGCCGTCATCCGGCCCGTCTGCACACTCGCAGCTGTGGGCCTGCAGTACTTTGGTCTGTATTGCCTCAACAGTTTTATGCCTTGGTTCGGACACGTGTGGATCAGCGCCGCCATCTCCATCTCCGTCTCTGTGGCCATGTTCTGCATTCTGCAGTTTTACATGCCGCTCAAGAAGGAATTGGCACCGTATCAGCCAGTTCTCAAATTCCTTGCCGTGAAGTAAGTCGCGCGGAGAGCGAGCTTGATCATTTCATTTAGGAAGGCTGACAGTGCTCCGTGTCCCTCTGACAGGTCTACCGTCTTTCTGACCTTCTGGCAGGACTCGTTGCTCTCCATCCTCGTCTTCTTCAAAGTGATCAAGCCCTCGCAGTACTTTTCCGCAACCGAGGTCCAAGTCGGCATCAATGCCCTGCTCGAGACATTTGAGATGGTTATCTTTGCCTTCTTGCACATCAAAGCCTTCAACTACCGCGTCTACCGACCAGCCGACCAGAAGCGCACGACGAGTCGTTGGCGTGCACTATGTAACGTGCTCGATTTCAGGGACTGGTTCTTTGAGATGAAGGACTCTACGATCTACCTCACACACAAGGCACAGGGGCGCACCTACTCGTACGTGGAGGATGTGCGCGCGCAAAAGTACAAGATCTTGCAGGAGGCAATGGGACGCGGACGCGACGAGGAGCTGCTGAGACAGATCGAGCACGAGCGCGAGACGTTACCAGCGTTTTGGAAGAAGGGCAGCGAGAAGGAGGGGCAAGGGGACGACGGAGCTCATGGCAACGACGAGACGAACGTCGGCGACTTGGATATCGAAAAGCTCGGCGCACGCTCCATTCCTGTTGGTTGCAATAAAATGGCCACCAAGGCAGATAGTAGAAGTGGCAAGAACAAGAGCGGCAAGATGCTCACCAACGCTTCTGACTCTCCGCTCGTCAAACTCGAGGCTCTTGGACCACCAGAGGGACCAGGGGGAGAAGGAGAGGGGGACGAAGAAGATGGGCTACTTGAATACGCAGCGCGCATTAGCAAACTTGACGCGCTGCTAAACCCCGAGTCCAATAGGCAAAAACAGCATCCTGAGCTTACGCTCTTCCACAGGCCTCCGGTCTTTGATGGCGAGTTGGGACCGGCCGACCCGCAGCTCGAGGATGACTGGCGTGCCCATAGCCTGTGGAGCGAGGTGTACGATATCCGGAAAGGGAAGAAGGATGAACAACGCCACTCAAGGAATGACGAGAAGGATGAGGGAGATGGGCACAAGAGGGAGCGCAGCTGGTGGCGCAGCTTGCGCGATCGCCTTTCTGGCTCGTGGGGCGGGGAGGGCGGCACGCAGGACAAAGACGCCATGGATGATGCGGCGGCTGAAAAGGTCCCAATCATCCAGGAGGAAGAAGAGGTCGACGAGGCGAGCGAGCATCCGTTGCCGAACGCACGGAGCAAAGAGGGCTTCGTGGCGGACCCGTCACGCTTTGCATTCGAGTCGCCGCTCGACGCGCTCATGGCCACAGCAGCGCGAGGCGAGAAGCCTTCTGTGCGTGCGGGCCGAGCCGGCGTGGGGAGCGGGTTTGGCGGCACAGGTGTACGAGCAGCAAGCGAAGAGAAGCCAGAGCAGGCGCCGTATTTCATGCCACTTCCAGTTTCGCGGGCTGTACCCATACCTGTCTCCGTGCAGGTCTCGTCGTCAGCTGCACTTCAGCACGTACAGTCCACCGTCGCTTTGCACCGGAACGACTCGCTAGCGGTGCAATCGTCTAAAGTGGCAAGCTTGTGCGCTTACACAAGCACTTCCGCTTCGCAAGGCGGGCCTATCGAGCGTTTCGCCATGAGTGAAGCCAGAGCCACTATCGCTAATACCGGTGCTGGTGCTGCTCCAGCGGCTCAACCTACTCAGCTGCCTCACGTCCCAACTGAACCGAGCGCGGTCGGGGTAGGCTCGATTCGATGGGCGCCTCAAGACACACCGCGCGAGATGCAAAAGGAGGCTTTGGCTGCAAAGGCCGCTTCCAGTGTAGCTGGCGACCGCATCGGCTGGGGTGCCAAGTCATGGCAGCCGTCCCAAGGCACTGCAGTTGGGCCCAAAGGCATGAAGATCAACCTCGTCATGCCCGGCTCACTCTCGGGCTCATCAACTCCTGCTTCTTCAAAACCGGCAGTAGCATCCACATCACTTCCCATTGCACCGTCTATGCTGCCAAAGTTGGCGGTCGAGGTTCCCCATGCGCAGGCACAGCATGTTCCACAATCGCGCCCCAGCCTCGACCTTCGTTCGCAAAACACCGCTGCGTCGCCTCCTTCGCGCAGCGTGCCACCGCACATTAGCAGAATCGAGCAGTGGTGCGGCCAGGCTGCTGTCATCCCGTCCAGCATGCCCATCGACCAGAGGCAGAGCGAGCTATCACAGCCAAGGGCTCGCTCTAGCTCGCAGTCGCAGCTGCGCGGTACTCATGAACAGCAGTCACAGCGGACATCGGTGCAGGAGCGTGCGCTGCCATCTGTACAACCGCGGCCCGGTGGCGAGAGTGCAGGGAAGGCGCCGCATCACATGCTGAACCATACGGAGACAGGCCGGGCCCGGCGAACAAGCGCCCCTCCGGCACCGAATGTCAAAGTGCAGGCGGCCGAGCCTCAGAAGCGCAAAGGCAAGGATAAAGATCGGTACAACACCACGACCGATATTCCCGCTCCTTCGCAGATGGGTCAGCAGGTAGCTGACGAGGATCCATTCGCGGCCGGTGCGCATGCGTTGGAAGCCGATGCCACTCCTGAAGAGTCACCCAAATCAGCCCGCGTGATAGCGTCGACGAAGGCGACCAGCGGGCCAAAGCATCCTCACCTCTCTTGTGTGCAGGCAGCGGGCGGTTCCGCTTTTGCCGTAGGCAGCATTGTCACACCCCGTGCGCTTGCACAGGCCTCCGCACTACCGCATCACCACTTGCAACAACAGCAAATGCAGATGCGTATGAAGCCGACATCGCCATCGCAGCCGTGCTATGGCCAACCGCTCTCGCCGATGCAGGGCTCGAGTCTGCACCGCGGCGTGCCGTCTCCGCAAGCTGCATACGCGCATCCTAGCATCCGAACATCACGGCAGGCATCTATGCCGACCCCATCGGCATATCACCGGCCGCCTGCATTGCCCCACGCGCCATCGCAACGGACGCAAGGCTTGCAGCACTCGAACCAGATGCACAACCGCTACACTGGCGAGCCGACCCGGAGTGGTCGCTCACAGCCCCACCAACAGCAACAAGATAGGCCTCCGCAGCGGCCAAGGCACAGCATGCCGCCGGCCACGCCTGCGCCCAAAGCTGGGCAATTTGGACGGATAGAATACATCGACTAACAACTCGCACGATCTTCATATACCCCACCCTGTAAAGTACCATACCACAAGCCTGATTGATACCACTCAGAATTCAGATATTTCGGATTCCCGATTTGACGCACGGTTTCTCACGTTCTGTGGGTGTGATGATCGTCCTTTACAATACAAATACAATTCAAGTACGAATACAGGGAGTCGTGCTAGCACAGATGTTCTTGAAGCTCGGAGAGGTAGCATCGGCCGGGTCCAATCAGGCATTCTGCTGCATGCCGAGGACGCCGCGAATCTGGCCCCAGCTGGATTTGAAAACGGTATCGAGACGTTGAACGAGGCGGAGCGCTTGAAGCTCCTCGTCTTGCCGGGAGGCTGGCGCGGGCCTGCGACCGAGGCGGCCCAGCCCGCCTTTGAGGCTGGACATGCTTCGAGAGGCCCGGAGAGGGAATTGGACGCTGTTGCTGTTGTTGTTGCTATTTTGTGCGGCGCTGATGGGGTTTGCTGAGAAGATGGTGTGTGAGGCGCTGGCTGCAGGTGCTGCCGCTGCTGTTGCTGCCGGTAGCGCAAATGACACCGGCTGCCGTGCCTTACGCGAGACGGGATATGTGGGAATGAAAGTGTCGCGCCTCTCCGAAAGACTACCCTCTGCCAGCCGCGGCTGCGCCTGTTGCTGAGATTCATACTCCTCCTTTTGTTTCTGCACGGGTGCAGGCGGCGTAGCGAGCAGGTCAAGCCTCTGCGCTGTGGAGATGCGCTTGCTGCACCGAACGCTTTCGCTGCGCCGGAGAAGCTGCTGCTGATGGTGCTCGGGAAAAGCGGCCATGGAGGCGCGCGCATCGGGCGCGGGAGAGCCGAGCTGCAGACCGAGGAGGTTACCCATGGAGCGCGAGTGCCGGATCTGTTGTTGCTGCACTGCTTGCTGCTGCAACGCAAAGGTGGTGTGCTTCCAGTCGGCGCTGGATGGCAAATGGGTCAGCAGGCTATCTGCAAGACCCCAGCCGAGCGGCGATGTGTACGGTCCGCATGTCCGCTCGTCATCCTCATCGGATGAGCGGTGCTCGTCAAATTCTAGGAGATGGCAAAAGCGGCAACGACCGGTAAGAATCTCTCCATAGCTTCAAGTGCACGCGTTCAGCGCTGCCCCCCGCTTGCGCAACTCACCAAAAGCGTCAAAAGTCTTCTTGAGCTCGTGATCCAAGGATTGCAGCTCCTTGCGCAGCCTGGCTTCGCGCTCGAGCTCCAACTTGCTCTCTTCGAGCGAGTGGCGCGAAGGGCGGTAGTCTTGCGCCTCGCCTTGATGCGGCTGAGACCGGAGGTGGTGCTGTAGGTCGACGCTCGTGCCCGCTGTGCTGGCGCTGTAGGCGCTGGCGTCGCTGACGTCCGACTGCTGCGTGGAGTTAGAGGACTGCGACGAGGTCGATTCCATAGGCACATGGCTGACCTTGCGCGAAGAGGTCCTTCTTGCCATTTTCACCGTCGGCACGCTGTCGGCGAGATGAGTTTCATCTTCAAAAGCGCGACCGGCATTGCAGCCAAAGGAGAACGTTTTGAGCGCGGGCGAGTCAGGACGCGCGCTGCGGCCGTGCTCCTTTTCCGCTGCCTTCTGCTTGCCCTCGCACTGCGGCCACGGCTGTTGTGGTTGCTGGCAGTCCACATCCTCCTCCGAGGCGTATACGGAGCCGATGATGTCATGCAGCTGCGACGCGTATGACGCGAGCGCCTCCATCCGGCGGTAATGTGAGCTGCCGAACCGGTGCGCATGTGCGGGCTTGTCATGCTGCTGCTCCGCGTCGTCCGCCCTATTGCCAGCGCTCCTCGCAGCCACTACGCCTGTAGCTTCCCACGGGGACTCAGCGACATGTCCAGGAGCGTGCACACGCTCAGCGCTGGGCGCCGCCAGCTGAGCTGATGCAGCTTCGGGAGCAGCAGCAGCTGTAGCAGAAAGAGAGGAAGAAGGCAGCAACTGCTCGTGAAGCTGCAGACAATTGATCAGGAGCGGGTACCGATCCTGGATCGTGCGACTGGCGCGTTGTAGGATACGCTCGCGGCGCTGCTGCTCGACATCGCTCATCTCCTTGACGCCACTGCTGCCGTCGCCGCTTTGGGCTTCTGCTTCTACTGCCCCTGCAGCCGCCATCGCCCCTGTTCTCGTTCTCTGCAACGGCCGGGGCATCGACGCGTCCGCTACTGAAGACGAGGCGGAGCGCGAGAGTTTGGAGAGCATGTTGGCAGCCGCTTGTTTTCTTTCATGACTTCCTGATGCAGGTACAGCTGCCGTGGCCGAGGGAACCGCCGCCGGGAGGGCACGCGTACGCGCCGGCGCGCCTGGGCACGCCGTCTTCTTCATCTGCTTCTGCTGCTGCTGGCCTTTCGACTGTGTGAGTGATGCTGCGAAGGACGGTGGTGGCGAGGTGGGTGTGACGGGCACCGTGCTGATCGAGAATGCCTTCGAAGCAGCGCTGATGAAGGCACAAACCGGCGCAGCCGCAGGCTCTTGGCCACCGAGCAGAGCGGAGAGCGCATCGGAGCGTGCACATGCTGATGAGCAGTAAATGCGCGACTCTTCGTCATCTTCCTCCTCCTCTCCCTCATCTGCCTCTACCACTTCGTGTTCCTCTTCGTCTTGCTCGATGGCGTTTTCGAGCGAGGCCTGCTCGTACTGCTGCAGCTGCAAAGCGCGCATGTGCTTGTTGGAGTGCAAATGCTTCGAAGTCGCCAACGCGACGGTAGGCAGCGCGTCCGCCGGTGTCCGGGGCGCCGTGTCGTCGCTACTGGTGCTGGTGCTGCCGTGGCTGTACGCCGAGTCGGGCGTGCTATCGATGCTACCGTGCCGCTGCATGTCGCTGGTGCCGGCGCTTGTTCGCGCTCGCGCAGATGGAATCAGATTGCCGCAGAAGCAGTAGCCGCGCCTCGCTTGCGGTGCCGCTGAACTGCTGTTGGTATGATGCAGCGGGTGGGAGAGGTCGAGCGGCGGCGGCGGTGCTTGCCTCTTGCCAGTGGGGACAGCGCCCATGTGCGAGTTGAAGGTTGCAACGACCTTGTTGGCACTGGCTTGGCTGCTGCTACTGCGACTGCTGCCAATGACGCTGTTTCGCTCGGTTGAGAGCGAGAACGAGGGAGAAGGTGAGTCCGACGGCGAAGGGGGATGCCAAGGAGGCAGGAGGCCAGCTTGGAGGGCTTGTTCATGTGCGGCAGATAGGGTGGACGCGACAGACATCTTTCCTGGGCTGTTTGCACCAAGGAGGGTGAAACGTAGGGAGGCGACGGATGAGTTTGAGAGAGAGGATCGGCTTTATATTTCGCCGAGCCGTCGCTGTCGCCTTGATGACAACAAGCAAGCGGATAAAATACTATATAACAGACGGAGGGTTGCGGTCGGGACACCGTCTGATGAGCTTTGGTCACGGCCGACCTGTGGCGGATGAGAATTGTTGTGACTGGGCGGCGGGTGTCTCGGGGAAATGTATGTAGCGTCTGGTAGCCCAATGTGCGAGCAGCTGCTTGCGAATGTGTTTCGGAGCGATGGAGCTCTGAAGAATATGATGCGATGATGATGGGAGCCTACGGGTGCGCGGGTAGCAAGAAATGGCAACCCGATGATCTGCTTGAGAACCGCCACAGTGGGGGTGGACGGCGGTTGTCGGGATGGTGTGGTCACGTCGCTGATGCGATTGGTTGCGATGGCTACCTGGTCTTGCTTTCTCCTTCACTTGCTTATAAACAAACTTGCTCGATGCGAGTCGCCTGTTTACTGTACCAGCGGATCAGCAAGGAAAGTCAGATTGAGGAGCAATCACACTACGGTGGGGACCATGGAACACCAGAAGGCCCAGAAGCTGGAAACAACAACTGTAACATCGACCATGGAACTGCATGCATGCATCTACCGTGTACCTATGTATGTAGGGCCGAGGTTCGGTGATCGACATGTGTGCATCGCAGAGAAGCGCGATCACCTTCCATTTCGGTATGTATATCCAGGATTTCAATTTCTGCATCGGCATTCAGCATTGCACAGATGAAAGGAAGGGTTGGGTGAGGGTTGCACTTGGATGAATTGCCACCGTTGTCTGTCTGTACCAACACAGAGTAAGGGGGTGGGTGCTGGTCTGCGAGAATCAATGAGGCCCTGGACGCATTATGTACTCAACCCGCAGCTGCTCGGACGGGATCGGCGATCCATCCAGAAATCCGGTCTGCAGTGTCACGAGAATGCGAGAGAGACGAACAGCGTCGACATTAGCAGTTGGTGTGTTCCGCGGCATGGCCCGCAAAAAGAGAGCCGGTCCCGGTCCAGTCGAGTGTGCGAACTGCGAAGCGTGTGAATATGATCCTGCAGTGGCCAGCACGAAGAGTGGCATTATGGTGATGGTGATGGTGATGGCCGTGATGACGGTGATGAGAGCGCTTAGCCTGAAGAGTCTGCCTGCTGCTGCAAGGGGGTGCACGCGACGCGAGGAGGCGCTGCCGGGTGCAATATTTTCCCAAGAACAGGGGGTCATTTGGCTCGCTCCTCACAACCGAGCCGTCTTCACACTGCTGCAGTGCCTTTCATGCGGCCAGTCGATTTTGGGTCACATCTCATTTTATCTGGATTCCAGAATCCAGACAGGCACTTTCTTCCACTTTTCTGTTCATCTGCAGGTGGCAGGCACGCTTTGCAATCGTCCCAGGTCTGTGCGTCGATACTAAGAGTAGTAGCCGCTTTCAACAAGGGTACGTTCCGGTGATGATGCTTACGATGAGTCGAATGGACCAAAAGGCAATGAATGACAACTAACTACATACATACATACATACATACATACATACCACTTGGCTAAGGATGCCGCAGTGACACATCCCATGGGAACCTATGATAGAACGCCGCTCGCCAGGAGAAATGAAACGCAAAGAGCGCAGCGAGGTGGAAAGCTGTTGTCTATGTTACTCAAACATCCGTTCATCCCTAGGCAAGATCATCATCCTACCGGCCCGATGTCGCCAAGACGTCCACGAACAGTGACAGGTTGATCATATATCATAATTTCGCTCCGGATTTACATATATCTTCGCGTCGTAGGGTGGTAGAGTCCTAATGACATAAGCGCTGAACTGGTACGGGGACGACATCTTTGCGTCCGTTGAAGGCAGAGCCGTGTTCTTCGAACATTCGCCGTCGATGCGTTGCTGTAGTGGATGCAGATGCGCTGATGGTTGTGAGTGATGTGCACGGTGATCGATTTGAACGATGAAAGATTAGCAGTAGGTGGGCCTGCTGTGTACAAGCCACACGCCTATGCAGGTCTGATCAGACGCAAGGCGCTCGTCTGACAGAGACGTCAGCTTCACACATCGAGCATCAAGATATGAAGACATCAAGCTCCCAAGCGTCGCCGCTTCAAGCGCTCCTCGTCCAAGGTATCAGACGGTGCACGCACAGAGTCTATTGGCTTGATCTGTGGTTGCGCCTATCGGTCTCCAGTCGCTCGATCTGTTTGACCCGCGTCGTTTACCCCAACTATCGCTTGAGTACATTGAGCAACTCACGCCAACAGGCTCGACCAAAGAGCGTGTATACCAACCGATTCTACGTTGCAGGTCGCTGCAACATCCTCGAGTATGTATTACGTCCACAGAGAGAGAATTCCGAGCTACTTCCGGCCCTACTTTCCTGAACATCTCCCTGACATCCTCTCTGTGCGTTCAGCTTCACGCACGAGCGCTATCGTTTCATGTGCACGTCCCGTGAAACCACCTTTGTAATAGCCATCGTGGGCCGGGAAGAAAAGGGGGACAAATGAAAGTAATGTACCTCCAGCCTGCATATAGGCTGCAACCATTTTCGGGCCGTATGATTCCAACGCCACGGTGCACGAGGACTGCGATCATTGAGCACGGTGCAGAAGCGCCAGTCTTTGGTCCCAGTGCACATCTGACCGATGTGGCTTGAGTCGTGTATATGTGCGCGCAAACGAAGGCACTCTACGTAAATGATGCACAGCTCGCTGCGCAAGCCTGCGCAGTTTAGGTGGCTAGTGCAAGTTGGGGAGGGCTTTTGGACCTTGTTACCTGTAATCAGAAGTCAGATACATGCAATCGGACCTCTCATCAGGCCTTCCGATGACGCTACTCTCGTTGAGGTGAATCGGAACCCATGTAAATGACCCTATTTCTTACCGCGAAGTCGCCATTTGCAGACGTCGACGGCGAGAAGCTTACCATATACATCATCAAGCATCTGACTCCAAGGGCCGAAAAGGTCCAGAAAAACTGCTCAATGGTGCGAATGGGACCCTTCACTCCTCGTATGTTGAGCATTATATTAATGGTTGCATGGATCACTGAGCGTGGCAAGTGAAGCAAGAGAAAATCAACGAGAACCGTCAAGAGTTTCCCCAGCGGGAATAGAGTGTGAGTCTCAAAGGATGAGCGGTGGCGCGCTCGCACTCATCAAAGACCTGAGACGACGTCACATTCTCAATCTCTTCATGTTCACGTCAATCTTTGTCGCTATCGCTGTTGAGACAATCAGAATCGTCCTGGCAGCCACCACCCATCAGGCCAGTGGGATCCATCGCCATTGCTGCCAGCTGCTGTGCAACCGCGGGATTGCCGAGACACGCCTTCGACCCCCTCGTACGCGGTACGCATCCCCCCGTTTCCCCACAAACCCCTCAAGTCCCTTGACTTTAAGGGTTCAAGCGACATCCTGCGTCTCGCACGACCGCCTTGGCTACGTTCTCTCACGCTCAGCTCCCCTTCCCGCGGTCCAGCAGCACCAAGCGCATCATTGTTGCTGAGGATGAGCAGCAGCCGGCCGTCGGCCATCACGGCTGCGTTTAAGCCAACGAAGCGGACCCATGCTTCGCAGCAGCACGAGTCAGAATCAGCGGGTTTTCACAACCCTTCCGCATCGTCCGCCTTTTCCAAAGGCTTCAAGATCCCCGCGCTGGATGGAAAGAGCAGAGTGAGGAGCGGAAAGGCTGCCCCGGCGTTTACGGCAGCGGGCTCTGTAGAGATGCTAGAGCCACGTTCAACGAGGTCAAGAACCTCCAGTGCAGCTGATACTGCTGCCGTTGCCAGCTCGTCCAAGGACAGCAATCTGATAACCGATCTCCATGCTTCACCTAAGAAACGATCGCGGATTGATGCGCAGCCGAAATTGCTATCCAAGGGGCCGAGGGGAAAACACGCCCAAGCCCAAGCCCAAGCAAGGGCATCCGACCCCGAGCTCCCACCGCTCCTTCCCCCTCACCTCGTCTCGGCATACACGACGGTGGCGCATCCAACGCTTCCCTTCTCACTCTCCACCGCCATTGCGCATCTGCGCCAGACGGATGCGCGCTTCGACAAGCTCTTCGCCCTCGTGCCGCTGCGCCCGTTCCTGGAACTAGAGCGCAGCGAGGTGCGCGAGCTGGATCTTTTCAAGACGCTCTGCACCAGCATCCTTGGGCAGCAGATCTCCTTCCTCGCGGCGAGGTCGGTGTTGTACAAGTTCTGCAGGCTTTTCGTGCTGCGGCGGTGTACCTTTAAGAATGACGCGGCCGCGGGGGCGACGATGGCGCGAGGAAGTGCAGTGGACAGGGACCGAGCAGAGAAGCTGATGCCGGAGCAGCCAGACTATGAGGCGTTCCCGCGAGAGAAATGGCCGTTTCCCACGCCGCACGAGGTGCTAGAGGCGAGCGATGACACGCTCAGGGGAGCCGGCCTTAGCGGGCAAAAGGTCAAGTACATACGCGATGTCGCGAGGCGATTCGCTGACGGGAGGCTAGACGCTAGGAAGTTGATCGCAATCGAGGAGGAGGAGGTGGTCAAGGAGCTCGTGCAGATCAAGTGAGTCGTACACCTACACCTACGCACCAGCTGCGTTCTGTCTCGTCCGCTCACCTTCCCTTGGCGCGGCCTTGTTTCAGGGGCGTCGGCCTCTGGACAGCCGAGATGCTGCTGATGTTTGCGCTGCGGCGCCCAAACGTCCTACCAGTGGGAGACCTAGGAATTCAGCGCGGGATGCTGCTGTTCTACCTCGCCTCGGCGCCGAAAGCCGACGAGGACGGCGAGCTGATGCTCGCAGGCGTCAGCGTCAGCGAGAGGAAGCAGGCGCCAGAGAAGGTGGCCAAGCGCCGGCAAGGGGAGGCGCGGTGCCAGGACACAAGTGGCGTCGATGGAGACGCGCTTATGGGCGTGACACCCAGTCAGGCACAGGCAGTTGAGGCAGAGGAAGTGGTAGAATATGCGACGAGGGAAGTAGGCGAGAAGCATGCTTCGCAGATGTCTTCCGCCTCTGCCTTCGATCTCGCCTTGCCGTCCCCTGCTACAGGTGCAGCCGACGTCCCACTGGGTGGCGCGCGGCGCATCCAGCCGATCCCAGCGGCATCTGGCCTGACGCCTGCGACCTTGCGTGCGAGAAAGGATGGCAAGAAGGTCAAAGGCGCCTACCTGACGCCAGAGGAGATGCGCGCGCTTGCACAGCCGTGGGAGCCGTACAGGAGCATCGCGAGCTTTTTCATGTATGCGCTCATTGATGATGCTCCCAGTAAGTGAAGCTAGTGTGGAGAGTAGAGTGGAATCACATAGGGTTTTTGTAATTGTTGCTGTATGTGATACTGTCGCCCGCAAACTATCTATTCAAACAAACCTCCTTGAAGCATGCATTGAAAAAACTTCTATGCTCTGCGCTGCGCGTCATCCTGCGCTAGCCCCTGCTCGTCAACAATGAAGACCTTGACGACGCCCTTGCCATCCTCACTCTTGCCCATACGCATCGTCTCGAACGCCAGTTGCGCATCCTCGAGCCTGTAACGATGCGACACGAGGTTCTCGATCCCGCCGACGCTCGGCTTCCTTGCATCTGGGGAGCCGGCGCCGCGCTGCGTGATGGCGCCGCTCGCGAGCAGCTCGATCGCCTGTGGGTAGACGCTGGCGTAGCGGAAGACGCCGAGGATGTCCACCTCACGCAGGGCGGCGCTTCCGATCGGGAACGCGCTCTGGATCGGGTGGCCCATGCCAATGAGCGCTACACGCCCACCGGGACGTGCGGAGAGGATCGACAGCTGCACGCACGACGGCACGCCGGTGCACTCGAGGACCAGGTCAAAGCCTGCCGAGACGGCGGGGAGGGCAGTGTCCGAGGCGCCGCTGCTGCTGAAATGACGGAGTAGATCGTCGGCCTGTGCTTGCGCTTTTGCAACGCTCGCATCATCCTCCGCCTTCCTTCTCGCGCGCTCATTCGCTGCTGCGTCAGCATGTCCGTTGGCCTTCCCATGAGCCGCTTCGGATGTCGATGCCGAAGCCGGAGGCGCAGAGGCCGATGCTGATGCCGGCGTGAGCGGGAGCAGGAACGTCGCGTCGGCCCAGCCCATGCTCTTCGCCACGTCGAGGCGCCCCTGGTCAATATCGATGGCGGCGACGAAACGCGTGCCTATCGCCTTGGCCGCTGCACACGCCAGGAGGCCGACGGCGCCGGCGCCGACGATCAGGATCGAGGTATCCGGCGCCCCATAGTGGCTGACGCCTCCAGAGGCGGGCGTGGCCCCGGCGGGAGAGAAGCGCGCGCGGCGGAAGCCCTGCAGCACGACGGAGAGGGGTTCGATGAGGGACGCGGAGAGAAGCGAGACGTTATCGGGAATGCTAGTAGTATTTCCGAGTGGGTGAGGCCGATCGACGGTCAGCAACAACCAAAAAAGGAATGAAATGAAAGTCCTAACGAGGCACAAGCACTCAAGCGCCTGCTCACCGATGCAGCGACCACGCTGGCCAGTTCATGTACCGCCGCAGAGTCCCGTCGAGGTGCGGCGTGGTCTTACAGCTGCTGGCGAAGCGCATGCGCGGACACAGGTTGTACCTGCCTTCTTCACAGCGCGCGCATGCCTGCCCCTGCTGGCCGCGGCACGGGAGGCCGGCCTCGATGGCGACGCGGTCGCCGACTTTCCACGACAGTACCGGAGCCGCTTCTGCTGCCGCTGGCGAAGTTGAAGAGAATGCGGATCCAGAAGCTGCTGCTGGAGCAGAGGGCCCGACGTCGACAACGATCCCGGCTGACTCGTGTCCGAGGCACATGGGATGCTGCAACTTGAACGCTCCGTTTGCGCCGTGGACGTAGTAGTGCAGGTCGGAGCCGCAGGTGCCCGTTGCGAGGACCTGGACAGTGACTTGTCCTGGCCCTGGTGGGTCGAGCGGGACATCGGTCTCCTTTTTCACAAAAATTTCAACGATGGGGCCGAGAAAGACAACCCAAAACGCCAGTGAACTGTCAGCGGAGAGGACATGGTGAGGAAGACCGTGCACGAAAGGCAGACACTCACGATGCGGATGTCCCGCTTCCCGTGCAGTTTCGCGAGCGTATTGCTCCTGCTGTTGCCAGAAGTAGAGCCTGAGGTTGCTGCCGTTGCCGAAGCAGTGCAGTGGCCATGTACTTCCGCTACCATGTCGGGGACTTGTGGATTGACTTGCGTGTTCGTTTTCGCTTGCTTTCGCCAAGTGTAGCACAAATGCTCCGGGCGGTTGGTTGGTTGGTTGACGACGGGTTGGACTGTGGGACAGAGATGGCTGGTCGGAAATGGAGGGCTACGTGGAGGGGTATTTCAACTGTTTGCACCCTTGGCTGGCTCTGAGAGGAAGCAATGCATGCCTGGGTGACAGGGGATAGTTCGTCCTGTGTTGAAGCTCAAGAAGAGGTGCTCCGCGTGGGGAGAGCCCTGACTCTGCAAGAATGGGGCCAGTCACCTGTGGGCCGTGGGGGGAGGGGGACAAGGGACATCATATCCGGTGGCCTCGAGCTGGTTCCGCCCATGTCCTCGTTCCTTTATCATCTCCAAACGCCGGACCGGGACCAGACTCTGACGTGGGGGGGAGACGGGCTGCCGACTGTGGATAGTGAACTGTAGACTCCCAGTTGCACCGAATACTTTTGGAAGTCATCATCACATCCTGGTCGCGATGCAATGTGCATGTTGTGAGGGTGGCAGTGAGGTAGCAGGTATACTGGCTGTGGCGAAAAGAGAGACCTGTTTGCAGGAAAGGCCAGGCGCTACGTGATCGGATGGCACGCTGACGCGCTACATGCAAATCTGCCAACGATCGTCACAGTCAACTTCGCGCTTGACCAGGATCGCAGCGACAGTGTTACGCTCCGTTGTATGCTGCGTCGTGCAGCATTCGTCATGGTCGATCGGGCTGGCGACACACACGAGGCCGGGGGTGTGGATGGTGATGACGACCACTCCACTTGTTACGCCCTTCTACCCGACCTCTTCCTGCTTCGCGCAACGCTCAAGCCATCGGAGTTCAGCTGGATCGGCACGCCAGACGAATGCGATGAATGGCAGCGCCTGCTCGACGAGTACGAGGAGCATCAACACGGGTCTAACCTACCCGAGCACTCGGACCGATATCTAGCACCAGCTAAGGAGCTGTCCTTCAGCGTCGTGATTCTAGGCACCAAAGATGTGGCCTCGAACGGAGTGAACAGCACAGCAAGACCGCCACTCCCGCGCGTGACGCTCAACGTGCATGCACCGCTCACATCGCCTCATGAGACGCCACGGCGCCCGCAGCTTGTCCTCTCAGCGCCTGCGCTGCAAGCAGCTTCGTGTCCCGCACCCGCACCCGCAGCCATGATCGCCGGGTCGCCTGAGAGCTCTGCAGCGCATTGGCTCCAGCAGCTGCAATGGCAGCTCGAGACGTGGTGGCGCGAGCTCAAGGGGGAAGAGAACCAGCTGTTCGATTTGTACACGCACCTTGCGGCCTGGATCGCCGATCATCACATCCCGATGGAGAAGCTTCCCTTCTCGAACCCCACTGACCATTCCTTGCCGTCATATCCCCTGGCAGAGCCGTCGGAAGGCGCAATACACTCCCACAGGCCCCGCCGCCGCTGCCTCCGCCCCTGGGGCGTGCAGATGCACCGCCAGATTTTCTACACGCACCACCTCCTTTCGCAGGTCAAGCAGCGCGAACTGGCCGCCTGGTCTGCTGAGCTCGGTGTTTGGCTGCTCGTCAAGCTCGGTTACCCTGGCTTCCTCGTTCTCGAGGGCCCCAAGCACAGCTGGGAGCAGAGCCTGCTCGCCGCTCCGCCCGGGCAGCCAGGCGCAAGTGCGAGCGCATGCGCCGGGGTAGGAATTGGAGGAGGCGCGTTGGAAATGAGCAGACGCATCAAGGGCATGCAGTGGGCGAAGCTCAGCGCAAGGACCGAGGTCGACTGGGTGCATACCGCTGCACCGCCCTCGTCATCGTCATCGCAACGCCGAGACCAAGACGAAGGCGACGGCGACGAAGCCGACATGGAGGAAGGCGCGCTGCTCGCGTGTCCGCTCGCTCGAGCTTGTGTGCCAGGGGCCGGCGCGAGCGGCGGCAGGGAGGGCGCACGAGGCAAGCTGAGGACGTGCATGCGTAAGACAGAGACTCTGAAGGAGATCGTGGAGTTGTAAGTTTCGTGGGTGCATGGCAGTTTGCTATCTTGTTCTTCGGCATATCTCTCTAGGATACCCGGCCAGTGCTGACGGTGCTGTTGTCGTTGTTGCTCTACTTCTTGGATAGAATGCGCATGGTGGGCATACCGGAGGACGAGCTCGTAGATGGCTTGAGTCTGCGTGTCGGGAGCGGCAGATAGACGCATCGCTCCTACGGCGGGCGTGGTACCCCACGCCATGAACTACCTGTCTCGAGGGCAAAGGGGGAAGGTGTCCTGCCCAATTATGCTACAACAAGGTCACCTCCTACAAGTACACTTCCTCTAGCTAGTTAGCTCGGCTGTCACCCCCTCTTCCCTTCCCACTGCCTGACATAATCAATCCCAGCCTCCTTCGGCGTCCTGTACCCTCCCGCATCCAGTGAGCCTTTCTTTTGCGCTCGAATCTTCAGCCTACTCGGTCCAGCAGCTGCTTTGCTTCTGCCGCCGGCGCAGCCCTCTTCTCGCTCATGCTCTTGGTCTTGCTGCTGGCGCTGTTTGAGCCGCAACGCCTCCTCGCGCAAAGCGGCTGCACGCGCCTCCTGCCGTGCTTTCTCCGCCATTGCAGCGGAAGCTGAAGCCGAGCTGCTCATCTTTTTGGTCGCTTGCTTCTCCTTGAGCGTCTGGTGCAGCGAGAAGCAGAGGTGTCGTGAATATCGCGCTCGACTCGAGAGCAGCTCACAGCCGAAGCCATCCTGATGCTCACCGGCTTTTTATAGAACTTAGCGGATCGACCCATGATGGATTCGCTCAATGCTCGGAAAGTGAGCCTTGATAAGGTGCCGATGGAACACTCTTGCCTGTTGTGAAGTGCAAAAGTGAGCAACAATGCCTTGGATGCGTCAAAGGCGACCGTCCAGACATCCAGAATGTATTAACATCAGCTGCTGAGCAAAAAAATAACTACCGCAGGGAAAAATGAGGAGCGGTAGTCGGTAGAACAAAAAAGAGAAGGCCGCCCCACGTGGGACTCGAACCCACAACCGTGAGATCAATCTCCAATAAGTCCTAGAAGGTCTTTAAGAGTCTCAAATTCTGCCGATTGAAATAGCGAGGCCTGAAGATTCATTGCCATCACGCTGCTATAAGAAGGTTTCACTATCGCAGAAAAATGAAAAGCATAAGAAGAACAAAAAGGAGGCCGCCCCACGTGGGACTCGAACCCACAACCGTGAGATCAATCTCCAATAAGATCCTAGAAGGTCTTTAAGAGTCTCAAATTCTGCCGATTGAAATAGCGAGGCCAGGAGATGATCCTCGAATCAGGTTTGCATATATAAATGTTGCTGGAAAAGGGAATGTGCCTTTCAACATCCGCATCCCGACTTCCGCATTTTTGTCACATTGCCGGAACTGGCTGGGAGTGGCAGCTTCCGTGAGGCTTAGGTCTGGATTTATCGACATACAGCACGAAAATCATCTTCACTTCGTGGTCACGACCCATTCCACTCCATGGTCACTGAGAAGAACTGATGCATTCATGCCGATGAGACGGATGCCACGAATGAATGAAGGATATTTGTGGGCCCACTCGTCTCAAGGCTCTTCAATAGTCGGCGCCAGTCGAAAGGGAAGTGGTGGGGCCGCACCGCCCTCGTGAGGGCGGGCACAGGCAGAAGATGGCCTCAGGTGTGGCAGGCGGTGGTTCGAAGCGGCAACTGGCACCGCTGCTCAAGCTTGGAAGGCAGCACACGCGGGTGGCTACGTGCATAGAGAGAATTCACGAGGGGGGTCTGGTGAGCTATGAGCGGTTCTTGTCTATAGACAACTGTGCAATGTAACTGATTTTCCAATGCGTTCCAAGCAGCGATCAACCGCCGCACAAGCGGGCCCGTCGCGAACATCGCATGCGGCGATCGGCTCTGGTGCACTCCTGAGCTCATCTTCAGGGTTTGCATCTTTCTATCATGTTTATCCCTCCGCATCTGCCTCTTCTGCTGCTGGGCCTGGGACTCCTGGCTCGCTCGGCTTCCTCCACGAGGCTGGGCTGCCGTTCTTGAAGCAAGCAAGCCCAGGTCACGGCCAGTCTTCCCATGCGGAGCAAAGCTCTAACCAGCACACATTCTGTGGTGAGAACTCCGCCGCCGACCAGCCTGTGCGGACTTCCAAAGGCTCACACGGCTTGACCGCCGCTTGGAAAGGCAAGGCAACAACCCCAAACGTCGAGGATGTTGATCTTCAACCACCATCCCAAGCTTTCACGATTGCCGAATCTCCTTCGCAACAGCCAGAATCAATATCGCTTTCTACCCTTTCGGCAAAGGCAGCGGGTAAGCAGCCAGAACGTGCCGGGATTCTACGAAGTTCGGCGAGACCAAGGCTTATCGACTATGAACATGAGCTCGTGCAGCGCTCCCTGAAAGTCACAGACAAAGTCCTTCTTGGTGTGCTTCAGCAAGATGAGTATGACTCGATCCAAGAGGATCATTCCTCGCTAGCAGAATCTTCCAATCGTGCGCAATATTCCACTTCGAGCAAGATAGAAGCATATATCGTCTTGCGCAATCGCGCACGCAGGAACGCAATTCGTGCCTCCAATGGCCCCAGGCGGCAGCAATATTTATCGCGACTCTCCGATGAGCAGCTTGTTTCTCTTGCAGAAGAGACCATCTCAAATATCAGCAGTGCAACGACACCACACTTGGGCGAGCAGGCACAGCAGATTGCTGCGCTGTTCGTGAGTGATGTGAATGGGCCTATTTTCGACGCATCGGACCTCGAAGAAACTGGGCGGGTTTCGTTGCTGCAATCTTCGAGCAATGCAGCTGATTCGACCCAGGCACTGCTGAAAAAGCTCAAGCTTGCAGCTGACAATATCGAGCGGTCGTTCAAGCGGCACCAGAAAACGCGAGCGCCATCACAATCTGGCGGCGGGGAGCTGCGTGAGCTCGCCACCAAAGTTGCAGAAGAGGGAAAGCTGCCGAGCCAAAGTGCAGCTGTAGCGGATGACACTCTATTCAACACTCCGCTTGGCTCTGACAGGCGAAAGCTGGTGCTGGAAGCCGTGGTAAGGAGAGCTGCAGGGTGTGAGCTGTTCCCGCAACAACGACGCGGTGGCGAAGGGAGACGAGGGAAGCGGCCAGCTCTCAAACCCGCTATCTGCACCGATGTCGTCAAATTGCTTCTTGACGAACAAGGAAAGGATGCCCGCGATGCGCTGCCTCTGGTAATCGGCTCGTTATCGAGGACGAATCTGCGAGGTTTGCTCATACAGCTGCTGCGAGCGGGGGACCCCGGGCTCCTACAGACAATAGAGGGCTTGCAGAGGAGGCTGCAAGGTTGGCATATCGCATCGCGTCGAGGAGCATTGGGACAACGGCATTGCGAGAGTCAGGATGCTGTTTCGGACTTTCCAAGCCTGCAAGAAGCTGCACATTTGATAGAGTATTACCTCAAACCAGAGGTCTTCTCTGTCCGCCTCATTAAGCCCTGGAACCAAAAACGGCGCGCCGAAGCAGCTTCGTCGGCTCTGAAGGTCTTTCGCGGCCTCATCGCTCGTCTTTTACGCGCTCCTGACGAAGGAGCTAGCGAGCCATCGTTGTCAGTGGACGAAATCATCCGGCAAAGCCAACGAGACGGACATCTGCTCATAGCCTGGCTCGAACAGCGCGCATCAGACCCTGCACGCTTCGCATCTCAGAAAGCGAACCTCACCTTCTGCTTAACGCTACGGATCACGATGCTACGCTTGCTGCTGCGCGAGAAAGCAGCTGTACGCGCGGCAGTTTTCATGCGTGAGCTAGCAAAAGACATTTTTCGCATGGAGCGTCCGGTCAAAGTCGGCGAGGCAGCAGCATACAGCGGAGCGCCTCCCGACTTCTTGCAGGATCTGGCGACTGAAGCGTCGCATATCGAAGATGTCGCCGCGACGCCAGCTGAGCAGCTGCTCGCATCTTTGTGCTCTCAGACGCTCAAGCTTCACGAAGAGCAAGGCAATCCAGTGCCGGTTAAAAGTGTCCTGGCGCTTTCAGACGCTCTCATTAGTTTGACGCGCGGGGTCGTGCGAGAGTTGTCGCCGGCGGCTGTGCGCTCGTACATCGAGTCGGCCTGCGCTGTCGATTGCGCCAATGCAGCTGCCATCGCATTACTCGCCATGCGGCGGGCGACCGGACATGACCCTAATATCTTTGGCCGGTTGGAACTCAGTCCACAAATCACACTGGACGTGCTGGAGGCCATGGTGAGGGAGCGGAGAGACAGCGATGTGGAGCTGCTTTCGCGCCACGTCGATATCGACGATTTTGGCAGCGAGCAGGACAAAGACAGGTTCTTGCACATCTTGGCGAAGGCGCAAGTGCGCGAGCGCGTGATGCAAGCGTACCGGAAGCTCGACGCTGAGCATCACCTATCGTCAAAATCGATGTGGAGGATGGTGCGGTTGCTATTAGACGAAGGGAATAGCTCGCATGTCGAGGCTGAGCAGATCTACCGGAGGTACTTGGCTCAAGGAGACCAACTCGATGCGTTGGATACGACGCACACAGCATCTGCTGCCCTTGCGATCGGTCATGAAAGCGAAGCGCTTGAGTATTTGCGCAGGGCTATCGATATGAGCACCGAGCTCGACATGTCGTGCTTCAGTGCAGTCTTCCACTACCTAGCAAAACAACAACCTGAATTCGCTGTGCGCATTCTGCGATCGGCTTTCGCTTCTGATCAAGCACGACTGCAAGCCATGCACCCGACACTTGCACAGCTCTTGCCGCCCACGCTCGCTCCACGGCAGCTCGAGCCTGCAGTGCGCTCTGTCTTTGATTTGTGCTGGACATACGAGCGGCTAGATCTGGCAGATCAAGTCTACAGTCTGGCGAATAGCCACAGTCTCACGCTCGGACCTTCTGCTCGTCGCTTTGCATTTTTGCGCACCTTTCACAAACATCGTCCACTGACGGTAGCATTCGCGCTCAGCAACAGCACTGGTCAACGTCAGCTGCTAGCCGACAATGCAGGAGGCATCTGCTGGCTGATCAAACTAGCAGCTCGCAATCAGACTGTCCAAGATGGGCTCAAAATTCGGTCAATGTTGGCGACAGGCGCGGCGGTCCGCGAGGCGACCGCCAATGACTTCAGCCTGGAGGGCGGATTGCTTCTCTTCCAGACACTGTTTCGCGCGACTGGCTTGGTTGACCTCTCTACCGCGCAATTGCTCCTCACGAAGCTCAGAGCCAAAGGTCTGCAAATGATTGCTGGTCATCGGCAGCGGGAAAGAGAAGGATGGCGAGAAGCCATCCGCGCTGTGCTCGCAGCGGCTCGCAGAGCACCTGAGCTGCGCTTCGTCACTCCCATCACGCACTTTCCAAAGTCACGGCTCAGCGGCGTCAGTAAGGCACCCAGCACAGCCAACTACCTCCCTCCATCGTTCTTAAAAGCTGCTGCTACTGCATTTGCTGCACTGTCTGATGGGGCAGGCATCAACGATGTGCTCAATCAGATGCAAGCCCAGGGTTTGAATACTGCAACTCTGCGACAAACGCTTTCTCGCATGAGTACCGGAATGCTTTAGTGCGCCAGCGCAAGTTGTTGTAGTAGAGTACATGCGACGAGCTTATACCAGTACAGACGCAAGGCGAATACATGCTGGTCGTATGAATGTCAAATCTTGCTTGGCTGTGTTTCCGTGATCTCTCTTCCCCTTATGTTGTGGTTGTAAATGCTTGAGCGCCACGAGCACGCACCATCTCTGCCCTTCTTTCGATCTCGGACCTTTCCTTTTCCGACAAGTGTGGGTCCTCCGCGACTTCAACTTCAAAGCTGTCCATGAGGCTGAGGAACGATGTCCGGGTGCGCTGCACGGACGGGTCTTTGCGCGAGCGCAAAGACGTGCTGTTTCCGCCACTGTCGCTGCTGCCTGTGTTCGTCACAATGCCCGAAGCGGCTGCGATCTGGCCGCTGCCAATCTGCAATGCCAGTTTGGACGGCCCAACGCCCACTGTGATTTCAGATATGTCCAGAGGCACAGCTTCGCCGAAAAATTTGCTCAGTCTCTGTGCCTTTCGCGCTCGATGCCGCCGCAGCTCATGCTGGCCATCCGCGTCGTCCACCGACTCTTGTGTAATGAGCGACCCGATCATGGATTCTAAGTCGCTGTCGAGGTACGACGCCTGCGCTTCTGGCTGGCAGCTGTGCGCTGTGGGCGCCTCGACGGTGCTTGGTGTGGCAGGTGACGTAGCGAGGGGCAACCTGATCGATGTAGTTTCGACAGCGGAGCGCTGCAGGAGACCGGCGGAGCTGGGTCGCTTCCAGGCACTGGTTATACGATCGAGAGATTCGACTGAGAGCGAACGAAAGCTGACGGGCCCGCCGTTGTCGCCACCTTCGTCCTCCTCGAGTGAGCAGATGATCTCGCTCAGGAGATCCCGGTCGGTGTCTAGGAGAAACGCCAAGCTGGAGATGGAGTGCCTGTATGCGCTGCCGGACGAGTTGCTCTGCTGTGACGAACTCGTGCAGACAGTGTCGAACTTGCTGACCGCGTCATCTGGAGAGATGAAGGAGATTATGCCATCTCCTCTGCTATCGCGATGACTGACCCCGCGAGGCACAGACGAGTTCGCTACCGGCCGCTCATGTGCGCGCTGTGACGCGATCATCAGCGCCAGGGGTACCTTTTCGCCAAACATCTTCTCCAGCTTGCTCGCCTTTTTGACGCTGGCGAATCGTTCGCGCGCAGAAAAGCTCGACGCGAAGCCTTGTTCTGCTTCTGGCAGGGAACTAGGCGACTTGAGGTCGGCCGTGTTGGTGAACTGCAACTGCCTGCTGTTTCCCTCGTCCACCGCTGCTGCCGCCACGCCCGACCCGTAGCCGTCCCTTCGGAGCGCCTTCAAAAGGCCAGCGGTAGATGCCGAGAAGGGAGATGACGTGGCGCTTTCGGCTGTCGGCGTCGTTGCATCCTGCACAAGATGGCCCGAGACGATCATCTCTGGTGGTACGACGGCACCGAGCCAGCGGGAGAGCTTTGCGATCTTTTTCTTGCGTTCTTCGCGGCTGAGCGTGTTGGTGCGCGCACCGAGCGCGTCCAGCGCGCTCAGTGGGCCGCCACTGTTGTTGCCGACACCAGTGCCGAAGCCAGCGGAGGAAGGGTATGTATGAGATGCAACCCGCTTGGGGCCGGAAGCCTGGGAGCGCAGGTGCAGCTTCTGCAGTGACTTGGGTATAGTCGACGCGGAGTTCTGCGTCTGCGTCGCGGCGATAGTCGTAACAGCAGCGCAAGCAGCAGGGCTGGGCCGATTGGATCCTGGCTCGAGGCCGAGTACGGCTGCTGCTTTGGGCTGCACGTTGACGGGATCAGAATGAGGCTGCAAGTACACCAGACTGATGATCGGCCGCGCGGTGGGGCTAAGCGGGTAGATGCCGTCAATGGCTTGGTGCGATGTGCCTTGCGGAGAGAGGTTGGGCGAGACGCACGAGAAGCTCGCGGAGCGTTTGCGCGCTGCGGGCGAGCTCGCGACCAAGCCAGCTCCCGAGCCCCAGCCGCTGTGCTGCATATAGCGACTGTTGTTGTTGTCCTTGCTGCTTCTCGCAGTGGTGCATGTCGTGGTGGCGCTGACAGAGCTGAGCAAAGACGCCGGGTCGGCTGCATCGACGCTGCCGCGCCGACGCCTGAAACTCCGCTGCGCGAGCGCCGCAGCTTTTGCCTGCTGGGGCCGCATGTACGGGACTATGCTGGCGATCGTGCCGGCCGACTCTTCTCCGAGCAGCCTGGTGAGCTTCTGATTGCGCCTGACTTGCTCGGAACGCTCGTATGCAGTTAGCAAAGCAATGTTGGAGGGCAGGGTGTCCCGTGGTTGTTGCGTCTGCGACTGCTGCTGTTGTTGTTGTTGTTGTTGTTGCTGTGACTGTGGCTGAACAGGGATATTCGAGGGTAGCGGATCTGGGCCGACGCCACTGACAACTGTATCCAGGTTGGCATGGCTGGGCCTGTTCGGCAGCAGCGGTTGATGCATTTCGTCGGCGGAGCCGAAGGAAGCAGAGTTTGCGCTGCTAATGGACGCGATCGAAGCCTTGCGCAGGCTCGGGACATAGCTGTTCCAGTGCTCCACCATGTGGTGCGGGAACGAAGAGGGTGGCGATGAGGACGCTCTGGCCAATGGCTGCTGCTGCGGCGGCAATGGAAGATGATTGGCTGACAGCCGACGCGGAGAAGTTCCTACGAGTGGAGAGCATCGATCGGTCGTGTAGGGTGAATACGGTGACTGGATGCCGGGCGAAGGCGGCGTGGACGATGGCGTGCGGTGCAGGCTCAAGCTCTCCAGGCTGGTAGAAGACAAGGCGAGTCGCTCGACAGAACCAATGTATCCGCTGCTGCCGTCAATGCCATCTTGGCCGTGTTGGTTCGTCAAGCACCTGAGAGCTTCCTGCGAGCGGTTCATCGAATATCGACTGATTCGCTTTGATCGACCTGGCGCACGGAACTCTTCCGGCGTGAGCACTCGGTGCTCACGGGGCGCTAGCGCTGATGCTGATGGCGCCGCAGGCTGTGCTGCAGCTGCTATCGTGGCTGCCATAGTGATTGCGTGAGAGCCACGTACATGCGCTGGGTAGTGGTCGGTGGTTCAGTGATTCGCGATGTTGTCGCAGACAGGGACGGGGACAGCGTAGTAACCAGCCACACAAAACGGCCAAAGCATTTCATGAATCAACGATCACCAACGTCAGTGCCACGTCCGAAATGAAGCAAACGAGAAGAAGAGGGGTCATTGCTCTGGCCATATCCAAGCGTACTCACGAGTCACTGTATGATATATCCCCTAACAGGCACGGTTGTATCATCCCGATATCCTGTTCCAGGCTTTCCCCTCCTCGTCTGGGGTCCCGCCCGCCGCTCCGACAACGTTGAGCAATGTGCGTTGCGACCGACAAGGAAGACTATGCAGTGAGGCAGTAAACGGAGTTGGAAAATGGAGTAGAGCAAGGCTGTGTCGCAGCTTGCCGAATGTGTGCGCCATATGCTGTCTGCGGTCAGCTGCCGCGACTTCTTGGTCTCGAACCCCAACCGGCTCCAGGGTGCTGCAAGTGCACACTGCACGCTGGGTACTGTAATCTGGATGCCCGATACCATGTGGGATTGCTGCTCGAACGCCTGTGAGCGATTTCCGACGTGGCCCCTACTTCATTGGCGGCCGACAGAGGCTGTCAGTGGCTGGCTGGAAGGTTACCTGCGTGCAACTGGCTCGGTAGGTAGTCTGTCCGAGTCTATGCCTGCCCGCTGTCAGTGTCGCTCCCAACAAAGATGCGAGGCGCGTACTTTCGGCACTCGCCAGGGCGGCATGCACGCACGACCTTGACAAGTCGCCCGTTTATGATTTGTTGATGAAAGAGACGAGAGTGCGACATGGGAATTGTGGAGCGGCCTGAGAAACCTATCCTCCTCGTCTTCATGGGGGTTTGGGTGGCGCCAGGCGGGGCGGGGTGGGGCGAGGTAGAGAGCAGGCCGTCGGCGTGCGGTGGCCACGTGCCACAACTTTGGACACAGGGGAGAGGTGAAGTCCCATTCTACCCACCGCCAGAGGGTCCCTGCCTGCTTTAGGACAGGGCGCTGCCTGGATTAAAAATTCATTCTTTTTTATCGTTCGCCCTCCTCCATACTGCCCGCGTCAAAGGTAGGGTGGACAACACTGCCCTGGCCCCCGATACCGCCTCCGGGCAGTGTGGCATATAATAGATGACAGCGGGTGCGTATGGACAGCACCATCATCGTACCAACTTTCGACCAAGAGTACCTGTCAAGTCGAATACGTCAAGCTGCTCAACCACGCACACACGAGCGCAGCAAGCTCCTCAGAAGCCCAGTTTTGCAAAGCGACAATGGTTACATCAGCGATATGGGCGCAGCGGGAGGCACCATGGCAACGAAGTGGGAGGTGATGCGTTACCCCTGACTAGCAGCGTACTAGAAGCCTTCGTTGCGTTTTTCTCGTCAGCAGCGGAAGCAGCAAGTAAAACGAAAGCGCCAGAGTGCTGGAGATTGATCGGTCGAAGGTCCTTGGGTAGATGCTGGTACCTACCCTACATATAACGCAAAGTGCAGCATCACCTTGTCCTCAAGCCATCTGCAATAACCAGCACAATCGCAAATGTGGACAAGTGTGGCGCTCGTGCGCGTGATCAAATGGGAACTGGTTCCTACGTGCTTCGACAACCGCTAAATGAATCGAGTCTGCGATTCACCAATTTCATTAGTGCCGCAAAGCTTTAGGTGTGTAGACATCTCTCCTACGAGAGTACGTTGCTAGGACTGCAACGAGGGGCACAAGCGCCGGCGTGATGGGCGGGCTGCTCCACGCGGCGGTGTCTGCAAGGGCGCGTAAGCGACAATCGGGTTCGCCGGAAACTTTGGAGTATTCATATAGATATCACTACCATTCGTGGGGGCCACATGTGCCTGCATTACGGCCACGCCGAGGTTCCTGACGGAGAGGGCATTGGCTAGGCTTGGGTGGTCGGCGTCATGTATTGTGGTATCGTAAGTAACTCGGTGAGCTTCCGGGGGGAGTACTAGTAAGTCTCTGGTCAGGTGAGCCTCCGATCGATCATGTCGCGGCAGTCGGTGCACCAGCTGCTGCACAAAGCCCTTGTGCTGAGCATGATCACCGTTGACGCGTAAGTCTCGGAGTCGTGCGACGACTCTCTCCGTACTCTGGGAAGAGGGTTGCTCACGCCGGAATTCGCTTTTGAAGGCGTCTCAGGGCAAGGTCGACTACCCGATCGAGCGTCTCAGGGAACAGTATCAGCCACAGGATGCGTCCCTGAGATTGTTGGCCGCCGCAGCAGTTTGCTCGTCCGGGTGGATCAGACCCACGAGCACAGACTTGACCTTGCACGAGGCCAGCCACGCTTCTGGATCATTCTTTCACCATGCCGTGGAATGGGGTTAGCTGTACGTTCGACATCCCAAACCAATGCTGACGCGCCCCCCTTTATGGGCCGGACTCGGGCGCTTGTTCACAGACATTTGGCGCCACCCTGGGCATCGTCTTCTTCAATTCTGCGAGCTGCAATCGCAGCTCATGGGACTCAAGCTCAAGATCCTTGACAGTTGTCTTCAGCATTGTGGAATGCAGTCTTCAGATATCCTCGGGTTTTTTTAAAACCGTCCCAAGTCCACCGCCTTCTGGTCGGTCTTGGCTTGACTTCTGTCGCGATCGGAGTGCGATTTCTTTTGACATCTTCTGGCCAGCAGGAGTCGACGTGCTCGAGAGCTAAAGCGTCCTTCGGTGTTGAGCGACAAGCGTACCAGACGCTGATCGAAGTTTCGAGCAAGTGGTAGTGCGCGCTGTTAGTAGCTGATAGGAACTGCTGTTGTGCCTTCAATGTGATATTCAGTAGAAACGTGACGCGACGGAAACAACCATCTTTTGGAGTCACCCAACAACCGTGCCTCTCACTATTTCCCGCAATCCCAGCGAACTAATAAGAACAATCCCTTCAAGTCTCCAAAAGCCTGGATGGCTGAGAATGACGCACACCACGTACACAACGTCCATCGTTCAGATTCCTCACAGTCTCACATCGCTTACGGATGTTCACAGCGTTCAGCCATTCTCCGTCAAGGGTCAGCACATCATCAGCGTTCGGTGTGCAGCGTTCAAAGGCTTCACCCAGCACGTGTGTCGAGAATCCTCAGATACGCGGTCCTGCTAGGGGCTTGGGAAATCTGTAGGACAAGCTTGAACACGTGAGAATTGAAAATAGTTGTTGGGGTTTGTGAACCCAGCCGAGCGCTGAAATCCTACGTACTATGGAATTAGTATGCGAGTGTTTGTTTCGTCGTGCCTGAATGGGGAATGTCATCTTGATATCTGGATCAGATCACGTTTGTTCGTTGTTGGAATCTTGTCTAGACTGATGGAGTCAAGACGTTTGAACCGGACCTATTCGAACATCTCTCCAAAAGGACTGTTTTATACTTTTGTACGTAGATATTGAAATGGATTCAGTGGCTTGAACTGGCTCAAGTCTAAATTCAAAAAGCCTCACGCGCAGGGTTGGGGCACTGGCGCGGTTTGGGGCAACAGGTTCTGTGACCCGATCACCCGAAATGCGGAGAGACACTTGAAAATTTGTTCCCCACAGCAGATTGCCACAACAAGCGCCGCTTTTAAGCGCAGAAGCGGCACGCTTCCACACCAGTTCCACCTTCATCACCGCGTGGTTGGGCGGCTGCGCGCCACAGTCACCGCATGATCTCCAGCTAGCTCGACAGATTTTCGGTCCAGTCCCTTTCAGTTCGGGACGTGCTACAAATATTCATTCGTATGTACATACGACAGATATGCTTATGAAGCCAGCCAATATTCCAGCGCCACATCCGAATTCAACCGCCGCTCACCAGATCATTGCTCGCATGGCGCGAAGTTAGGACGCGGCTCCCAGTATAGTCAAGACAGGCGGAATGCGAGCCACGCTTCCGGATCCACTCTCCTTGAACAGCATGCTGTGATAAACAACTTGAACATGCTCGTCATCCAAGAGTGCAGTGGGTAATAATGAGGAATAACGCTGATGCGAAGAGCCCGCGTTGGGGCTTCGGCTCCAACAAGATTCGAGGTCGCAGGCAGGAGGCCCATGCTCTGTAGCCGAAGCCACGAACTGCCCAGGTGTAACAAACGGCTTCCTTCCTTGCTACCATGATCCAGCCGTTCCGTAAAGTCGACGTATCTCGGAAAGTGTAGCGCATTTGTGTCCTCACCGATCGACCACGGCCATTGTAGAAGCGGTGGCCAGTCTACCGCCTTCCCATCATTCATGGGTGTGCGTTTACAGCATCCATGGGAAAAAGTCATTGTCAAGTCCTTTATGCTGAGAGCCGAAGGCGCACAAAGGGTTTGGACACCCACGTCTAAGCTTGCGTCCTGGAAAAGGCGACGCACAATATTCGTCTGATTGCTACATCGGTTCAAAATGTTAAGAGCTAGCGGCTACGCCAGTCCAGATGGGTCTGCCATGACCAGAAGGGGCTTTGCGCCAAAACCAGTTCTCCACCACGAGGTCATTAGCACCATGGGGAGTCCTCGAGCTGAAAGGTCTAAGGGCCATGGCTCACGATATCGAGAGAAACTGGCCAAGTCGGATGCTGAGGTCATCGATACCGTCTCAAAGGTCTTTGACACAGGCCTGTCGAAGCACACACTTGCAAGCGACGCCGTCATGACCCACAGCCGTTCAAGCAAGTCCTCCAAGAGCAAGTCGGACGACAAAGCCATCCCGAGCTTCCCCAGTAGCCGCGAGATTTTGGGGCCCTGGTGTGTTTTCGAGACAAACCTGTCCAAGTATCATTTCGAAGGTTTCTTCAACAAGGCGGGCAAGTGGCGCCGTCGTAATGTCATTTTCACGAAGACTCAGTCCGACGCATTCACCGCACAGCGCAACTGTGAAGATTCGGAAGTCCTCCTCCAGTCCCTTCAGGAGGCGTACATCCATGTGCTTAAAGACGACAAAAAAGAGCTCGAGCGGCTCCGTATCACTGCTAAATCTAAAATCGGTGTCGTAGATAAGGGCCTGCGCCACCCAGGCCCACGCTTTCACCTCAGCATAGTAGGCCAGGTGCGCGGGACGCCTCCCGTCGCCGAATGGGCCTTTTCTATTGACCACGAGCAGGAGCTGCGCCAGCTGCGGGATATGATGCAGGTTCGTTCGAGGTGGCTAGCTAGTCTCACCTTTCGCAGAACGAAATGACTGACCGATGATGCACGCCTTTCACTAGAATACGGTCGACAGCCTGGGCGCGGCAGAGAAACTCTTTGCAGGAGAAAGGCCTCTGTGTTCACCACCGAGCACGGTCTGTTCTCCACAAATTCATCTGAGTCTCTTCAGCTCACACTATCCCACGCTGGCGGCGGAAGAAGCGGCAGTAACAGAAACAACAACAGCTACGGTACCGGTCGCCCGAGTGAAGCATCCTTCAGCTTCAGCTTCACAGCCGAACCGATTATCTTATCCGAAATACGGCAGCCAAAATCAAGAGAATCTGGGAGCATATAACTTGTCAAGGCCAAGGGACGTCATCCTCACACAGCCCACCAACAACCCCAAAGTCCGAAAGATGTCTGGTAACGAATCTGCTTTGCCGTCGTTGAGCAACTCGAGATGCGAAAGCTCGTACGAAAGAAATATCTTGTCGACACAAGGCTCGTTGCAGCTGCCTGCTTCGATCATCGACATAAACGTTCTGCTGAGGAACACTAGCTTAGAAGATGACACGGAGAGTCTCTCCAGCTTTGAAATCGGAAGCACCCTCGGGATGTCTGACTCCTTGCTTGGTCGACACAATAATTCGTCCACCGATTCGCTGCAGAGCACTGCGTCGTGCCCCACCCTCACTCAGACGCACAGCAAGCCAGCCTTTTCTTCGACCTCCTCTGGGCTACCTGCTGCAAGCGATATCAGCTTTGGTAGAAAGTACAGCTCCAAGCCCGCCCCGTTGACTAGCGTAAGCAGTCAAACCTCTGCCTCGCCAGACTGGGCCCCGTCTCAATTTAGCAACACTTTCGACAGTCGGAGTCAGGCTTCACCGAAAGACAATAGCTACAAGGCGGAGTGCAGAAACGCGCTATCAGCCACAGAACAACTGCTGTATTCCCTCGAGGATGTTCTGAGCCCGGCTGCTTCCACTTCATCGGCTTTAAGTCCATTGCCTGTGACGACGCCCAAATCTTTCATGTACCCACGAGACGCCTTTTCGCTGATGTCCGAGCTTTCCGACCAACCCGAGCTCAACAGCAAGGTGATGCGCGCGAAAGCAGGGGCCCGGACGGAGGCCCCGCCTGCACTCTGTTGCGACGATGCGTTCCAAGACCTGATTGCCCCAGCTAAGAAGCAAGCGCCAACGATGCTCACCCCCGACTCCTTGCCGTCGCCACGGCCCGACTCTCCCACGGATCCGATGAGCCCCAATTCCGAAGATGAGAACCACCACCAGAAGAAATCTGATAGCCCATGGACTCAAACAGACACGGTTGACATTATCGGCTCGCTTCGTCAGATCACCCTTGTCGACGACAGCGCCTTTTCTTTTGAGGGGAAAGAAGAAGAGCCGGCAGAAGTGACAACCACCGTCGCAGATCTTGTGCACGGTAGCGAGCTGCAGTGGGCACAGCGAAGTACGCCCCCTGCATCCTTTGCGCTTCCCGCTCTGACGAACAAGGGCGCTTTGGGCCACATGGCATACCATCATGAGTTGGGCCCACCGGTGCGTCAAGCTTCAGATGACATCCTGCGCAGCCCCTCTGCTTTCTCGAAGGTTGTGGACTGGCTTCCATTGCTGCCACGAAGCTCAGTCGACGACGAACAAAACGCGTCGAGGAAAGGAAGCTTTCCGTACCCACAAGTCCAGCGCTCGGTTGCTGCATCGCCTCCCCTTTTGCAACGAGGGAAGCATGGCAGCCTGCCGCCACCGCTCTGGCTGGAGCGTTTGCAAAGCGACAATAAAGTTGCAAATCTAACCAAGCCCTCTCCGCCCTTCAGTACCCACCAGGCGCCGACAAAGTTGCATCGGTCATCGAATACGCCCACGCCCACGCCGACACCGACCAGCGCCATCTCGAACATATCCACATCAACGGCGTCATCCGGCTCGACCATCACGCCGCCTGGTTCCGCCAAGGCGGTCGTCTCTTCCATATCGCCAGGGAGCACGATGGTCGACGCGCCTGCATGGTCCAAATTGCCAACCCCGAGCCTGCAGCAGCAGTCGCAGTGGCAGCAGCGCGAGGCGGAGTCTCGTACGTCAAGCTTCCGGGCTGGTGGCACGATGCCCGACTCGCCTGCACGCACACGAATGCCGAGTCCAGGGCTGCCTCCCCCACAGCCTCTGACAGCGTTGCCGGTTACACCAACGTCTGCGTCTGTGCAGGCGGCGGGGCAGCAGAACAGCGGTTCTACAGCGTCAGCGACGAGCCCGCGCGCCGCGGCGTTGTTCTCGAGTACATCGAGCGTGCTGAAGAGCAAGAGGTCCAGCAGCTCTGTGATCAGCAACAGCAGCAGCACCGCCACATGCAGCAGCAGCACATGCAGCAGCGGCACATGCAGTAGCAGCACGAGCAGCATGATAGCTGCCGGTGGCGCGGTGCTGGGGACGCGGAGCAGTGCAAGCAGCTTGGGCAGCGGCAGCGGCAGCGCATTTGTCAATGCAGGCGCGAGCGAGAAGGAGCAGCAGCAATTTCTGCGCAGTGTGAGCGTGCGGCAGCGCGTGATGGACTACGCGAAAAAGTTCGACTACGCCTCGTCGGCGGCGCTGCCGGTCGAGGCGAAGGAGATGATCAGGCGCAGCAGCGATAGCTAGCGCTCATTGGGAGCTGCTCCTGCTTGTTCCACTGCTTCTTCGTGATCGCCTTGTCGCGCCGTTCGGCCTTTTAGATACACGGGCATACACGACACGAACACACGAGGTACGAAGATCGCCTTGCATTTACATCCATTAGGGTGCATGACGTACAATCCTTCTTTCGTAAATCATTGCGAGACGCTCGGACATGTCTATTCTACGTTGTACACTTTTTCCCATCGAGTGATTGGAGGGGTGGACATGGACATTAAGGTTGTAAAGTTCTAACGACACTACATTATTATCTGCGACGTTTCCATTTAAGCACATGGATCTACAACGATGTCGCCTTTGTGGGCGCTCAGTGATTTTTACGCCGCCCGCCTGTTTGCGCGAGAGAGAAGACTTGCCGGCTCGTGAGCATCCTGCGTGGCGTCCGCTCGTGCGCGACGCCGCAGCTGGGCCCTCGGGGTCTTTGCGAAGACCCAACCTGTCAGGCTTCTGGCTTCGTCCATCAAGCGGATCAAGCTTGGCGAGCCAGGCATGCTCGTCAAGGTGAGGATGAATCCTGCTCGGACCTTTTGCAATGAAAAGGTGCTAACGGGCAATTGCCCGGCTCTGCGCCCATGCCTTTATCATCATCGGCCGTCGTTTGTCGCGTCTGTGCCGTCGGCGACATCCAATGCAGCGCTGCTCTTCTGCTGTCCAAGGACCGAGGGGGGCCAATAGACTTGCGAGGTGAGGCAATGAGGAAAGCGGCCATGCGCGCGTCCGGCGCGCTGCCGCGAAACGAATAAGATGCGGACTGATGTCGTTCGCTCGCCTCATCAAGCCATCGGGTATTTGCTGGCCTCCCTCGGCTCTGGTGTCTTCATTGTGTCGGACCCATGACCTGCAAAGGTCTCGCGCAGATAGTTATACACTCTTTCCATAGAACAGGTAGATACCTCGGCTCTTGAGACAGCTCGAGAGAGAAACACAACATGTACCAGTACGACAGAGTACATACTCGTTGTGCTTACTTGGTTACCGGCTGCAGGTCAAGGAGCGGAACTTCAGGCTTTCTTCAACAGACAGATTCTCCGTACTTTGGAAGCTGATGTGCTCATGCCTTCTGCGTTGATGTACTGTTGCACGTTGACGCCCGCTTGATGGAACGGGTCGACTCACGGAACTCGGAAGGCGGTTCTGCCGTTCTCTTACCCTGCTCTGCCTTAAGTGCCAGGCAGCTTATAGGCAGGGGGCGGTGCAGACTGCAGGGTCGGGCAGGGGTACATATGTAGACGGCGGTTCTTCTGCGGGAACTAGACAGTCAGGAGCCCAAAGGGAGCCGTGATGAGCAGTTTGGCGAGGGAAGCAGAAGAGTGTGTATGGCGTGTGGTGTTGTGCTTCGATCGCCCTCCAATCACCGAGCGGGACGCAGCGGAACTGCTCACTGTGGGTCGCGGAAATCCAAACCATGGTTCTTCGGTGGGTACAAACCGAAAGTGCCCCGTCGGCTATGGCCTTGATAGACGCATAAACAACGTGCGTGACGCATTACACAAGAGAAGCGATTCGGCTTTGTTGTGCCGTCTGGCCTGTTGGAGTGCATGGAATCCTTTCAGTCTGGTTGCGAAGAGAGAGAGAGAGATGATATGAGCAAGAGCAAAAGAGAGCATAGCTCGCATGTATGAGATTGATGACATGAGCGCATGATGTAGAAGGTAGCTGCCAACAGGTTTGCGTCTTCTGGAGTGACCTTTTAACGTTCTCACCGTAGTCATACATCTGGGAAGCGCGTTGCAAAGAGGTGTGTGGAGACGAGTTGATCGCCGGACCGAGGTCAGATGAGAGCAGCAACTCTCGTCGGCAAAGAAAGCTATTTCCAGCAAGAAGCCATTAAGGATCGGTCAAGCGGACGGCTAGAGACGAGATAAGCGACAACCAGCACCTCTCCTCAACCTTACTTTCCCGTTTGGCAAGGCGGTAGCAAGGGAGCGACGTGGCAGTTACAGCTGTCTTGTGCAGCCGCTGCATATGTTCAAACGGGGTTCGTGCTCCATTATTAGCAAATCGCCGTTTCGCATCAGGCCCGATTTTCAAAGAGAACCAAGTACGAGATCCCTGGGCTAGCGCTTCAGCGTTGTGTGCCCGACTCGACATTGGTAATCTAAAACGACAACGCACTAGCACAACAGCGGTGGTCTGCTGAGGTTGCTGGTAGCTTCATTTGCGCCTTTTCCGGTCTTTTCGAGAGAGATTTTGCTTTGTCATCCAGGGTCCGGTAGACAAGCAGGGACCAACCGCGCATCCAGACATCACGACAAACCGCGAGCGTTTGGATTTCGAATTGGCTGTTTGTCAATTTTCGCCGCCTCGATTGATTCTCCCTTGGCTGTCAAGCGTCAAGCCCCACTTTGCCTGACTAGATCGCCTTTGATCAGCCCCATGACTTGGTAAGCAGTCATCTCGACGGGTTTATGTGCAGAGACAGCTAACGAAGGCTCTGGAGCCTGCTCCACTCAGCAGACGGGATTGGTGAGCCACTGGTTAGCTTGAAAAGGAATCAAAATCAACCAATCCACTCAAGCATCCGCGCATCGTATCGCCCACTCGGCGCGTCTGTGTTTGGACAAACAGCCAAGCCACCGGTCCAAGCTCCAAGGCCGTTCGGCTCTAACTCACTTGACGCAAGATGGGCCTGCTACCCTCCCCTTTCCGACGGACGTCGACGCCGCCACCGCTCGCCTTGCCGGGGACGCCAGCATCTGCGGGTTCAACGATCAGCAGTCCGTCAGTGCCTTCTGCATCACCGCTGGCATTGTCGCCAGAAAGTTACCTCTCGCCTCTTTCCCCGGTGCCAGCAGCAGCAGGAATTGATGCTTCGTCATCCTTGTCACTGGTAGCAGACGCGTCAGAATTCGAAGATGCAAATGCATCATTAGGGTCCATCTTCAGCCCAGGCAGCACACACGGCAGGAAGCTGCGCTCAGGAAAAGAACGGATGATGCTACCCGCGTTGCTGACCCGGAGTCGCAGTCGCAGCACCAGCCGAACAGGCGGCAATGATGGCGACGAATCGGCAGCGCAAGCAGAGGCGCAGGTCAATGGAGCGAACGGTAGCAATGCGAGTGGGAATGAGAGCATGGCAAACAAACTATCGACTCAGCGACTCGCGCAAACACTGGTGTCACTGGAACCTACGTCAGTCACATCATCTTTCTTTCAACTTGCCCAGTCGCAATCTCCGTCAGCACCATCGTCCCCCTCCGCTATCACACGCTCGCCAGACCCCGCGCCTTGTGGAGGCCGCTTGGCCGAGGTTCCGCTCGTCGCTGGCGAAGCAGATGTGGCAGGGGTGGGAGCAGACAAGGGCATGCTCCTCCCTCCCATTTCGGATATCTTCCTCCAGTCCTCCACTTTATCACCCTCTAAATCATCATCGACGTTGCTTCTTGCTTCCTCTCCTCGCCGCACTCCTTCCATGCAGACCTCGCCGATGCTGCGAACCTCCTCGCTATTTTCCCAGCCCACTGACACTCCAGCAGTAGACGACTTGCTCCTCTCGCCACCGCATCCTGCCTTCATGCACGGCTCACGATCGAGCAGTTACGCTAGCACAAGCGGGATGAGTGGAAGCGTGAGCGCCATGAGCAGCATCACCAGCAGCTGCAATAGCAGCTACAGTCGCGACACCATGGCCAGCGCCACCTCCCTCGAGAGCAACGGGTCTGTGCCGAAAGCTATTGCTCCCAATCTTCAAGGACTCCTCGCTTCTGGCACTAACCCATTGGCTGCCGGAGCAGCAGCGTCGACAGCAACGCCGGCGGTGGAAGCGCGACCAAAGGCGCAAACGACTCAAGAGCCGGAATCATTACGCGGGCGTTCGCGCAAGGAAGGTCTCGGCACGCTGAGGCGTTTCGGCAGCCGATTCCTCAATCGCTCCGCGGCAAGCCCCACGTCGCCAACCGACGCGGTCCTTCCGTTGCCAGCACAGATCCCGTCTTCCTCTTCCACCCCGGCGCGATCGCAGTCGCAGTCGACAAAGGCTAGCACGGTTGCTACCAGTATCGGTGTCTTGAGCAGCCGTGGTCGCATGTCCGCTTCCACCTCAACGTCCACTTCTGCCTCTGAGCACTCCAGCAGCCCGCCGCACACGCCGCAGACACCAGGATACGGAGACAGCGTTGGCGCTGGCGCTGCCGTCAGCTTGCTTTCCAGCTTCAGTATCTTTGGCAGTGGCAACAGCCTCTCGGCAAAGGATGGCATTGCCAAGTTCACCCATCAGCCGCAGCTCCCCGCTGTCGGGACCGCCCCATCGATCGACAGCCTTATGACCGACAGCCGCTTGCCTCAGCTGCCACCGATGTCGTTGCTCGGCCCGCAGTCTGCCAAGAGCCAGCGCAGGAGTTCTGGCGCCAACGTAGAAAGGAGTAGTATGGTTTCTAGGGGCCGTGAGCTGGTCAGTCCGAGTCTGCCATGTGGAAGCTTCCGACAACTGTATGTGACTGACGCCTCTCGTCCTTCTCTTTGTATCACTACCAGCCAAACACGGAAAGTCACATGCATGGCTTCAACCCCATACCCGATAGGGGCAGGGGGGCGGGTGCGCTCGGTCTTGACACCGCACCGCAATGCGTCACAACGAACGATGAAACCATCGGCGATTCTGATTTCCTACGCGCCGTCCTCAACTTCTCCTTCTCCGACAGCGAAGGAAGTGGCAGCAATTTGCATACTCGTGCTATCTCGACAAGCCGACTAGGAGCACGGCCGGATGGCTTGCCGCCACGCCACACGTCGCTTGCCAACCTTGGCGCCGTCGCAGACTCGAGCCTCGCAAGTGATGCGTTCGGAGCTCTGCAGGGCCTTCCATCCTCATGGAGACCAAGTTCATTCCCCTCGCGACCCAAGCGATTGACGGAAGCGCAAGCCAAAGAGATTGAGGAGCGCGAAACGCAGGATAAACTGGCGGGCAGGAAGGTGTATCGCCACATGCGTCCAGGGTTGTTCAGAGACGATGATGAAGATTCCGAAGATGATTATGGCGATGAGGATGCAGATGAGCGCTCTCACCCATTCAACACGGCCGCCATGCGGAGCGCTGATGGGCCCCAAGCGTCCTCCCAGCATGCAAAAAATCCGTTTCCATCCACCTTCAAAAAGGCCAAGGCGCCTACTTCAGGGTCGAGAGGTCAAAGCTTGACCCGCCCCGAGGACTGGCCTGGGCTTGACACGCCAGTCAAGCGCGCCCTGTACAACTGCACCCTCTTAAAAGTACATCCACAACTTGCCAGCATCGTCAAGGAGACCAACCCGCAATCCGCCGTTGCGATCGTCGAGCAGAAAGGAAAAGCAGCGGACGAGTTGTGCTTCCCGCGCTCGATGAATGCCAGCTTGAGGTTGCAAGAGCACGAATCAACATATTCTGTGCAGCGGAACCTGCAGGTCGCGCTCGGGAGGAGCCTGGTCATGCGTAAGCTTAAGCGCGAAAACCTCACCATTCCCGAAGAGGTCGAGATTGGGTGGTTTCAGAGGCGCTACGGCTCAGTGTCCATCCCTGCCTCTGCCATCACAGCGGCATTCATGGCCAAGGTGTCTACCAAGCCAGAGGCCTTGGCGAGACCGAACTTTGTCGCTGCTACCGCACCTGATGGTGTGATTGACGATTCTAGCGGCCTGGCGGCTTGGGCGCGACGGCCGAGTTTTGCAAAACGCTCTGCCATTTGGACAAGCGACTCGACCGAGGTGGGTGCGATTGATCGCACAGCAGCAGCACCGCTGGTATTCTCGGATCGTATGTGTTCGCTTGCTTCCGTCTCCAACACGAACCTGCTGGCAGATGCTCCCGCCACCGCGCGCTTCAGGAAGCGCGAGGGCGCCAACGTCCGCGCGATGCCGGCTTCTGCATTTTCAACTTCGCTCATGGCCAATGCGTTCATGAAGGCCCTCGGAGCCGACAGCAGGTCTGATATTGGCCAGAGGGCCTCGCTAGGCAGAAGCCGGAACAGAGATGCGCAGCTGAAGAAGGTGCCTCCACCCTGGATCGCGCCACGAGATGCGTCGGAGCGCATCTCCCTTCAGAAAGCAGTCCCATTGCCTACGGCTGCCTCATCGCCGGCGAGGCAGCCGATGAGTCCTGCGTCACCCGCTAAGAGGGCTTCATCGGCATCCGCTGATCGCCCAGGCCACCAGCGATCTGCATCAGTGGTGTCTCCGCTATCTTCTCCCCTGGGCTCACCCAAGATGAAGATAGGCAACTGGTCTCCCACAACAAGCGACGAAGAGTCTGAAGAGGAGGTGCCTCTTTCGAAATTGCGCTTGAACCCAAAGCGGCGTTCGTTGTTGCCTCCAGCACCAGCACCAGCGCCCGTTGCGCAGGCGGCATCCGCCTCAACGCAACAGACACCTTCTTTGACCTCTACTCAGCGTGCGCAGTTGGCGATCGAGGAGCAGCGGCGACGGAAGCAGGCGGAGCTTGAAGCTCGCCTGGCTCACGAAGCACAAATGCAACGAAAAGAAGCCGAAGAACGGCTCTTGCGGCGAAATGTGCGCGAATTGAAGGAGGCGCGAGAAAGGCGTCACAACACCGCTCGTCAGACGCTCTTCACAGAAATCAACTATGGCGCCGGAGACCCATCGAGGCCATCGCCGTCAGAGACCCTGAACAGGAGCAAGACTGCCGTAGAACTGACGAAGGCAGCCGAAGGCAGCGCCGCGTCGCCATCAGCACCAAGTCAGCGCAAGGAAGACTCGATGCTTTCACAGCCAGGCCATGACGCTCGAGGCGGCCGTCGCCGCTCTTGCCAGCCGTCGGGAGACGATCGTGCTGCGGTGACTTCCCATCCTGACTCGATTACGTCGCCAAAGGCGAAAGACAAGAGCTTGAGATCTCGCTCGATGCGCCCTCCCCTCGTCGCCAGCATTCCCTCCACCCCCTCAATGCCCGTCATGGGTATGCCGCTTCAGATCCCCGCTGCTTACCGAATGATGGGCCCTTCCGCCTCGCCTCACCTGCCTCATTCCCTCAGTGGCCCGATACCAGCTTGGCAGTACGCTCAGCCGACAGCATACGCAGTTCCCATGCACCCTGCGTCGTACGGCATGCCGCATAGCCTCAGCTACCACCCGCACAATGGCGGTCTGGTCCACCTGCAACCTCACGATGTGCCACGCTCGGCGACGCAGCACTTTGCGCAGCGCCAGTGCTGAGCGACCGATAACCTAAAGGGCTATACCCCACTGCGTCTGCCGCTCGCTTTGATTCATCCATTCGTAGAACCGCCCTGCAACTCGTTTCTTTCTGCACTACCTGTTAGAGTTGCTGCATACAGACCTGGACAATGCATGGATTATGCACTCGCACAGAAGCAGCGCCACTGCTCTTTGTCATGAGCACTGTATATCCTCTCAATGTGGTGCACTTTGAGCCGCTTTCGAAGCAATTGCACACAGGAGCCGCCACATCTGTCCGCTAGAACGGAGGTAGAGTGTCGTTCGACGCATGAGTCCCAGCGATTGCAATGGCAATGACCTTATACCGCGCGCCATTTGTCCGCTACAATGTGACAAGTAACCCTCTGCCACCTCATGTATGGCTGCAGATCATCTTGCTGAAACGGCGCTACGGCGAGGCGGAGAAACAAGGCAGTAGGCTCAACTCTATTGCTGGACCCTACAAAAACACCCGGAAGTGGAATGGCGACGCCGGGGTTCCTCCTTCGGAAAGCATCCAAAATCTCCAGGAGTGACGTTGTAGACCTATACAAACGTGCTGATTCCAGCTTCCAGGTAAATATGATAAGAAGCCGAAGTACCGGAGCCAATCCAAGGGAGGCATGCGTTCCTGCCTTGATTTGTGGTTCTTATGTGCCATGGCCCATATTATACGCTTCAAGATGCTGGATGAAAGGTTACGTAATTTGGTTGCACATGTTACGAAGAAAGGTGCCAATGGTGCCACCAGCTTCCTCTTGGGTTCGCTGGGAACTGCATCATTCGTGATCAGGACTCAGGACGCAGAACGTAGGCCACCTCATCATTGTCCAATTACGCTAATCGCTTCGGTGACGGCTAACGCCCACGACCTACTCACGACGAATATTATTCAGGGCCCGTCCGAGAAGAATGCATCCACGATGGTACCGTACCGCGCGCCTTTCCATCAGGACGCTACAGATCATGGCCATGGTGCACGTCGTCACGACTCATGTCGCTGAGATTCGATGGACGACGGGATCGAGCATGCTACCGACCCTTGCGGCATCAGGTGATCAAGTCTTACACGTACGCTGGCCGCTGTACAATTTCACTCAGCGCATCAAGCGCACTGTCTCAAGCTGGGCTGCAACTTTGGCCCCAACAGTGTCCTCGTCGACCGGGTCGTTTTTGACTTCTGGAGATGCCGCTTCGCGCGAGCGAAGAAGGCTGGAGGACAAAGCATGGGAGAAAATCAATCTTGCAAAAGGCAAGAACACCTACGGTCTCGAGCTAGGTGATTTGGTCGTCGCCACATCGCCCATGAACCCATCCAAGACAGTGTGCAAGCGCGTCGTCGGCCTCCCTGGCGACACGATCCTCGTCGACCCCAGAAAGGATGCGCCAAGCATTACAGTACCAAGGGGTCACGTCTTCTTATGCGGTGACAATCTCAATAACAGCACAGATAGCAGGCACTATGGTCCCGTACCGATCGGACTGATTAGAGGCAAAGTTGTTGCGAGGGTAGGCATCTCTTTCACACCTCACAGCTTAACTTGTATGGGATCACTGACATGAAAATACATCTCCCTTCACGCTACAGGTATTCCCATCGCTGGCCTGGCTTGGAAACAACCTCGAATTGATCACAGAGGGCGCATCTTGATGTCCAGGATCAAATATCAGCCTCCAAGACCAGAGGCTTAAGCACCGTGCCCACAGCTTACAATCGCTGCAAGCGCAATGCCTTGGTTCTTCGAACATGCCGTTATTTGGAGCCCCCAACATCATCACAAAGCGTAGTCTGGTGCAGGCATGGATACTTCTCGTCTTGCACACTCATTCTGCGCACGTGCACTCTCGGTAACACACTCCTTGGCTCGATCGCTGCTCGGCGCCGTGCAGGGATAACGCTCCGATACAATGGATGGCGAAGGTCCAGAGCAACTCTCGAAACGCTCGACAACAGCAGGCGCGCGAAGCCGCCGAGTCCGCGTCTTGCTTTTCCACCAGCGCAACACCCATGCGTGGACTCAGATTCAATCTGCCACCTTCGTTGAGGTGGTCTCCACTCAATGCGCCACACTAATGAAGCGCTCATTAGCGCCGCCGTCACGTATCAGCTCCTTCAGGCGTTGCAAGGGCATCGCCACTCTGTGATCGCTCAGTAGGTAATTACGCCTGGTCTGCACACCAGCAGCAGGCGGACAGGCCGAAACACCACGTTTTTTGTACCCTCATAGAGTGTACGGAAGAGGGAGGAATGGATAAATACGTAAGAGTAACTATGGACAGAAGTGAAAAGTTGCGAGTCAGGATATGATGCAGGAAGAAGCAAAGGGCGTGGGCTAAACGGGTGTTAATTTTACTTCTCCGTCTTGCTGGGCGGCGCCGCCTCTTTCGTCTTTTCCGCCTTGTCTGCGAGCTTTTTCTCCTTGGCCTGCATCTTGGTCTGCTGCTTGGCCTTCTCGCGCTCAAGCTTCTCGTTCGCAGCCGCCCCCGCCTTTAGGTCCTGCTCCTTCTTCTTTGCGAGCTTCTGCTCCTGCCTTCGCACGCGGCCTTGTGACGTGCAAAAGCTGGCAAACACGCCACCGCGGCCGACATCGGCGCTGAGCGTGTCCGCCGAAAAGCCGGTGCGGTCCGGTCGTTGTGACCAGGGAACTGTGCAGCAGCACGAGATAGCGGCAAGGATGTCGCAGAGGCCAACAAGGATGGCAAATAGGCCGCGGATGAGAATGGAACCGATCTCGCCAATGGCCAGGAGGGCGTCTGTGTAATGGGCGGTAAGAGAAAGTAGAAAGAGAGCATGAGAGGGATGAATCCAAGGCTCGAGCACAAAGGCACAGACTCACGCTCAAGGAGCTCGCCAGTGTACATGAAAACGGAAGCAAAGCAGCTGAAGACGACACCCATTGTAGCGACGTTGAACTTTGAAGAGTAAAAGGGTATTCGATTGGACAATCGGTGCCTGGTTGGTCGTCAAAGGGCGTCGTTGCTGACCTTGCGCGGATCAAGGATCGTGCTGGTGTATCGGAAAGGGTGCGTGGAGAGATGGATGTGTGTGAGAGATGATTCGGCTCTTGGGCTCTTGCTTCTTTGGGCCCGAGTTGCGCTGGTGTTGAGGTGAAGGAATAAGAAGCTCCAGAGCAAGTATTGTTGAATGTGGGAGGGCAGTGTATACCGACTTCTACACGCGGGTTGGATCCATGTATGCACCGTCAAGATCAGATTTCGTGAAAAAGCCGTTTGTCAGTGCTTGCGACAAGAGGCTGGAGGTCGTTAGCGTTGCTTGGGTCGTTAGAATGGTCATCGCTGGCAGACGAAAGAGAGGTGCGTAGGACGAAGTAGACAGGAGGGATGTCAGCTTTAATAGGAGTGGTCCCTGGATTCGGAAAGCTACACGAGGGAATTCATGAGATTACAAGACTCAGTTCCGCCCCACCTTGCAACAAAGTTACTCCGACCGGGAAAAGACGGCGCGTGTGGTGTCGGCTGTCCGGCTTGTGCTTCTTGCCGAGTGTGGTGTGGATGTCGTTGGAATCCATAGGAAGCTCACATACCTTCATATACTTGCATGGAGTTGTGGTCGATCCCCGATGGTGCACTCGAGGATGCCACTATGCTGGCAAGCCGCGCAATCTGATCCTCATTTAACAAGTTGTTCACGTCGCGGTCCTGCACCCCCACCCTGAAGCGCACACGCCAGCCGGAATCGCGAGGAAACTGCTACGACCTACCGCACCATGTCTGCCCGACACCCACTCCCCGCCTCGTCACCGTTACTGGCGCCGACTTCAAAGCCCATCTCACTATCTTTCCCAAACCCTACGGGAAAGCCGGAGCATGAGGGAATTATTGCTGTACTGACGCTAGATGCACCCGAAAAACTCAATGCCATGCGATATGAGGACACAGTCAAATTCGTCGATGCGCTGCAATGGATTGCTAGTCAGGACAAAGTCGTCTTCACCGTCATCACCGGTAAAGGAAGATTCTTCTCAGCGTGAGTCTGGAAATCTACATCCGAACAATAATCCCGTCCAGGACCGAACTCTACGATATACACTCCACCTGAATGCTCTGACTTTGCTTGTGTGACGCAGCGGCGCAGATGTGAACGACCCTTCGCGCGGCACCCCTTCCTCTGCCGCTCCGCTGGAGCCAGGTACCGCCCCGCACACGCTAGAAGTCAAGAAGCACGTCTTCTCGCGCTTCTCCACCTCCAACCTAGCTTTCGCGTCGGCATTGCATTCACACCCCAAGATCCTCATCGGCGCGCTCAACGGACCGGCCATCGGGATATTCGCGACGCTTCTGGGGCACTGCGACCTCATATACAGTTTCAAGGAGTTTTGGCTATCTACGCCTTTCATGGGGCTCGCACTTGTCAGCGAGGGAGCCGCTGCTCTGGCATTTGCCAAGAAGATGGGCCTCGGGCGCGCACAAGTCGCGTTGCTCGAAGGCAAGAAGATGGAGGCGGAGGATTTGAGGCAATGTGGATTCATTACGTGCGTATGGATTTGCTGCGATCTGACAGACTCACAAGCTAAAATTCCCATCCTAATTTTAATCATCTCCCCTGCACAGACACATCTTCCCCACACCGCCAAACACCGCGGAAGAATCAAAGAAGCACAAGCACTACACGCCCCCGATCTTAGACCTCGTCCTCTCACATCTCTCGCAAAAATTCCTTCCGCCCATATTGGACCCATGGAGCCTGCTCTACACGAAAGAGCTCATCCGCGCAGCTAATTACGACGGATGGGACCTTGCGCGGACCAACATGGAGGAGATCAAAGGTGCCGAACAGGTCTTCATGAGCGGTCGTCCGCAGAGACAATTTGAGAGGATCAGCCAAGGCGGGAGACACAAGCTTTGAACCAAAAGCTTGTTCCATTTCTCTGTTGGCCAGTCAATCAGCAAATATGTTATACCTTTTGTGTGGCATTGTCTATGAAGTACGATGATACAGATTGTTGCGCTTGGTGTTAACGTTATGGTTCACCGAATGTAGACAATCCTGCGTATTTCGAACGGAGACCGGCACGAAACCTCTCTCTTCATTTACCCTACCGCCTTGGTAGATCGCACTGAAGCCATCATCGGCTTTACACCGGGCGACCGCTCGATCAGCCGATGCGCAGCAGCTGTGCCGTTAGCAAGATAATGGCTGAGCGAGCGAGATGGCGGCGCGCTTGGCGACGCTTCTTCCATTGCAGACCCTTTATTCGGTGTCGACACAACGACCCCCCGGTTGCATCCCATGTGTGCAAATGCTCTCCCGCGCCGAGGTTGACGGTACTGCTCAGCGCTACCCTCAACGCGTCAAAGACGGCGGCTTCCTGATGGTTGCGACTCACCGCGTCGAGGTTGCGGCACCTGCCGAGTCGGGCTGGATGTCGAGCACGGCAGCCATAAGCACAAATGGACATGTCATTTTGATCATGCGCTGTGTGCATCTTTCTTGGTAATGTTCACTTGAGGACCACGGATCTGCTACCTTGACTCGAGACGAGCTTTCGTGATTGAGGTAGGACGGAGCGCAGATGGACCTCAAGGAGGGGAGGACATGGGGATGCGGCGCCGTTCTCGAAGCCTCAGATGATGAGAGGAGCCTATGGATATATGAATTTGGGTGCAGATGAAGTTCTTTGTGCCATTTTTGGAGGAGCGAACGTGTATGTCAAAGTCTGCGACGAGATCGATGAGAAGGGAGAATGGATCCAATCGATCAGCTGATGGGAACACGGCGCTGGCGTTTCCTCCGATGGTGCGGCAGGGAAGCGTGCGAAGCGACCAGCTTGCCGGGGCTGACGTATGCTTTTCCCCATGCAAATTCGAAATTAAGGCAACCAGCAAAGCGCACACCAGACAACAGCCGTTAGCCGTGCTGTTGACAGTCGCTACAATGAGCATGCAACTCGCTGTGAACGAAGATGATGTGAGGACATCTCTCACAAAAATCTCCTGTGATCGCCGTCAGTTTGGCAGCGATTGCACATTGATGCGAACATATGCTTAGATTCTCGGAGTTTCAGCTGAAAATATGGGATTAACTCACTAATTGTCCACCCTCAGCATCACTCCATTTTTTTCTCATCCGCCTGAGAAAACCACACCCATGGAATCCCAATCAAAATCCTTCGAAGCTCGAAGGGAGGATGCTGACTCTGAAGTCTGAAAGCGCCATGCTATAAAGGGAGATTGAAAGAGAGAGAGAGTGTGTGTGCGCATTTCCTCCTTACTCGCACGTCGGAAACGCCTTGACGCGACACCACTAGAACGGATCAGATCAAGTCGGCTCGACGTTACTGAGGCCTTCTACCGAACGGAAACGGAAACGACGTAGGCAAACGGAGCCGTGCCGTGTGTCCGAGATGGACATGTCAGCGGTTTCGACCGCAGATTCGTCTTCGCTGGCCCTGGCCGTGGATTTCTCGCAGCTCAATAGCCAGCTGGAGGAGGAGAAGGGACTGGCAGAGGTACATTCAGCTGAGGCTCTGGATTGCGAAGCTATTGGCAAGCTGACGTAAAGCATCGCTTGTTCTCCACGCACTCTTCTTGGACGCACCAGCGTCTCCGCGAGCAATCCAAGCTCCTCGACCGTTCTTATCGCCGCTTGAGCTCGCATCTCAACCGCATGCATTCATTGCCCGCATCTTCGCTACTGCATGAGCTGCTCCAACCGACACAGCCCATGTTCGCTGAGGTGCGCGAACAGGTCGCAGGCTTGGCGCAGATGATCCCGCCGCACCGATACTATCAGTGGAACCAGACTTTTGACTGGCAGATCAAGAATCTCTGCTCTTGCGCCGCACTCGCATTCTTCCTTGCGACGGGAAAATTGCTCGACAAGCAAGGGGCGCAAGACGTGCTCGGAAGTGAGCTTCCATGCGGTGGCACTTCGGATGCATTGTGAAGCTGACATCGATGCCCTCTCTCTCAATTTTTTTTGTTCCTGCAGTCTCATCTTCATACTCAGACCGACTACTGCTCAGCACGGAAGACTACCTTCTGTCGCTTACGCTAGTAACCAACGAACTGTCTCGACTGGCCGTAACAAGCGTTACACTCGGCGACTTTTTGACGCCCATGGCACTCAGCCGCTTCGTCAAAGACTTACATGCAGGTTTTCAGCTGTTGAATCTGAAAAACAACGAATTACGGCGGAGATTCGATAGCATCAAAGTGCGTCGCCATAGAGTTTGGGCGTGAGCGCATCGCTGACACTCATCTTCCCCATCCGTGCGGACTGCACAGTACGACGTTAAGAAGATAGAGGAGGTTGTCTACGACATTACACTGCGTGGCTTGATTCCAGCGCAGCCAGTCCAAGGCGCGCAGCGCACTCCAGGTTTGCGGGACGATTACACTGACGAAGAAATTCGGCAAGTCATGCATCTCCTCACCACCCAAAAGTAACAAGCCATGCGCGCTGTGCATCGACACCAGCAAGTCATAAGAAAGGCGACGGCGCGACCAACTGATCAACTGTAGCATACACGAGTCCATGCAATTCAAAAGCGTTGATTATTGTACACGATGGACGAGAGGACAAGGCACGACTGAGGCATACAAACCGTTGTTCGCACCGCCTCATCACCATCGCCGCCTCACCCTCGGAGGCGGAAGGTCGACAATGGGATTGAGCTCTGCGCCACTGGCGTCTGCAGCTCCATGTTCGGCCTGCCGCTCGCTTGGCCCCGTGGGGTCTGACGCTGAATGCCACATCCACCCCTCCCGCTCCTGCTGTCCGTCCGTCATTACTGTATTGGCATCACTGCCACGCAGCGCCCACCGACTGGAGGGTGAGTTGGGCGACGATGCAAGCACCGAGACCGTAGGTGTAGATGAAGCAGGACCTGTTGAGGGTGAAGTGAGCGGCGCCGATCCGGTGTGGGCTATTGACGTTGATGCACTATTGTCCATGTCCACATCTTCATCCATCGTGGAAGACAAGTCTGTGTCATGCGAAGCGTGCTGCTGGTGCTGAGCACACCACTGTTTCAACACGTCCTTTGCGAGCTCAGCAAGCTCCTTATCGTCATTCGTGCCGATTGGCTCCAAGATTGAGCGCAGTTCGAGCGTTGCGAGGCCTTCTGCTTCGGCCACGAGGCGTGCGTTTACGTCGTTGGAACAGAGGATCGTCACGGCGCCAGTCTCGTTCTGCAGCTGCTTGCCCAATTGGACGATCTGCTCATCATTGGACTGCAAACAATTAATCATTTAGTTGAGAGCTTCGATGGGGAAGGAGGGTCCGACGTGGTATTCACCCCTGCTTTTGAATTGTGCCGGGATAGATGTTCTTGCGTTTGAACGTGCAAAGCCCAGAGTGCCTCCGGCAGTCTCACGCCACTGATATTCCACTGTTTCTGCGCTCGCAAAGCTTGTAAGATCCACACATTGGCTTCCTGAGCAGATCGCTCAACGCCTCCGAAGTCACCGTCGCGGCGCCTGCCTCCCTTCTTGAGGCCGTCCAGCTCGCGAAGCACGACCTTGGGTATGATCATCGCAAACGGGCTGATCGTTTCGCTTTGCGACGTGAGATACTGGATGTTGTTGTTGAGCAGAAGCGAAAATACGTGCTTGAGAAATCCTTGATGAGAAATCAGGACATTGCTGCATCGCAGTCTTGTGTCAGAGTGAGCAACGGAGGTGTGAAGAGAGGGACTCACGTGTCCAGTAGCATCAGGGAAAAGCCGCCGCGATCGCCCAGCTTCTTGAAGCCACTGATATGCTGGGAGACATCGTGTGCGCCCAGCGACTCGGAGGCGTCGGCATTGACGATACCTGTCGACTTTCGTCGAGGACCGGGGCCATCCAGCAAGTCGAGGGTAAGACCTTTGAACTGGCGCCCGTCCGCCAGATCTTCCGATTCCATCAGCTCCTCTTCTTCCCACTTCTCCTCATACCGAAGCTCATTGGTGTTCACATCGTAGACATAGTCGCCGCGACTGATTGTCAAGCGGACGGGGCCGTTGCGTGAAGAGCTTGGCGAGCTATCGTTCTTGGTGTCGAGCTGCTGCTTCTCATTCCAATAGTCGGCATACGTCCCGCCCATCGCCCATCAGATCATTCGCGCCGATCTTGCACTCCAACCCAAGCGCACCAGTTTACGTGTCCATAGACATCTGCAGGAAGTGGATGGATAGCATCGTAACGTAACGCGTGGAAGCAGGAATTGGCGTACGGAGCCCTCAGGAATCGGGAATGAGGATGAAGTAGTAAGGACCATCGCGGCGGTCGAAGTTCTTATGGGGACATCGGTATATAGTATTGTGCGTGCTCATACACTCCGGCAGCGTTCTCTCCGCATCTTCAAACAGAAGTTTATGATGGAAATGCTTTCCATGGCACTATGCAGGAGGTATATGCTCTTGGCTGTTCTGGAAAACCGCAAAGCTCGCTGACTTTCTCTTCCTCTCTCTGTGCCGGCGGCAGCCCGTCACCGCAGGCGCACGCAAGCACACAAGCCAGCCGCTAACGGCTGCCAGCGGGCCGCGGACCTCGAGGACCTCCAATGCCCGAAGTAGGCGCAGCGAACTGCCTGCTGAGCCTAGCGACGTTCGACAGCGGCTTGTCCGCCTGCGCTGCTGCAGAGCCGTCAGCGATAGTCGCGTCCGCGTCGCCCTCTTTTCCTTCGGACGTAGAATGCAGTGCGGTGCTGCTAGCGGGCAACGTGTCGTTGTTCTCGCTACCAGCATCGATAACATCGAGGCTGTGGCTGTCCATATTGAGCTCGTTTTTGACTTGTGTGTCCTTACCTGTTGTTGTTGTCGGTAAGCTACCGAGCATACGCTCAGATATGGGGGTAGGCGTCGCGACCAAAGCGCTTCCACTTGCGTCATCCTTTACCACACCGTCGCCACCATCAATCTTCCCCGTCTTGGTGATGATCTTCGGCTTCTGCAAGGGGCCGGTAGCTGGAGCGAGCAAGTCGGACGGCTGCACAACCGTGTTATTCAGGACGGATAGCGACGCACTGGGACTCGGCGACGCAGCATCCTTTATCAATGGCAGAGGCGGCGCATCACCATGCGCCGCAGCGAGAGAGCTGCGGCTGGTGCGCATATCGATAGGCTTCGTGCGCCTCCGGACGGGCGCGCGTCGCTTTGCCTGGTTCGCGAGTCCGGACTCTTTAGCCTTGGCCGCGACAATGTCCGGGAAGAGTTTGTCGTAGTTCTTGACCAGGTCGATTACCAGAAGCGCAGGGTGCCTTGCGTAGATCGTCTGCGGCAGCTCGCTTGGTGGGCGCAACAGAGCTGTATCACGAGAAAAATTAAAGTAAGTCAAACAGTTCTTGGACAGTCAAGACTCCTCCAGCGACGCGCATGTAGCCATGCAGACTCACCTCTGCCAGTGCTCATGCCCAGCTTTTGCAGCCACATGGTGTCCGCATCCTCATCCTCGGTGCTCTTGTACAGCTGCGAGAGGTGGCTAACCACAGAGTCGAGGCAGCTAAGGTGGACCTTGGGTAGCTTCAGCAGCACAACCCCGAGGTCGTCGAGGATGCCTTTTGCGATCTTTTCGTGCACATCTTTGGACAGAGTCGGCGGCACGGCGCTCTCGACAGCAGGCTGTTTTCCCTTGACGTCCGCCTGAGCAGAAGCCTCCTCCGCTTCTTTCTCCGCTTTGTCCCCATCAACCGCCGACTTGGCATCTGTTGCAGCACCGACCTCGCCCTCGCCCTCGCCCTTGCTGCTGTTCTGGCCCTTGAGCGCCTCCTCCTCTTGCGCTGAGGCTGCGCGGTAGACGCTCCAGACCATGTCCCAGCAGCTCTGCATGACGAGCGTTTCCTCGAGCTCCATGGCCCACGTCTTGACGAGCGCCGCGAGCACGGGCGGGTCGGCGCGCCCAAGCAGGTTAGCGAGGATCTCTTTGTCTGGGCGCTGCGCACGCAATGCGGCGATCAGCGCAAAGCGCAACGTGTGCACGGAGCGCAGCGGCACCTCATAGATCCACGCGCGCCTCTTCTCGGCATTCTGAAGCGCTTGCGACACTTGCGGCTGCGCAGACGTGGATGCCTCGTCGTCCTTCGCGCCATGCGTTGCTGGCGACGTCGACGCGGGGCTGGGCCACCGCTTCTCATTGGCATACGCATCGCTCAGTGCGTGAAGAAGCAACAGCAGCGCCCTCGGTGGCTCGGGCAGCTTTTCACCGGCAGCAGTGGCAGTAGCAGCAACACCTCCAGCAGACTGCGCTATTGCGCTGCCGTCATCCATCGGCGAACCCGCGAGCGCACGCGCGCGGTCCCAGACGAGCAGGTTCATTCCGAAGCCCTCGCTGCCAGCGCCGGCGAGCGTCGACAGGTCGTGGTGGTAGTACGGATGGAAGACCTGGGGCAGGGGCTTGTACGGCGCCGTCGCGAGCACGCGGATAGCCGTCGCAAAGTCCTGCGTGCTCGAATAGGCAGATGGCAGCTGCGCGAGCCGCTGTGCCGCCACGCCACCACCGCCGCTGATGCGCGCGAGCGGCTCGAAAGCGCGAGTGTACTGCGTGATGGCTGGTGGGCAACAGAGAGCACATCGCACGAAGGAGAATGTTGTAAAGCATAGCAGGTAGCCACCAAAGTGAGATCTCGAGCGTCAGCATTTATGCAGCGGAATCTGAATGCGGGGTCAGCGCATGTACACGCACCAGATTTGACCGCGCGCTGCCGATCTCCCTCCCAGCGCTGGGTGAGGCCGAGGTGCTCCATGGCAACCTCGTCAAACTCAGCACGGAGGCGATCGAGCCTCTCGACCGCGGTGCGGTACTTGTCCTCGACGTTCTGCGCATCGCGGCGCAGACGGATGTGCTTCGGCTCGCCGAGCGAACCGACGCCGGCGACGGCTGCGCGCAGGTTGCTAACGATCGGCGACGTGGATGCCGCGCGTGTTGCGTTGTCGATGCGGGACAAGACGGTCGAGAGCGTGCTGGAGCGCTTGAGCGCCGTACCGCCGCCGCCTGAGACGGAGCTGAGGGACTCATCAGCAGCAGCTGCTGCAGACGCCAATGTCGAGTTGTCCAGGGCGGCATCATCGCTGTCAGCACTGCCGGCAGACTTGTGGCTCGAGCGTTTGTCGAAGCCAAACTTCTCGCGAAGCGTGTCGCGCCGCTTGAGCTTCTCCTCGTCGTCCTCGGGGACTACCGGTTTCGAGTCGTCCTTGTCAGCGGCGTTCACGCTCTCTGGTGAAGCGGAGGTGTCGACAGCGGACTGGCTGATGCTGATATGACGCTGGCCGTCGTGGCCATTGAGTACCTTTTCGCTCCTGTTGGGTGGCGTGCTGTGCGAGGCAGCGGCGGAGTAGGGGAACTTAAAGGGCGTATGAGGCGCAGGCGAAGAGGCCGAGGCCGCGTTCTCGATTGGCGCGAAGCGCGCGTCGTCCTCCGCCTCATCCGCGGCCCTGCACTTGTGCTCATACGCGGCGCGCAGCTTGTCCACCTCCTCGCCCATGATCTCGATGTTGGCAAGCCACTCATCGACGTGGTCCCAGCTGCGCTTGACGCGCTCGCGGTGCTCACCGGTCCACTTTCCAAACGGCTCGAGGATCGTGTGCTCGAGCAAGCTCGCGACGCGGCCGTGCGCCTCAGCGTGCGCCCGTTGCGTCTCCTGCTCAGCGATATGTAGGACGCCCGCTACGCCCGCGAAGCCGGGCACGTTGCGCTGCAAGGCGCGGAAGGAGGACGGGCTGCGTGCCTGCGCAGCGGCGCCGCTGAGGATCGGCGCATAGTACGTCGGCGAGGGCGTAGGCGTCGCGAGCGACTCGGCGTACGCGTACTCGGACGCGGCGCGATGCTGGACGAGCGCGAGCAGACGCGAGTTGAGGTCGATGCCCGCTTGCAGGTGCGCGTACAGACGGAGCAGCGGCGGACGGTAAGTGTTATACGAAGGCGGGACTACACCTGCACCGGATGATGAAGAGGAGGAAGGTGCCTCGTCTACGAACGAGCCGGCGTGCACATGCGTCGGCCCGGACGGCCAAAACGAGGTTTGAAATGTCGGCGGGAGGGAAATAGCAAGCGCCGAAGGAAGCGTCATGATGACTTCTATATGTGCTGTTTATTTCTGTGGTTACACAGGAGCGGATCCTTCCCCTTGGCGTACGAGACGAGGCTGAACCGTGAGAAGCGTGCCAAGAGGCAAGAACCACAAAGAAGTGGTCGATCCTTGAATAGCAGATGACGAACTAGCTGGCTGGCGTGTTTGCCTGCCTGCCTGCTTAGGCAAAGGGTCTTGCAAGCTCCTAAATCGACTCGGGCTGCCGCTACTGAAAATGATTGGCTGCCTGTCGCAGCAGTGCCTCGCCCGCTGTGACCAGCGAAGACAAGTGGAAGTGCCGACTTGACTGTTCGCAAGGGAAGTGCTGACGGGAGAACCTGTGCACCTTGTTGGGGCTTTTGCGAAGGTTGCTTTCCCCTGGGCGACACGGTCGCATGGAGCGAACAGCTGGCCTCTTTGTGTGTCTGTCAGTGCTCCGCTATGCAATGACTGTTCTGTACTCTTGGCTATAGTTGTCGAGTAATCAGTTTTCAGTAAAGGAAGGTCGAACTGGCTGGAGTCGGAGAGGTGCCGCCGAGTGTGGCTGCCACCGTTGGGCATCTGTGGGGTGTGCCCTCGTTGTCCATGGCTTTGTGGCTGCGGGGCGGGCGCGGGGCTGGCGAGTTGCGGCAGTGCGCTGCGCTCGGGCCAGCCACTAGACTTTGTCTCTCCTTTGCTTGGCTTTACACACGGTGGATATGTAGGCCGCAGCTGACTCCAACAAGTATCGAACTCTGAAATCCCGCCGTGTTCCGACTTCAGAGAGTCCAGACTGCTGCTCTTTGGCCACGCATCATGTACATGTGTAGGATCTATACTCCATGAGGGTATATTGAGTATAAACAAGTGGGCGCAGAGTCGCAAGGACACCCCGCTGATGGAAGCCTCGACGGGGCGACCCAGTGCGCCGTCTCCCTCCTCGGTGCGCGCGAGCGGAAGCTCCGGCGGCCACCATACACATATAACCCTTTGTACTTCCTAATACCCTGCATATCCGTTCCGCCACGGTACTTTGCGTCATTCACGCAATGAACCGCAATTGTGGCATTTGCTCTATCGGCACGGCTCCAGCGTCTTTTGAGAATTTTTTTCACGAACTCTTTCTCTACCGCTCCGTCAAATCCAGATGTCCATAGAGCAATGGCTCTGTCGTGGATGCATTCCACGTAGTCCTCTTCCGTCCATTCATCGACTTTGACCAGGCTCTCCGGCTCGATCCACATCAGCTTTGCATCATCTTTGTTCTTCGCTCTTCGATCCGCAAAGTACCACACTTTCGGTCGACCAAAGTAGTACCAGTCATATTCTTCGTTTAAGCATCAATCCCACTCTGCTTCAGTGTTGATACTTTAGACAAACTTCCGATCTTGAGGGAAGTTCTTGACCCGATGCAATAAGCATTGAACATCATTGATATGGTCCATGTTGATGTGCCGCGAAATTCTGGGCAGCAAGACCGCAATGTCAGTTAAAACACACGAAACTTCACACCCCCCCCCCCAAACCCCCCTCCCACCGAAAGCAGTCTCGCCTTGCATCCAACAAGCCTTTCAGCTCACGGCATGTTCATCAGCTCACGGCATGTTCATCTGAGCCCTTGAAGTTGGGCCTCTACGCCATTCGGACCTAGTTGCATCTTCAAGTAGCTCCAGGAGTTGACAGTGCTCAACGTGATAATAATGAGGATAACGTACGGTAGTACGTGGGCTAGGATCTCAGCTCCGATCATTCCATACAGCAGCATTGTAGGGTTCACTGCCAAATCTCAACAGGAAGCCCAAATTGGCTTCGTTTGGGAAGCACTGTTTTTCCTCCTCCCTTTAGTGCGCTACACACTCCAAGCTCTATACACTCGACGCGCCATCCTCGCCCACTGATGATGCGTTAAGTTTGACCTCGGTTCTAGACAGAGGCGTGCACAAAGCGGGTACTCTAGCCTCGAAGCCGCACAGTGCGACCTGTAATAGAAGAAAGAGAGTGTGAGATGTGGGAAGCCTAGCATGGCCTCATTGGAATTACAACGTCAGAGGAGGACCCTTCTTCCACCCCCAAGCAACCATTTTCCTCTCATCATCAGTCATCCCTCATCGCTTCATCCTCGCAATAATGTTTCGATTTCGAATTCGTCGCCCTGCAAAGCAAACTCTCAAGCCACAGAGCTGTCGTCCCGCCGCCCGTCCGCTGCGGGCAGGGCGCAGCAGGCAGAGGGCTGCTTTATGGTCAGACTTCGGACTCTCCGAGATTCAACATGCTGCGACGTGGGGCTAATTCGAATACACATCCAAATCTGCAAAGTGCAATCGACTGTGTTCATGCTTTCTTCGCATAGTTTTGCTCGGATGGCGATACCTTGTCGTTTCGGCTCCCTATCGAGTTCAATGTTCAAGACTACAAGCGCATTGAGTACAGGGCAAAACCAAAGCCGCTTGTCGATAAACAAAGTGCGGAGAGTCACACCTGGGGAAGCTGAGGCGCCCTTCCGAAAACGCTGTCACGGATGGGTGAATAACGGGGTGCAAACAGTGATCGCTGAAGGTTCGCTCGATGGAATGCATGGCCTAATTACAGTTGTCAGCTGCCTTCTCAAAACGCACTTAGCGCTGAAAGAAGCTCATGTGAGGACTTTTGCCCCACTCATTCGCGCCTGGCCTCCCAAGGACTCTGCGCGCTCATGACGTCCTACTGCGCAGCCACATGTTGGAGAACATTTCGTATCGCAGCGTTCCTTTTGCGAGGATCGAGTTGTATATCGCAAGTTCGGCCGGGATGAGTCGGCCAGGTGTTTGATCCTTGCCCCTTGGTAGGGAGGGCGCCCAGATGGCCAACTGACGCGACCGGCTGGCCCCGATCGATGCTCAAAATACTTGCAGAGCGTCAGAAAAGCCGAACAGCTGGACCAAGGGACCGTGTCGTAGGGGGCGCCTCCCCATCGATGTGTGGAGGACGTCGTCTGGGGGCCCAGTGCAGGCTCAAGATCGCGGACGGTTCGCGAACATGGCTGACGCCGCCATCATGGCCCTGATGCGGCTCGTAGACGTCGTCCTGAAGTGTTTGGAAGCACCGCAGTGCGAGCCCTTGCTCGCGAGGAGCGGCTGGTGAACCATCGGCCGTGATCCTGGCGCATCATCGCAGGGCTTGTACGTGAAGTGCCGGTGACGGAGCGAAAGTGTTGGAGCGACGTTTGCACACGTGGGTCTACTCTGACGAGATGCCTTCGTCATGCTCCTCTCCGGTAGCGCGCCTTCCATGTCGTCCTGACCGGAAGCAAGTCGGAATAGAACAGCGCGCAAGTCAATGTTGAGAGAAAGACACGGCAATGCGGCGTCCTTAATATTCAAAGGTCATCCACAGTGGGCTCTTGTGGAGAGCATCAGGGTGCGCGGCTCAGCGTCAGATTCAGCCGCATCGGGCCGGTGAAATGGCGGCGACGTGGCTATGACTTGGCGATCACTCGCTTGGAGAAGGGCTCGCGTTGCGGCGCTACGTGGAAGACGAAATCTTCTTCTGTTGAATCATCGACGTCGACCAAGAGTTCCAGCTCGCTCCACCACATATCTGCATACACTTTGTCCTGGATATACAATAGGCTAAGCGCCACTCTTCCGGCCGAGCCCAGCAGTGGCCGTCGGACTCGCCGTTTGGGTGAAGGTTCCTGGATATTGGTCTCTTAAGCATTCTCCAACGTTGGAAGGAAGACGTTGGGGCGATGTGCGAGCATCCTTGATCTTGACTGCTGTCCTAACCCGGCAATCCGTTTGCGCGGCGATTCTGCAGTTTGTCGTTGGCACCGCGTCGGCTGTTGATTTGGTGCGATGAAGCTAGCCTGCGTGGTGGGTTCGAACGTGTGCGTTACCAGCCAGCCGGTCTGCGTGTCTGCATGTGCCGCGGAAGAAGCATGCAAACGGGTGCGAGGCGTCTCGCAGAGCGCGAGAGGCACCATCATACTCGCGGGGTGGCGGCGATGTGGTGCGCCAGTCCCTTCCTCTGGCGCTTCCTTTCCGACAGCGGCCAGCGGTAGCGGTGCGAACGTCTAGTCATTGGCGGGCGAGAGCGTGTTGGTGCACGATGCTGTGCTGTGCTATGCTGTGACCGTTGTTGGTACCCCTCTACCTCTGGCTCATGCTATTCGCCCGAGGTACAGTGTAGTATGAATAGATCAGAAGGCTTGGCTTTTGCTGCGCTTGGGGTCATTTGCACCGAACTGGAAGAAGCGAAGATGAGGATGCCTTCTATGCTACGCTAAGCATGGCGGAACGGGAGAAGCGCCCAGTTGAGCGAGCAGAAGAGTCTAGGCACGACCAAGCGAGCCAGCGACGGAGCGCCAAGCCTTTGTCAGATCCAAATTGACCGCACTGTGAGAGTCGAGTTGAGCGGCCATTCAATTCGCGTATTCGAGTGCCAAGCACTTTTCACAATCGCTCACCCGCTCTCCCCTTCTCTCTCCCTCTCTTGAACGCTGGCTGTCTCACGGGCTGGTGTGGGCAGTGTAGGCAAGTCGTACTTGTGTGAAAGCAGAGCGTTGGGCATGCTACACCATGCATACTGCTTACTATACACCCTATGCGCGCCTTCTCTCTTCTGCGGCCCCTGCTGGCTGGCTGGCTTGGCTGGCCGTGGTTGTGAGCAGCGCTCTGCTTCCTTGGCGCTAATGCACACACACACCCCTGAGGACATTCTATAGATGGAATTCACATCCATCACATATCCTACGCTTTCTCTTTCGCCTGCTTCCAGCGGGTTTCCTTGGTTTTGCAAAAGTCTCTTCGACTCTTCCTCGATGACCAAGACGCTTGCTGCTGCATTTCAAGATATGCACTCATCCATTCACGGCAGCCGTCTTGGGTCACCGTCTAGATGGTATATCTATCTCGCTCCAGCCTGCCAGGCCTCCACATGATGGCCTCTGTCTCTCCCTAGCCCTCGCGGTCACCGTCTACGCAGCCTCTATACCTCTGTGCTACTGGTGACAGCACCGTCGCCGGACCGTCAGCAGCCTATAAAGCATCGCACCACGCACTGAACCTCACAAATGTCGCTCAAGGCCCTTAGCCAGCTGCTCGCTGGCCACAGGGGCAATCGTGCATCCACATCCAGCTCCTGCTCTAGCTCCACCGGTAGCAGCAGCAAAGGAAAGGGAGCAGGCACATGCAAGAGTGCAGGCACAAGCAGCAGCCGCGCGTCGAGCCCGACGCCACCCGTCAAACGCAGATCCGCGTCCCTCTCCCTGTCCGGCCCCTCGAGCGGGGCGACGGCTAAGAAGAGCAGCAGCAATAAGCGGGCGTCGACCAGTGCGCTCGCCACCCTGCCAACGCCAGCGGCCGCGGCTGCGGCCGGGGCGAACACGCACGCGAGCACAGCCCGCACCCCCTTCATGGTCCCCTGGCCGCAGGCGCTGCTCGCCACGAGCGCCCGCCCGCCGCGCGAATCAAATTCGCATGCGCACAGCCCAAAGACACGCCTCGCACCGCTCCCTCCACACAGCCACGGGGCCAGCGCCGGCGTGGGCGCGGGTGCCAGCTCCAGCAGTGTGCAACAGCAGCAGCAGCAGCAACACGAGGCGGCCAGCCGCAGCGGGGCCGCGCCCCACCGCCGCCGCTCGACGTCGCCGCCCGCTTCGCCGCGCGGTGCTCCTGTTGAAGCAGCCATTTCGTCGTCACTAACAGTCGCGCCAGCACAGCGTTCGCCCTCGCCTTTTCGCGCTGCGCCCCCAGACACATGCACCGGTAAGGGCTCGTGCCGCACGTTGCGCCAGCCATTGACCGCTTTGGCGTGCACGTCCTCATCGACGTCTGCGCCGACAGCCGCGCGGCACGCATCTCCCTCATCCACCTCCACCCCCACCTCCATATCCTGCACCTCCACTTCTTCTGCGTCGTTTTCCTCCTCGACCTCGTCGCAGCAAGCCTCCACCCCCGCTTCTTCGTCCGCGTCGTCAGCGCAGCAAGGGAGCACGTGCTGCACGGCAACGAGCGAGGACACCGCGCGCAGCAGATGGCGCAGCCGCTCGGTCTGGGCCTCTCGCTCTCCCCGCCGCCCCCGCCGCCGTCACTGCGCACTTGAGCTGTGATCAGCCTGGCTGCGTGTATATACCGCCCGCCTACTGGACTGTCATTATTGCGCGCGCAGCAGCAGCTCATGTACTTTCTCCCCTCCGCGCTATCCATTCCATTTCCGCTGCGTGTCGCGCAGTTGCATGACCGACGAAGTGTGTGGCATGGCGTGGAATGACAGACAAGGAAAGAGACGCGCACACGGATCGGCGATGCGCGTCGGCGACTGTGCGCCAGTACACGAGTGTATGCGTGCATGTGTGGTACCTCACTATTGGTACAAATAAGTTCCAGGAACAGACCCTCCTCACGCCGGGGGAGATGCGTGCGGAGGTCTAGCTCTAGCGAACAGCTCCCGCTCGACGTGCTCGCACGCGACCATCACCATGGTGCGCATCGACTTGCCTCCATCTGCGTTATCCTCACGCTTGTCACCACCATCGAGCACGACGAGCCCGGGGAAGGTGCCGCCAGGCTGGCCGTCATCTTGCCCTTCGCATTGCCCCTCCTCCAAAGCAGTAGCGGCAGGAGCGCCGTGCTCGACGTCGCCGCCCGCAAAGAGATGTCGGTGCGCTTCGACGTACGCAGGCCAGACGGCTTTGTCAAAATAGCCAGGCGGGTCCTGGCGTTAGCCATAGGGTGGGATGGGTGAGCGGTGGCGTGCGTCAATCTCCACCTTCCTGCGAAGCGAGCAACTCAAACGCTCAGCTCACCTGCCACAGCGTGCCCTCGGCGGTATTGTAGCCGCTGCGCTCCGTGCGCCGCCGCTGGAGCGTCGCCCTGCGCGCGCGCAGGAAGAAGCGCACGTCGAGCTGCCGCCGTACGGACGGGTCAAAGTATAGCAGGAAGCCATCGACAATGCAGATCCGCAACTGCTGAGACTGCGCTGCGGGCGTCGGAGCCGATGCGGGTCGCGCTGGGGTTTCGCATGATGAGCACGTAGGCAGCAGTGCGCGTCGGAAGCGCGCTTGCCACTCTGCGCGGAAGCTATCGGACAGCGGAACGTCGGGCAGGATGTTCAGGTGGTCGTGCGAGCTGTGTGATTCCGGCAGCGTGCCCGCTTGGCGCAAGTGGGAAAGGACGGCGGACATGCGCGCGTAGTCGATCTGCTCATACCCGTGCCCGTGACCGTCCCGCCCCATTTCGAAGGTGAGTGGAGAATGGGTAAGATCGTGGAGCCGCGCACGGTGTAAGGGTCAACACCCGACGCACCGAGCCGTACGGAGTGTCCCAATCGCGTGCGTTGATCGCATCGTTCCACGGTAAGTCTTCCTCCTTAGGCGCGAAGTCGTCCTGATGCACGATCATCACGTCTTTCGAAGCAGCCTTGCTCTTTCTCTCCGCCCTGCTACCAGGGGACGCGCCCGAGCTAGCATCTGCCGTTCTCGCTTCAGGGCGATCCTGCTGCGCACTGGCATCGACATTCGCGTTCGCGCTCAGGCCCGCATTGAAAGCGTCGACCGCGGGGCTGAGCAGGTCTACCAGGTGCTTGGCCAGCGTCGTCTTTCCTGAGCACGTCGCGCCGCCAACGCCAAGCAGCAGGAGGCGCGGTGTACTTGCCGTTGCCGTTTCTGTTGCCGTCGGTGGCTCCATCGTGCCTGCGCTCCGCTTAGGCCCTGCACCGTGGATCGCAGCCGGCCGCTGTCCCGGTAACTCGAAAGGGAGTGCGTACGTGACAGCCAGCGAAGACGAGCTGTGAAACGGTGTTGCTCTTGTTGCATGCAGCTGGCAGCGGTGACTGGAACGTGACAATGGCGGTGCTGGCGTGCGAGTTTCCCGGCCCCTATGTTGAGATTACCGGGCCAACTCCGAAGTTTGCGGGAGACCATTGCGTGTCTTCACTGGATTTCACCGCTCATGGGAACTTGGTGGTTGCAAATCTATGAGAAAGTATAGTATTCCGGGGGGATAGAGTCCAAAGAGCCCCGGAAACAATTTGAAACCGGGAAAATGCGCAGTGTCCTGGGATCTCGCCCAAGTGGCGCGCCACATCCAGGTGGCGCGTCATTGTCGCATTTCTGCCTTGGCCCTCTTTCTTCATCTCCGTCATCAACCATCCATCACCTCTCTCCCTCATCTATCTTCTTCGTCAGGACGAATCCCCAACTTCTGCTCGTCGTCCCATCGACGGCATCCCTGCACCTGCTTGCGCAACCTTTACCGCCCGGGCCAAGTCGATTCCGAGCACATTTGCACGGCCCTATCCTCGCCCCGGCCTCCTTGCTCTTCTGTGCTCCCTCGGCTAGTTCGGCACTCAGCACACCCTTCGCCCGGGACCCCGTCCCATTCGACCTAGGAGGGGCAGCGTTCGTAATTACAACGGCCGCCCCTGCGTACACCCAGGCGTCTTCGAAATCGGTTCAAAAGGGCGCGAGGCAAACAGTTTGCCCTGCCCTGCACAACCTCCTTCGCGAATCAGCTCTAGCCCGGCGCCGAGAGCAACCCATATCAGCCACCTGACCAAGGTCCGACGGATTTTCTTTTCTTCGACTGCCGGAAAGTACCACCCATACACCCAAAGATGCGCAGCGCGTTCGCCTTCCTCGCGGCCCTCCTCGCCGTTGGAGCCCCGTACGTTCTGTTGCTGTCGACGCTGGCCGTGTCCGGCGCCGAGGCGGCCGTGTCGCCGTTGCGTGCGCACCGAAAGGTCCTGCAAGCACGCCGACCCAGGCCAGAGCCGATCACATCCCTGGAAACGGGTCGCTATTCGCCCGTAACGCAGCCGAACGGCAAGTTTAACGCGCTCAGCTTCAACGACATTCAGCCTGCCGGCCTGGCGCTCGGCTTCAACCTCTCGCGCGTCGTGCAAAGTGCCATGAAGATGAGCCAGCACTCTTGGGAGTATGGTACCGTTGCGCAGATGCTACTCGAGGTGTACGACGCGCCGAGCAGCGTCTTTGGCAGCAACGCCAGCGCGTCCGCCTTTCCCTTTGGCAAGGTCCCGCGGGTGCCCATTTCGACGTCTCCGTCGCTGACTTACGGAAAGGAACACATCACCATCCCCTCCTCCACCTCCACCGAGCTCATACACGGCGACGGCAGCGCGGGCGACCCGGCGTCGCTGGGCGTTGCAGCGACCATGATTGGCATCATGGAGCCCAAGTACGCGAGTGCAGCGCAGCGCCAGCTCGACCACCTGCTGCGTGACGTCCCGCGCTGGCCCAACGGCGCCATCAGCCACCGCGAAGATAAAGCCGTTCTCTGGGCAGACTTCATGGCCATGGTCCCGCCATTCATCGCTTTCCAGGCCGTCGCACAGAACAACACAGAGCTCATGCAAACCGCCGTCGAGCAGATCGCGCTTTACCGCGATGTCCTGCGTACGTCACCAACCAGCGCTGGCGCCGGCGCCTGGCAGCATATCGTCGGCCCGGAGGTGAGCATCCGCCTTTCCCCTCTTGCTCTCAATTGCAGTCAATGAAACTGATTTGCTTCTTCGTTTTGCTACCTCAGGCGCAATCACTGGGGATATGGACGACAGGCAATGCTTGGGCCGCCGTTGGCATGGTCCGCGTGCTTGCAACTATGCAGAACTGGCCCGCGACGGCCGATTGGACCGCTCAGCAGAAACAGGTCCGGCAGTACATCTACGAGATCCTCGACTCCGCACAGCACTTTAGCGGCCTGGGCGACAGCACCAGCAGCATTAGTGGCAGTTCGGCCATCGGCCTCGACGCGTCCAATGGTCTGTTGCGCGGCTACCTCATCGGCGGCTACAAGGGCTCGTCTGACACGTCTGCAACGTGGCCGGGCGAGATCACCGGCACGGCAGGGCTCGTCGCGTCCATCTACCGCATCGCTATCCTTGACCCGCCCGGCGCTGCAAAGTATATCGCTATGGCTGACACGCTGCGCAACGCCGTCGCGGCCGCCGTTGACCCGCGCACAGGCATCGCCAAGCCCGCCATGTCGCCATACGCGTGGTGGGACCCGCAGCCGGCACCCAAGGGCAGCCCCGAGGGGCAGGCGATGGTCGCGATGATGGGCGCCGCATACCGCGAATGCATCACCGCTTCCGTCTGCAGCAACACTGCCACGTCTACCTCCGGCTCCAGCAGCTCGTGACCACACGACCATCTTCTGCCACAGCCAGATTGATGCGTCTATCACAGGATGCAATATTCCCTAATTGCTTCATGCTCATACCTTTGTTATATTATTCGTACACTTTCTTCAACAATCAATGTCCTCGTTTTCGTCATCGTGCAAACGCGAGTTGCAACAGCGATCACACACAGACCGCCTTGGCACCGCCGATTGGCTGTGGCGAACTGTCAACGCTTGCTCTATTGGATGTGCGGCGCAGTCCTTAAGTGTGCACAACGAACACAATTAGCTAAGCACATCAATATAGCACCTCGCAGCTTATCGTGCAACGTACCAAGAGAAGTCTTTGAACTCTGCCTGGTCTTGTGGTGACAGCACACTGTGCACGGGCGTCAACGTAGGCTTCTCCGATGTGAACTCCGTGTCGAACCAGCTCGTGTCTGCAGCGTTCTTAATTGTCGGTAGGAAAGGCGGCTGATTGCGCTTATGGAAGATGTCGTCCCAGTTGACGTCACGGAAGTATGGATGCGCTTTGATCTCCTCTGCGTCATTTGGCCCAGAGCCCAGACGCTTGTTCGGATCGCGTTGCAGCAGCTGATAGGTGAGAGGAAAGGGAGTCAATGCAAATCCCTCTTGACACATCAGTCGCAATCGCGCTCACCTGTGTCAGAAGAGGAACCGAGTACTGCGGCATCTGAAGAGGGAACAGAGGCTCGTCTTCGAGGATAGCGTCGAAAATCTCGTCCTCATCATCGCCTCGGAAAGGTGCTTGACCCAGAAGCATCTCATAAATCAGGATACCAAATGCCCACCAGTCAACAGCGCGGCCGTAACGTTGCTCAAGCAGAATCTGTAGATGAGCTCGTCAACCCATGATCGAACTACCGGAGGGCAAGGGCCTCAGACTCACTTCTGGCGCCATGAACTCGGGTGTGCCGCAGAAGGTACCTGTTGTGCATCCGTACCACATCTCTTCCTTGCAAAGACCATAGTCAGCAATCTTGATATGTCCGTCAAGTGTCAAGAGAATGTTGTCGAGTTTGAGATCTCTGTAGATGATGCCCTGTTTGTGGAAGTACTCTAGCGCAAGCAGGACCTCTGCCGCATAAAACTTCGCACGGCCGCGTGAGAACTGCTCGCGCTGGATGTGCAGCATCAGGTCACCACCGCTAACGTATTCCATGACAAAGTAGATGCGCGTCTCTGTCTGGAAGCACGAATGCAAGCCAATGAGGAAAGGATGTCTTTCACGGGCAGCCGCGAGGAACACGCGCTTTTCGGATTTGGTGCTGTTGACCAACCATCCGTCAGTCCACGAAGTCTCGAAGCATAACAAGCAGGTGCGTGGACTCACCTCTCGACCTCATCATTCTCGATAATGAACTCTTTCTTCAACACCTTGATGGCATACAAGCTGCCTGTGCGGATTTCCTCCGCAAGCATGACCTTTCCGAAATTACCCTTTCCGAGCACAGCAAGGAAGTTGAAGTCGTTGAGGCCAATGGACCGCTTTGGTGCTGCAGTCATGGCCGCTTGCTGCCGTCCGGCTGCAGGCACCATCTGACTGCCTTGTGAGAGATCCTGGCCCATCTTAACAGGGGCTTGCTGCTGCTGCTGTGGAGGCGGAATCATCTGTCCTTGCGGCAGGTACGGTTGCTGCTGTTGCTGTTGCGGTGCCATGGGTTGTTGTTGCTGCTGCATCGGTTGCGGGAGAATGGGGTGGCCATAACCAGGGCCACCCATTTGCGGTGGCATCTCCTGAGACTGAGGTGTTCCATACTGACCAGGTAGCGGCTGCTGCTGCTGGATCCGAGTGCTGCTACTGCTGGAGCTACTAGCGTACTGCTGGTGCATCGAAGGCTGCGAAGCGAACGAGTGCTGCGAAGGCGAAGGAGATGGCCGACGCGTCTCCTGAACGCTAGACGGCAGAGATACTTGCGGCTGGCTTGGCAGAGGTCTCGGCGGACCAGCTACGCCATCCGGACGGGCATAGGGATCGAATTGAGATGATCCTGGCATGCGTCCGCCTTGTGACGGCGGCATCTGCTGCTGTTGTGGTGGTATCTGCTGACCATACTGGTTGCCCAGGCTCATCTGTGCTGCCTGGTTCTCGATGCCCTGCATCTGAGAATCATGTTGCCCAAATTGCCCTTGTCCTGGAGCGCCAGGCGGTGGTACGCCAAATGCACCAGGAGGCTGCTGGCCATGAGAGTGTGTTGGCGCCTGCGCCTGCAGCTGCTCGCGCTGTTCGCGCTGCTGCTGTGCCGTCTTTTTCATGCGGTTGATCGAGTCGATGTCCTGCAGCAACTGGTTTGCCACCTCCATCGACATCTGACACAGATCAGGGACCAAGTGCGCGCAGTCGGTGTGGCACGTGACGTCACACTCGGAACACTTTCTGGCGTTCTTGCGACCGAGCGGCAGAATGTAGCCACAGTGGCAACACCAGTTGGCGCTGATGTTGGTGATCGGCTCGAAACGGTGCGGGATGCGGTGGTTGAGCTTCTTTTCATCGCGCTCCGACTCCGCGTTGCTCTTGGAGATACACTTGGTGAAGACCTTGATCGCGCACTTTTTGTGACACGCATATCGGCAATCTTCGCACTGACTACCCTGGGCGTTGAGGAGGAACTCTCCGCAAAGAGCGCAACGGATGATCGAATAGAACTGCGTGTTGACAAATTTGTGCCCACTGATCTCTGTCACATCCTCCTTGCGCTTGCGGACGGCACCTTGGCGGCCGAGTCGAGCGTCGTACGGCATTTTACGCACGTTTTGCTTGATGAAGTTGACGCGCAGCTGGATTGCACCCGCAGGCTCGACGGCGAACCAGGCCTCAACGCCGTCGCCGATGGGCCCATTGGGAACTGGCTGTCCAGCCGGATCCTGCAGAGCCGGCATAGGCGTGCTTCCCGGGACGGTGTGATCAGCCGGCACCCAGCCGGGTGGCGCACCAGGCATGCCGCCCATCGCAGCGTGCTGCGGAGCGCCGGTCGCATCAGGGACTTGGCCAAACTTTTTCTTTCGCAATTCGTCGACAATGTCGCTGATACGGATCCACACCATGCCGACCGGCACGGCTGGGTTGCCACTGACGCGATCGTAAATCGTCACTTCCATCTCATTGGCATTGTCGACAGCAATCTCGAAATCCTCTTGCCATCGATCCGTCCTGCTCGGGTGTGTCTTGGCGCGCGGCGTGTCTTCCACCTTGACAACGACGGTAGATTCTCTCGTTGCGCGCGAGCCGCGGATGGGAGCATGATCAATATCGCGCGCACCGCGCAGGGAGATCTGCAGTGTGCCCGTCAAAGGCTTGCGCAAATTCTCTCTACGATTCGCGGCGGAGCCGCCGGGAGCGCTCTCGTCGTCATCCTCGTCATCCATGATGTGCAGTTGCTTGTACTTCTTGAGAGATTTTTGCAGCAGGCCAATCTTGCTGTTGCTTTCCATGCGCTTACTTTCCGCATCCGCTTTGGACTTGCGATCGCCTTCGGCTTGGTACAACTTGGCCATTTTGTCGACTGCATTCTCGTACTGCTTCTCAGTCTGCAGTTTGAATTCGAGGATTTGCAGCATGCGGCTGATTTTTGCGGTGGTCAAAGGTGTGTCATATTTGATAAGGTCTACATGTCAACCAAAAGCAGGCAGAAGGATCAGAAATGTTTTGGCGGGCCCTCCGTGAATCTGCACGCATGCACTCACCTAAGTTAGTGTAGTTTTTCTTTCCGTAGGTCGTTCCCGCGCGACCAACAGGCATGCCCTGGTTGCGCTGTCCCAGACCATCTGGCTGCTGCCCATAGGTACCCATCTGCCGCATACCCGTAGGGTTGGCATTGGCGTAGCCACCATAGATACCAGGCGGAGGCTGCTGCCCGCCATAGCCCGTCTGCTGGTGCCCGCCCGCACCGACACCACCCATCACTTCAGGGGATTGCGCACGAGTGCCTTGAGCGCCGCCCAAGCCGAAGGTCTCGCGGTTGCCGGAAGGCAGTGGCGGAGGCGGTAGCGTCTTGCTGCCAAGATCGGATGCGCTACCGCAGCCCAGGCCCGTGTGATGGCGCCTGGGGCCGTCGAAGCTGGCGGAGGAACTGTTCGACGTGTAGCTGGCGGACGAATCACCTGGATAGCTTCCGGCCATGCCGCCGGCACCGCCGCCGCTGCAGCTGCTGCCTCCGCTCGTCGTCATTGCGCCATCGTACACTGGTTGATTGGTGATGGTGAAGCTGTGCACACCGGGGCTGGAGCTGGTGTTGGCGGAGGCACGCTGTGCCTGCTGCTGCTTGTTGTGTAGCTGCATCAACGAGTCTTCGTAGTAAGCGATGCGCTTCTGCGACTCTCGGATGCCCGACTCGGCTCGGCGCACGACATCAGCGTTGGCAGTGGCCCGTCGAAATTGCTGGTACCCCTCCATGGTGCGCCGCTCCGTCTGGATGCGCGCCATGATGTCGGCGATCTTGGCTTGTGTGTCCTGTAAAGAGTGCGGTTAAGTGTGGATCAGCACATGTCGAATATGGACGCTGGCAGCCCTTTGAGCTAGCCTACCCACCGCCATGGTGCCTGTCTAATCTCCGGTCCCGCACTGGATATTTATGATAGGTTTTCTTCGTACTCAACCAGACGGCGTAACACAGCAGCAAGCTAAACTCTCGGGAGAAGAGGAGCTGTGGCTGGGCCGTCTGCACGGAGGGGCGACCGATGTCGGAATAATCGCCCGCAGCCTTTGACGAGCTGCCGGGCAGGGGTCGAGCACCACGACGCAGGAGATGATCAATCGATCAAGAGCGAGCCGGTAGTGACGGCGTGCACTCCTTGCGTGTGTGTGGATGCTGACGAATGTTGAGGAAACTTTGTGTTTGATACAAGCCCCTAGCAACAAGGGAAAGGCAAGTGGTATGGGGGGGGTCGTAGGGAGGATGGAATGGATGGAGGTCGTTGCGGGCGCGCGCGCGTCCCGAGAGTGTCCCTCCGAGCGCGCACGGTCACAGTCAACTCAGTCGCGCTTTCTTCGCTGGCGCTTACACAACACAGCTACGTCAGGTCACCTCCAATGCCAACACAAGGTATCTGCTCTGGCGAGGATGGAGGCTTTAGAGAGTCGACAAGGATGCCCGCGAGCACAGCCATCGGCGCCTTCGGTCAGCTGGTCATACAGAAAGTGAAATATTCGATGCTCTCTGAGCTTGACCGACCCGATGCGAATTGAAGGGGGCGAGGATCGATCATGGCTGCCGTCCTCGGACCACCCTTTTCTATCACCGTGTGGCGGGCGCAGCGCCGAACACCGCTCGCAGCTCGCAACCCACTGACCGCTTCCTGATTCCCCTTTTCATTACACCGTCACTGCCCTTCACCTCTTGTATGCTACATCAAGATCCGTTTGTCAAGCCGCCCACTTTGCCGTGCCATGAAATACGGGGCTGTAGGGAACTCTGCCATTAGAAGCATGCCCACCTTGGAGATCAAGAGTCGGCGCTCGACCCTTTCCCTGCGCGCTGCATTGGACGTGATTGCCGTGCCTTCTTGCAATCGTGATGAAAACGAGCGAGGATCGTATGCACAGGATGACGCAGGCCCAACCATGACGTCGACCCTCCCAACACTCCTGACTTTGCGCATTTCCTGCTTGCCTCCCGTGACGCAGCAGCTCGCCAAGCGCAAGAGCGGCGCCACAGGTAGCAATGGGACTAGTAAAGGCAGGCCGGGTACCTGCATGCGAGGCAAATATGATGGTGGCGATGGCGACGATGCAGATGACCTTGCTGAGCAACTCTACCCGTACGCGAATTATGGAGCGCTCTCTTCAGCCCAATTGCAGACGAGTGCGCTAGCAGCGCTGATCCTGAAGTTCTTCCGCGAGGTCCGCACGTTTCCCTCTCTCACCCTCTAAACCGCATTCAGTCATGGGTTCTCTGACATACTTATCGGGTACTCGGTTTGCCATGCTACTCGCACACATCGCAGAATAACAAAGCGCTCAACCTTGGCGCCGTGCAGCCGGCCACCTTTCAAAACTGCCGTGGCCTGTCGAAGGGGTTCCAGCTTGCTCTCATGAACGATCGCTGTCACTTATCCTGTCAGTCTAACAGGCTATATGCGCTCCTTACACCTGGCTGAACGACCATTTCTGCTTCCGCTTCCCAATAGTTCTCCTCCATCCAGCAACCGTCCCCAGAACCGCATCGCCTTTTGCTGCCCAACTACAAGCGTCTACACAAACACAAGCCCTGCAGATACGCCTCTCCTTCACCTTTCACGACCGCCTGAAGCGCAATGCCAATCCAAGCACGGCAGGAAGTGTGACAGCCGCGTTGCTGGCGTGCTCCGACCGCGTGTACCCCGTCGTCGAGCGCCTCGTCGCGCGGGCTCTCCCTCGAATCGTCAAACAGGGCATCTGGACCAGCGAGTTGCTCGCCGGTCGACTTAACACGCAGTATATGCAGGTGCGTGTGTGCCAGCACCCCTGTGCGAATGCCATATCCAACACTCACCCTCATCTTCCCGTTATCGTGCCCCCACAGAGGGCGGCGGAAGTTGCAAAAGGCATCGAAAGCATCGCAACGACCTTAAGCGAAATCAAACACCTGCTGCCATCTACGAGCAGCAAGCACAATGAACGCATTGTGGCGCTACTGAATAAGCGCCGAGTCCATGATTCACTTGCATGGTTAGATGTGAAACAGTATCCTCCTTCTCACTTTACCGTGCGTTGCTCCTCTATCCTTTGCCTTCTCCAAAATTACCCGTTGCTCTGCATCCAGCGCACTAAACGCTCTCCATACCCACTCGGCGGCTGATACCAATCCTCCGTTAGCAGAAGAACAATCCGTTAACCCTTGGCATGTTCAGTGTGTCCGCGTGTAGTGAAGAGGACGTCGACAAGCCCGGCAACGACAGCAGCGCACAGGACGAGCTAGTACAGCAGCATGACGAAGATGATGACGACGAATGCTTCGAGGACAGCTTGGCCGAACGCCTTGTCGTGCAGGAGATGCTTGACGACTTGTCGTGCTCGAGTGAGAGTGAAATTGACGTGGTAGAAGAGGACGAAGATGAGGATGCGCGCCTCCACGAGGTACCGGCCGATACGATGGAGCCAGTCGAATTTCCGCTCACATCGAGGTACAGTGGATACGAGAACGTCGAGAAGGTTCAAGATGTCAAGCTGGACGGAGAGGACTACGGACACCAGGACGAAATTGTCGCCGACAGCGACAACGTTTCACGTTCATCAGCAGCACAGGGCACATGCACTGTTCCGATGTATCCACTGTCGCCATCACCGAGCCCACTCAACCCCGCCTCAGACGTATTGCAAATCCACATGGACAGCGAATTCGAGCTAGCCTCCTACACTGGATCTGCATCAGAGGCAAGTTCTGACGAGGAATTCTGCACGGGTGCGTACCTAGTGCATTAGCTATGCGTGCAAACTCCTGCGCCAAAGTGTCATTTCGCAACTGCGAGCCCATTCAATCATGCCACTTGCGAAGACGTGCGCAACGACAGACTTTGATCCGCGTCACATTTGAAAAATAAGCGTGGATGCTATGTACATAGTTGTATCTGCCACCTACCGAATCGAATGAGGTCAGATTAGCTACAGAACAGGAGGGAATTGAGGGCTCGAGACAGCTGTCTAAGCAACAAACGCGGCGACGCTACCAGTGGAACGCAGCATCGACTCTTCGCCGCTCGAAGCTGGCTGCAGGGAAGAAGCCCAGTCGCCATTGATGTGCAGCTCTCGCCGGTCTGGCGACGGACTACTGCCAGAGGATCGATGCCGAGCGCCCAATGGCCGAATCAGGCTGGTGTCTAGATCCCCGTATCCACTCCAAACCCCACCAGGCTTCATCCTGCTCCATGCCTCCATTGTCCGTTATCCATTTTCAGTTGTTCATTGGTCCGTTCGTAATTGCATATTGCATGATCAATACTTCAAAGGGCTTTTAGTTTCCACAGCTTTTGCATTCTCTCTCAAGGCTCATTGCATGACGACACCACGCTTTGTGTGGGGGATTGCTGAAATGCCAGACCAACCCAGCTAGTCCCAGATCATTCACCAGTCTCAGGCTCTTGCTACTGATAACTCAGCGCCCCACCGGCCATCAGCCAGGGCAATATGCATCAGCGCGCATCAGCCTGGTCATTGTGCATTGTGCACTGTGCATGTGGCGGAATGTCTGACTTTGTGCCAACCCGTATAGCTGTATCCGACCTGCTGAGTGCGCCGATTGTTGATTGGTCACTCGAGTCTCGCATATGTACGATATGGACATAACAGCTCGGGGAGGAGAGACGGAACTCGGAATATTGGAGCTCAGCCATGGAGCTTGCGCGTGACGCGCCATGGCTGATCTCCGATGACGGATCGCTCGGCACTCGCAAAATCCGTACTTCGTTCGCTCCGCGTCGCAAAAAGACGGGAAATAGCATGGAGCCGTGCGGTATGTACATGTGTATTATATACGTACGCATGTGGAATCCGGTGGGGCTTGAACTGGGAAAGCCTGGAGGACATGCAAGGCGTGCTGTTTTTAAAGGTAGCCACCAGAGCCTGGCTGACGGCCGTGTGCAAAAGCCCGATACAATATACTCATTGACATGCGCGTAGTAAGTAATATGGGGTATACGGCCACCGAAGACCAAATTCCCACGCAATAGGTGTACCCGAAGTGGCTGCAGCTTGCCAGTCTCCTTTCGAATTTCGAGGACTGCTCGGTTCAATTCCTCCTAAAATGATTGGAGGACAAAGTTCGACAGCTGTATCACCCAGTGCGACTCCTACGGGGGAAAAGCATAAAAAAGGGGGGAAACCTCGCGCAACACGGCTAAACTCATTTCACACAAGCGATCTTGCGCCCATTGCATGCTGAGAGAACGCCACAACCTGGCACGGATCTGAGCAACCGCGCGTGTTAGCGAGACAATGTGGCCATCTGCCATTGGCAATTCGCGCGGGAATCCCTTCACAATCGCGCACATGCCAAGCAGGCCGAAGTACCAACGATATGCCGAGAGCAGATGGGTTTGCATGCATATGGAGTATTGACTGATATATGCGGAGGCGGTAGACGACGAACACTGAGAATGCGCTTTTGAATTTGACCAATCTTTTTGACGGCTGTTGGCCTGCTCAAGTCTTCGGAGACCTGCGCTGGCGGGCTCTCGCTTTTGACCGGTCCTTGAAATAAATAGCCTGCAGGCGGCAGGTCTGCACTCTTTATTGTCAGGTTAGCTGCTCCATACACGCTTACACTTTCTGGTGACTGGGATTCTACACCTTGGCCGCATGTGTGTTACGGCCGATACCTCCTTTGCCCTTGGTCAAGGCAGCTGCTTGTACAACCCTGGAGCCCCTTCTGCCCATTTTCCGTGGCCTATGGGTCGTGGGAGCCCTGAAAAGCTTGTTGCAGCGCAAAGGTCGCGTCGCGAGTTGCAGTACTGTTGCAGAGCATCTTATTTCTTCCTTTGATTGCCGCTTGCGCCTTAGCGGAATGTATTCTGACACGCTTGGCGAATGTGAGGAACTCGGGAATGTGAATGTGGCCGGTCAGCGGACCAGTCGATCACAGGTTAGAGGGGCGAACAGACGGAAGAAAAGCGGGGAAGGCCAAAGGGTATGATCGGATGCAATGTATGATACAAAGGGTGAACAGAAACGAAGAATATAAAGCCCAACCTCAGGTGCTGAGCCACCAACATTGCACCAACAGGTGCTATGCAGTTAGCGTAGAGTGCCAGCAGTCAGTCGACCATCTCGTGCGGTATTAAAGGACGAATCAGCCGCCATATCGACAGCTGCAACATTGAAAAAGTCAAAAGAGGGATCCATGATTCAGTAGTAATGCCGCAATGGGCCGAAGGAAGAAGGCCCGCATATTGGAAGGCGCGCCAGGAAGACACAAAAGGGTGTCACCGTTTGGAGTTTGCACACATAACGAAGGCCCAGGGCCACATGGTGTTCGCTGAAGTGTTCACCGAACTTTAAAATGCAATCAATGGTTAAAATGAAGTTGCTACGATGCCGTGATCGCGCATGGCAAGGTACTGGCAGACGGCTGGAGTTGCCCATTGGATGTCGGCTGTCGGAAGACCGAGAGAGATGTCCGACCCGCACTAGAGTTCCGCCTGCTCTCGCTCGGCTCGGAGAATTTTGTTCTATTGAGCCACTTCAACTTGCCCGCTCCGTTACGGACATTTTATCCAACAGAAGTGGCACTGTGGATCCGCTCAAGAGTTGTTAGTTCGATATTTCAGAGGTTCAGGTTTCAGATTTCGGATTTCAGACCTTGTTGCAAGCTCCAGAATAGGAGAAATATTGGACACTTCACGAGAATCCTTCGCGCAAGTTGCGGTGGTCTTTGTTCGATAGCGTAATGCTTTGCGATCGCAGAGAGCCCTCTCCGCCTCATCTCGAGATTTCCCTTAAGACAAGCCGAAACAGCCCCTGATCTCATTCATGTTCTCATCCGAAACCTCCTTTGATATGTAGCGGTCGCCTCTCCAATCTCCACTGATTTCTTAAAAACAAACCCAACCACAAAATGCCCCACTTCCCCTATCCATACACGGTAAATTCGACAATGTGAACGATCTATTAGAGTGCGTTTTCTCCATTCTTCGTTCTGTACAAATCCGGCTGGAATCCTTGAACTAGGGAAAATGGGGACGCGTGTACATACATGCTCGGAGTGCTAGAGTACGTTAGGATGAGTACTGTATGCAATTATGCTCGCAGAATCACCGTACCTACATGTACACGACTCCCATCCACCCAAGAGATGGCGCTATGTAGCGCTATGGACACGATGCGTGTGGGGGTCAAAGCCTGTGCGATGTACATATGCGTGTCATTTGTGCATGTGTGAATGCGTCGCTGCTAGACCAAACGCTACAGGGATAGAGTGTACATGTAGATCCAATAGATTGACGATGCCATGCGAACACATTGGTGCCGCCGGGGATGGTTCTATTGTGGTACATAGCTACATACTTGTACGTACCACATCGCTGCATGCATATGTACCTACAGAAGGTGTGCAACAGCGTCTGGAGACATCTCCACAAGTCAAAGCTGTACAGTCCGGCGGGCGTGGGCCTGCGCCGTGCCTGGGCTGGCAGAGGCGTCTACGTGCAACCCTGCATTCACTGCATGACGCACAACACACGCTGAACCATGTCAGGCTGTGACCGTCACTGCCATGACCGCCGTGGCGAGGGATGGCGCGGCATGGCCTCCTCTCATTTCTTGGGCCTCCCTGGCATAGCGAATGACCACTCTTACCCAGCGCTGTGGGACTCATCTTGGCAGTAGATTCACTAGAAGAATCTGGACTCGGCGAGAGGAGTAACAGCGGTGGAGCTCCATGTGGTTCGAGTGTATCAAGAGCAAGGTGGCCTGATGACAGATGGCCGATGACTACTTATGGGTGGCTCTTCCTCCTACTTCCCTTCTGCGTGAACCGGCCATCCATACTAGCTTGCGCATCCATAATCCAGCTTCGTGGTGATCAACTCTGCCAAAAACCATACACGCCCTTAGCAAATTGATCTGTCTGGGAGTTAACCGGTAAGGTCTAACCAGGCCATATTCGCTGAGGATTAAAGCGAACTGTACGGTTGCTGCCTGATGGAAATATCTTGCCTACGCAATTACTTGGCAAACTTTTGAAACCTCAAACCCGTCACTCCACACCGTCGACCTGCACTGCAAGGTGGACGTTAGGCAATCGCTACGATGGAGTCTCAATCTAGCACTCACCATGATCAAGAAGAGGCTTCGACGGCCACGTCACCTCCAACGGCGGCTATCACGCGCAAGCGGCAGTTTTCACTAATCGACAGCCCAAGTCGGACGGACGCAGAAGCAAGTTTGAGGAAAAGAATCACACAGTCACGATCACGGTCACGGTCACCATCGGCGTCGCTGACTACCTCCGAATTTGATGTGCGTCTTCAAGACATGCAAGGCTGCTCGGCATCGACACCCCCTTCTCCCGCGGCTACCTCGCTGGTTGCCGCTCACAAACTGGTGACTCATACATCTGTGACAGTCTCGATCGAAGGGTGCTGTCAAGAGTCATCGCCTACGCCGAGGCTTTCTCACGGGCGCAGTGGCAATGATAATGGCGTACTGTATGCAGAGTACAGCAGAGCTGCAGCCGCACGGATGCCTCGCTCTGTAAGCTTGCCGCCTCGGCTTTCGCATTCAAGCCGCCATTCGCCTGCGCTTGATTCTACCCCGAAGGGTGCGACTACAATTGCGGCCAATGGCGTGCGCTCTGAGATGATGCATGGCGTCAAGTTAGCTACATCGTACAGCGCGCCAGTGACAGCCGGAATGAAGCGTACGCTTCACTATCACGAGCAGCAGCGAAGGCTTCAAAAGGGAAAAGGGAGAGCACCAGGCGTACGAGAACAGGCTCGAGGGCGAGGCCAGTACGTGTATCCGATTCAACTGCCGCCGGTTTCGACCAAGTCTGTCGAGGGTCTGGACCTCAAGATGGCCCTGCAGCTGCCACAGACACGGCACCACATCATCTTTGACCACAATCTCGCATTCAACCTCACGCCGCACGGTGAACGCGGACAAGCGTGGGAAACGGCATCAGAGCGCTACTGGGCGGCGGTAAGACGGGAGATCGAGCTTGGCTGTGTTTGCTCAGTGTATCAGGACGGCGTCCTGTTGCCGTGCACTTGCCCGGCGGCGCCCAGTGCAAAGCAATCTGGCACTTCACAGCCACCGCCGCGCTTGCCGTTGCTGCTTGCGCAGCTGCGCGAGCTCTGCGTCCAAGCGATTCTCCATCACCAGACGAGCGACTTACTGCGACCGATAAGTCGCAGCCGCGCAGGCTCAAGCGTGGGCAAATCCTTTCCAAGCGCCATGCAGACTGGTCGCACATCTCCCCTCGATATCCTTTCATCTCATGCCGGCACGTACGCCGATCCGCATGCGCATGCAATCACAGACATGTTCGATCTAGATTTGAGCGTCTTCTCCAGCGAAGACGACGATATGACGAGCACACTGGGCTCGGCGGCCATCTCACGGCGTTTTGAGAGCGTTTTGCGCGTACTGCAGCTGCATTGCGTGCCTGAGCGCGAGGAGGACATTGTCGATGTACTCGAAGACGGCATTTGGGAGCACGACATTGTCGAAGGTCTTCGTGTCCTCTTTGAGTTACTCGAGCTGATGCGGCTGGTGAGCGCTGCTGCATTCACTTCCCACGGCGAAAGGACTGCTGATCAAAAATTGCACGCTTCAGGACACGACAAATGTTTACGTCTCGCGCAATGCACCATTCTTGCGAGAGGTAGCGGCTGCGCGTGAGCGCGTCTACTTTACCGACCAGATCATTTCCGGCCGTTTCCCGATTACGCGCACTATTTCCTGGCACAGTAGATCGCTTGCCAAAGTGGAAGGCTCGTGTGCTTCCGCACCCCTTGCACTGCAGCACACATTGACGCGCACATTCATTGCCGGCTTAGTGGAGCTCATCGTCCAATCTTTGCAAGACGGCGCTATCAGACCGACCGGCGCACCGACCCTGCTGCATGTGCACGCTTCGCGACGAGTGCTGCCAGAAGTCTTTCTGCACGATCAAGTGCGCCTGCTGGGATTCTGCGAGGAGCTGACAGACATTGCCATCGTCCACGTCTTGCTACTACTCTTTCGTCACCTGGCATCCACGGGCGATCTGTGCAACGGAACCGCCTCTCGCATCGACGAGCGTGAGCTGTCAGCACGCATACATTCGCGCCAAAATCAACTCAAGCTCCTCTGCCTGGAGACGCTGCAGCGCGCGAATCGGCAGCACGCCACGGACTGCCACTCGGGCCGTGCGCCACTGCCCAAAATGGCGGACGCGACGTGGCGCCACGAGGTGCAGGGCCTGGCGCTCACCATGAGCAGGGAGGCCGTGCTTCTGCGGAAAGAAGTCGTCGAAGGAGGTCTGCCGAAGGCCCCTGTCGAGCTTTCTGCGGCCATGGAGTCTTTGATCCGCTCCTGGGTCCATCACAACGTGGGCAACACATCGCATCTGCTGCGCATGTGTGTGCAAAAAGTACAGGACTGCGTCGTCGCTGCACTCGATGCCCCCGTGTCCATGTACGTCGCGCAGCACTTTACGCAAGCAAGCGGGCTGGATTTTAATGCAAGTCCCATCACCACTGCTCCGGGCTTCACGGGGGAACCCAAGGCATGCAGCAACAATTTCTCGGTTTCTGCGCTCTGCAAACGCGACAAGGTCGAGGACCATGCCCACGCAGACACGTGCATCGCTCGACACCTCTACCTTGACACAGTGACACCCTTGCAGCTGCTGCAGCTACCAGCAGACTGGCATGCCGGGCTGGCCCGCGCCGCGCTCACCGCGCTGGCACCGCAGGTGGAGCATTTCGCCGCCAGCCTCGCCCGCTTTGCGCTGTTGCACCTGGAGGTTTACGGCGTGCTCTACGCGTTCCTCGCCAGGCGTGACGCACACCTGTTCGGTTCAGCGTGAGGATATGGTATTGATAGAATGCATTGCTTCATCGTTGCCTGCTTCATCACTGAGCTTGCCTTCCAAATGCAGTATGTGGTCCGGTGGACGTGTTCGAGGGGCATGGCGAAGCGAGCATCGCAGTTCCTCCGTCACTCACTCAGCATGTTGTAGTAGTTGTAAAAAAATATCATCGCAGCAGCCAACAGCTGTTCAAGCAGACTTAGCGGACACGAATCTTGCAAGGTGATGAAGACTCCCGAAAAGCATTTGCAATCAAAACGCACTGTCAGCTGACGCAATGCTGCTTCCGTGGGCAACAGCAGTAGAGGAAGACAACTTAGCGCGCAACATGGCGATCTCGCGCCGAAACTATTCGTGTAAAAATAAATCGTCGCAATTCATCGTGGGGCTGCAGATTTAATAACAAAACAAAAAAAAGAATCCAAAGGTATTGGTCCATACGAGGATTGAACTCGTGACCTTGGCATTACGGCAACATCCGATGCAAGCATCGTGATTGTATTAGTACCACGCTCTGACCAGCTGAGCTAACAGACCATTGCTTGGTGTCTAGCAAGACGTTTGTAAATATATACCATAGAAAATTCGGCTTCTGCAAGTCCTTCCACTTTCCCGCACGTTCCGCTGTCACTACATCTTTGACGGGCCTGGGTCTTGTATCAGTGTTGACTGGGTAACGCGTGCTCTCTAGTTTTCAGAATGGAAACAAAGTATTTGCAAGTGTGTCATTACATCTCATAGATACGGAAACATTCAAGATACAAGAGCGCACACACTGCCAAAGCCGCCGGTATCGCCACATGTGGCGTTCTATACTTTTCATGATTTCTTTGCTATCCCTCTTCTCTCCTATTTGGGGGTGATTACCACCTGGAAAGTCTTGCCCTCGCTGCCGGGCTTGACGTCGACCTTGACGAGCTCGTCACCGTCGACCTGCGCGCTAACGTCCGCCTTGGCGTCGCCTTGCACGACGACCTGGACGCCGTCAGGGTACATGCGCTTCTTGTCGTATCGGATCGTGAACGCGTCCTCTCCCTTGCTTAAGTAGAAGCCAGTCCACACGCGCTCGCCGCCGGTGACCACCGAACCGTCGCCGTCCTCGAACTCAGCCGTCGCGTTTATAGTCTTCCTCTCGCTGCCGATAGTATTATGCACATCGTAGGGTGCAAAGCCAGTCGTGTAAAAGGTGTCGCGCACGCGGCCGACGCACATCGGCGTCTCGGTCGAAATGAGCGAGACGACACTTGTGGGGATCAAGCCGTTGAGGTGGATCTTGACAATGTACGTTACCTCTGTGTCGGCGCCCTTGGCGCGCAGCACCCACGCGGACAGCTCAACCGTCGCGCGCGTCCGGCTCTTTGCGTATGAGCCGGCGTCCGGCAGAAGCTCCTGATTGTCGACGGACTTTTGCAAGATGGTAATGTCGCCTGCAGAAGGCGAGCCGTACACGTTGCGCTGCACGCCACCAATGTCGCGCGCCCAGATAAAGTAGGAAGGCGACTTCATGACAGAGTAGAACAGATAGCTCTGCGGGCCGTAGCGTTGGATTGCTGTGGCGCAGAAATGGATTCTTGGATTCAGTCATGTGATGGGGCTTTGCCCCCACTCCCCCTTTCTCTCTTTCCTTCTCTCTCAGAGTTGCTCACGTTTGCCAAGCTCGAAGCGCGGGTCCCACTTTTTCCGCATGTTGGGCAGCTGAATGGTTGCCAGCACCTCTTCAGGCGTGGCGCCCTCGACCGTGGTGACGCCTTTGACCCAGGGGATGTCGTGTGCATCGTCCGGGTTGTCTTTCCTGTGAAGCTGCACATCCGCGTTGACGCCGGCGTCGGTCCAGTCAGCCTCAGCGGCGGGGTCGAGTTGGGCGGCGAGCAGGGTCTGCGCTTCCTTGAGCGCCGCCTCGTACTCGGGGGGTATCGAGTAGAAGCCCTCGGCCTGGATGGGGGTGTCGGGGATTTGGATTGACATGGTGGACAGTAATTGTACGTGTGCTGCTGGGAGGGATGGCAATTGTCGAAGATAGATAGGGGAGGAAAGGCTCACGTTATCAGAGGAGGATGAATGCTTTCTATAAAGGCGGTCCAGGCGAAGTTGGGTTTGCGGGGCATTGATTGGTGTCCGTGTATGGCTGCAACAGGGAGCTCAATCGTCGCTGGGCGGGGGAAGGGGACCGCTCTAACAGCCACAAGCCTGCACATGCCTCGACCCACTGGATGTGGACTCATATATCGCCGAGTGCCCAAGCGGCAAAAGGCGAGCGTGGGCGTCGATCATCTTCGCCAATAGGATGGCATCAGTTTGCGGCGCGCACGAGCCACACACTCTTTCCTTTTGACACTGAAAATGCGCGCTCATCCCGCACGTCGATTCCCTTTTGTTGATTTCAATCCAAGCCTACTCACCTATGCGCTCTCTTGTCTCCACGGCTGATGTAATCAGCATGAGCTCGATGCTACGCTGGCTAATGCTCGACGTATGTGTCGCTCGGAAATACCAGCTTCATCAAAGTTGGAAAGTTCTCATGTCACTAATTGTTGACGACACCGGCAGCCAGGTCTGCGGAAGGTCGGGGGAGAGTGACGGGTCTGGTCGGGTGAGGCAATGGTCCTGCCAGGGACATCCTCACAAGCGATCACATCAGCGGCAAGAAAAGTACACAACGTCCAGACCGCGGCCTGCTAGAACAAAGCATGAAATTGTCTTTCAGCAGACGCAATGGAGGGCTCCCTTCCTAGATGTAGCACGAAATCGTACGATCTCATTTTTTCGGCATGGCTTTGGTAGCTGATTCTCATCTGAATACTGATTTACAGCTGTAATCCATGGTGACTACTTGACGCTACATTCAACCAGCCCTTACGGTGGAGAGTCTAAGCTTTGGGACTCAGGGGAGGATATAAGGATCTGAATCATTTAGTGGATGCAAAGGGAATATGAGATTTGTACAGAGGAGGGCTGGTAGATACTGACACGAATACTTCCATTTCTACCCTCAAGACTCACCGCATTCTCTACTTGATGAAGGTCAAAGATGTGCATCTACTTTTGCATCGCCTCCCGGACCTGACGTACGTCCAAAGATTTATCGTCGACGCGGGGTGGGACTGGTTCTCAAACGACGAAGTTGACTGGCACTTCTTGGGTCGAGCGGAGACTGGTTCTTTGCGAATGGGAAAGTCAACAACAAAGAATATGCTACGAGCAAGCGGTTTGAGCCGGAGCTCCTCGAACGAGAATCGACGAATGGTCAGAAGGAGACTGGGAGCAGTACATCAACGACGAAGATTTGATTCTATGGACGTCTAGACCTGGCGGCGAGGGAGACGATGAACTCGTGACGAGTATTGTCGACCGTCGGGGCAGAAATGGGGTTCCGTGAACCATCTGTTCTAGGGACTCGACGCAAATTAGCGGATCGAATCTTGGGGCTCGGGTAGCGCGTTGTGCGGACGTGCAGCACCGGTCCATCAATCGGAAACAGCGGTTTTGCGCCGGGTATGCATGCCACAGGTAGAGTGGTATAGCCATTCTGACGTCGAGCCGCTTGGTGCAGGAAGATCCAGACGAGCAAGAGACACTCAAAGCCTTGGACCCGCAGCGGTACTTGGCATATGAGTGCCGCGAGGATGCAGCCGAGGCGGATCTGCACTTTCTAGAGCGGCCATTGTCGATTGTCTATCGAATGCTGAGGGCAAGCAAAGGTCGGTAGCGATTTTTTCAAACGGGATCAGATGGGATCTACGAGCTGAAAGTCCTGCTACCTCTGTGGAGCCAGGTAGCAATGCGCCACCTAAACATATTTCACCAGTCCAGTTGTTTGGCCCATTAGACAACTTTCGTGTGTTCAAACATCGATCGAGGTCAGCCAGGCCTCCAGCTTGACATCTGGGCGTCGTATTGAAGAGGAATCACGATAGGTATATTCGGCGCGTCGTGGTTGACGTTGCTATACGCAAAAGAGCCCTCCCACAAGGATGCTGCAACCCGAAGTGCTCGTCAATGTGTGGCTTCGCGAGGGGAGTCACAGAACGCACACTATAAGAAGTAAGCTGAACAAACAACGAAGCTTGTGTATGAAGATGCATGTGATATTGAACAATGACAGACGGTGACCTAAAATACAAAGAACGGCATCCATCGCGGCAACGCGTGATCGCGAGAACAAAAGCTCGTCATACCCCAGTCCGCGTAATTGCCTTACGTTGATTTGAGAACTTGATGACTTCGCGCTTCTCCAGCACAAACAGCGTACGTTCCAGCGCATGCTGAGGGCGAAAAGGCAGAAGAAGGAAGTCAGGGATGCGCCTCCTTTGCAGCCCAGCCAGGCACGACAACTCACCGCTGAAAGCCCTTGCGACTCGACGAATTCGTGCCGCAGCTTGGCGTAGCTGGTGCTCCAGCCGATGGGCAAGCGCCTGCGGATCTCGCGCTCGAGCTTGTGCATTTCGCCGTTGAGGTCGGCCCTACTCATCCCGCCGGCACGCTCACCGGAAACACCCGAACCGGTCTGTACGGCGTCCATAGTGCTGAACTTGAATAGGCGGATCGCTTCGTCGACGTGCTGCTCGCCAACCTGCGTGCTCAGGCTGGCCTTGGCGACACTCTCGCTCATGCGCACGATCGCTTCCAGCTGGCGCACAGTGATGGGGATGCTGGAGCGCTCGTCGTTATCCTGCTCGATCTGCGCGACCTGCTTGCGCAGCTCGACAAAGTGGCTGCTCAGCTTCTCGGCCGCCTCATCGCTCAGGCGCGGCGCGCAGCGCGCCTTGGCAAACGCAATGTAGCGCTTCATCGTCTCCATGTCAAACTCGCCCGTCGCACCGCCTGCCTCCTGCTCGGCCTGGCGGTTCATGTGGATGCTCATGACATGCTTAGCGATTGTCCGGTCGCGATTCTCGTCGTGCTCGTCCTTGACGATGAAGATCATGTCGAACCTGCTGAGGATGGTCGTCTGAAAGTCGATGTTCTCGCCAGGCGTGCGCATGTCGTCGTACCGCCCAAAGACGGGGTTGGCAGCGGCGAGGACTGACGTGCGGCTGTTAAGGATGGTGGTGATACCCGCTTTGGCGATCGAAATGGTCTGCTGCTCCATCGCTTCGTGGATCGCCACACGGTCCTCGTCGCGCATCTTGTCAAACTCGTCGATACACACTACGCCGCCGTCAGCCAGAACCATCGCGCCACCTTCGAGGTAGAACTCGCGCTGCGGAGGGCACATGCACAAGGTCATGAGATGGCATGTAAGGGCGACAGATCACACACATATGCACGCATTCAACCGCACTCACCGAACTCGAATCACGCTGGACGGACGCAGTGAGACCAGCGGCACTGGAGCCTTTACCGGACGTGTACACCGCAATTGGAGCGCATTTCTCGACAAACTTGAGTAGCTGCGACTTGGCGGTACCTGGGTCGCCGAGGAGGAGCACGTTGATGTCCCCGCGGAGACGCATGCCATCCGGAAGGATCTTCTTGCTGCCGCCGAAGAGGAGGCACGTGATGGCCTTTTTGATCTCCTCGTTGCCGTAGATGGACGGCGCGATGCTGGCCGCAAAGCGCTCAAAGAGGTTCGGCGTGCGGGCCATGCGTGCAAACTCTTCCTCCTCAGCCGCGGTGAAAATACGCGTCAGCCCGCGCCCGCCGGCGCCTTCTGCGTCGATCTCGAGCCCGACGACCTTGAGGTAGGGCGTGCGGAGCGCGACAGCGCCACTGCCGCCGCTTGCGCCGCCTTTGGCCTGGTTCTTGCTGCTGCTGAACGTCGAGTAAATGCCGGTGGCGACGATGCGCGAGCCGGGGACGACGCGCCCGCATAGCACGCGGTCGACGGAGAGAATCATGTGCCGCGGCAACTCGCCGACGGGGACCATGTCCGGCGCCTCCTGCAACTTGACGGTCTGCGTGTCAACAAAACGGCACTTGTCGTGGATGATGACGTACGGGTCCAGGCCGCACGTCTTGTCCTCGCCCTCAACGATGGGTGCGTCGCAACGCCGCGGCAGCGTGAATCCGCCAAAACCTGAGGCGACAGGGACCATCTTGGAGTTGCGGCAGTCGCGGCACATGATGTGAAGGCTTGTCACGCGCGATGTCAGCGTCGACGCGCCAATCACGATTCCCGGCACGCGCACCAGATGCGAGATCGAGTCAGCGTGCAGGTCACGCATCGAGATCAGGTTCGCAGACGAGCGCAGCGTCACTTGGCAGTCGGGGGCCTCTGGGCGCTGTGCGTCGTTGCCGTCCGGGGAGAGCGGGTAGAGGATGCGGCGCGCGATTCGCTTGACGGCGCTCTCAAACTGCACAATAGTGGCCATCATTGTGAGTGAAGGCCATGGTGGTTGCAAAGAGAATGGCCGACGACTCACTAAGGGTAATATCTCCCCCGGCTTCTCCCTCATGTTCTGTGCAAGTGTCGCGTTCCATAGCTGTACATGCTCCAGCTGCACCTCGACCATGTACTGCTTGGCCAGCAGGTTGGCGCGTAGGCGGTCGCGGTAAATGAAGTCGTTACCGAGCCGGAAGCGCTGGAGGAAGTCGTACAGATTAGACTCTATCTGTGCAAGCGTCTCGTACGACGTGCCATTGCCGCCGCCGCCATTGCTGGAGGATGCGCCGGTGCCTGGCAGCACGGACGTACTATACGACTGGCCAAGGTCGAAGCCGGACATCGTGCTGGTGGTGGTAGCTGAGGCTGTCGGTGTGTTTTACCTCGTGCTCCACTTGTAGTGCTGCTTGCGTGCTTGGCACCAGCAGCGATACGACGATGTAGTAGGGCAAGTGCGAGAGTCCGAGTCGAAGCATAGCATACGACAGAATGTAAAAAGAACGGGATAGGGGAGGTGGGTTCAAATGTAGTTAGATGGTATAAATCAGTGGTGGTGGTGACGTGACGCATGGAGAGACGCGACGCGACGCGTGTTGCGTCGCGTCTATATTATCACAGACTCATCTTTCCACTTCAATTTCGCCACTTCGGCCCCAGAAAAACTTTCCTAAGAGTGACCATCATAGCATCGATATCGTAAGAATCATGATGGTATCCAACCCTCACTCGCTCATGCTTCACGCCGCATTGCTTGCCTGTAGCTGTTGGCCTCGAGGATGACATGCAGCATGTCTTGGGCCGGTCTATACATGAATAGATAAGGCAGTTTTCGGAAGTCCTGAAAAGGCCTTTCTATCCTGCAAGCGGCCACGGTGGGAGGCGTAGACGTGATTGATTCGCGTACATGTGCCCCCTGTTCCCGATGGAGTAAGGGTGTGGATAGCCTGTGCCAGCTGCCCTCCGTGCTACTTACGGGTTATAACATATATATTGTGTGTGTGGAGTCAGGCATGTCCGGCTGCTGATCAAAGCGCGGTGGGCGCTAGCCTTTCAGCGAGGCGTGCGAGGACACATATGGGGGGAGCAGAGTGAACAAATACAGCGAGTCGATCGGTGCGATAGCTAAACGAGATAGGTATGTATGTGTGATCCAAAATGCCAAGGAAGAAGAATAGTTCGTTTCTGGTCAAGTCTAGGGCCCATCCATGTTCACGCGTTGGCATGCGCGCAAGGTTTCTTGTAGACAGAGAGGAAGGCATGCAAATAACCAGGCAGTCGCTACGCCTCCGTAGCGCCGTCTTGAGCACCGGCGCCTGCGCCGACCTTGTCCTTGCGGATTGGCTTCTGACAGACGGGACAGCGCCCACTTACCGTCGTGAGCCATTCGTCCACGCAGCTTTTCTGTTCGTTGTCCAAAGCGGGAAGAGATAGGGAAGCGCATACACTCGTGTCAGCTCCCATCACCCTCTTTTGACTTCTCCAATCGTAACTCTTAACAGCACAAGCACTCACGTGAAAGGTATGCCCGCAATCGAGGAGCCGCAGTGGCTCCGGTTCCATGCCCTCCCTCGCGAGCGTCTCCTCGGGGCGTTCAAAGTCACACAGGCAGATCGGGCACGTTGCGCGATGCGCAGGCAGTGCATGCAGCGGGTACTTGAGCTTCGGAGTTTTCTTCTTCCTGCTACTGTTTCCTCTGGTGGTGCGGGAGTCAGAGACGCTGGGCACTACCGCTGCTGCTGCTGCACACATGCCTGCGCTAGCGTCGACGCGCGAGGGGTTGTTGTCGCTGCAACTGCTGCTGCTTCTCGTGATGTCGGCACGCTGGAAGTGGCGTGCAGAATGTCGTCGAACGCGGAAGAGGCGCACCAGCCCACCGCCGACGCGGCGCTTGCTTGCCGGTGCCGTCTTCTCCCACTCGCGATCGTCTGCCGCGCCGCTGGATACCGTGGAAAGGTCCTCGGCGCCAGATGATGCAGGCGGGCGCTCATTATCTGCCGCTTCGGCGCTTATTGCAGCCCCGTCGGTGGCCTGCTCTGTTTCCTTGACGACCTCCTCTGGTGTGTAGTACACCAGCTTGACCGCGTCCGCTACCTTTTGCGGCACCTTGGACGTGGGCGGCTGCTTACCCTGCAGGCGCTCGCCTAGGCCGAGAGCGCGCATAGCAAACATGACACACGGAAGGAAGAAGACGATGGCAAAAACGAGTAGCAGTATCTCGAGAATGATTAGGTAGGTGATGCACAGCATGCTGAACGACGTCCAGAAGAGTGGGACCGAGTCCGCAGGCGCGCGGGAGCATTCAGTCTGCGCGAGGCGAGCGGAACGTGCATGTATATCAGCGATTCACGTGTGGGCAGTGGGCACAAATTCCCCTGACGGGGAATGGGTAACACTCACGTTGGAATAGACGATATGGTCTACATGCGCATATAGTGCCCCCGGCAAGCCGGCCACGAGTCAGCATACCAATTCCCGCGCACAAAGGAAGGAATGCTGCGCACTCACTGCCGACGATGAACAGGACCAGATGAACAATATTGATGAGGTCGGAGATCTTGCTGATCTTGCGATCGAGAAGCAAGCTTCCGAAAGTGCGCGCTCGCTCGCGCTCCTCAAGGCCCTGTGCGTTGGGCCTGCGCGCCCTGCTCGTCCGGTGTGGGCTCAGGCCAAGGTAGACGTCCAGCGGGAGTGCGACGGTAACGCGGAGCATGTGCAAGAAGAGCCAGGCGAACAGAGGCTCTGGGTCGCACGTTGGGTCGCCCCCGCCGGCGCCGCCATTTATGCCCGAGCGGTCTGCAGCAAAGCTGTCGCCGAGGCTCGTGGGCAGCGCCAGAATCACGATCGACACGGCCACCTGCGCTAGCGCCAGGCCGAGCCGGAAGAAGAACATCAGCTTGCGCCCGCGTGTTAGGTGCGCGTACGAGGCCCATACCCCCAGCAGCAGATTGCGCCGCACAGCTGCCGCATCGTCCAGCTCTGCCACGGCGGCGCCACGCTCGGCGCCTGCGCCTGTGCCTGTAGCAGCAGTAGCGTTGCTGCTCGCGCCTGCATCAGTACCAGCGCTCTCCGCGACGCCTCTTCGCTCCGCCTCGTTCGCGAGCTTCTCCGCATGGCGCAGGCGTTGGCACATGTCCTTGATGCTCCTGCGCGCGTTGCCCGCCTCGCGGCCGGCCTGAACCTCAAGGACCTCGCACACAGCGCGCACCTCGCGCACATCGTGCATCGCCAGTGCGCCGGACGTCCGTGCTCGCTCGAAGCGTGAAAACATCTGCTCGTCTAGCGTCACCGAAGTGGCTGTGCATGTGGCGGTGTCTGTGAGCGCAGCAGGTGCATCGCCCGCTGATAACGAGGTCGACGCGCTCCCTTCCAGAGCGCGTTGAGCACACTCGATGAGAAGTGAGCCAGGCGCCACCGCCGTGGCAACAGGTGTATTGCTTTCGAAGCCCTCATCGAGCGCAAAAGCGAGAGCATCGAAGCCTTGGTCAGAAGGCAGCAGAATGCCGTGGTCGCGTGCAAAGATGGCGATCGGTTTCGGTCTTTGTTGTTTTGGGGTATCCCCCGCGTGATCTATCGCTTCTTGCTCGTTGGTTGCACTTCTTGGGCCGTTTGATATGTTTCCGCTTGCATCAGAATCTATCCCAGGTGTAGATGCTAGGAGGGGATGATCCGTATTTGTCAAGACGAGGTGGCGTATAGGGCTGCCGTTCGCTTGCCCATTGTGCTGAGCGCTGTCTGGAGCCTCCACGATTTCGATAACTTCATTCATTGCTTCTGCCTCCGCTTTAAGCTGCAGGTCCGAGTCGAATGACGCACGCTGCTTGTCTGCTTTGCGTTTGCTCTGCTCGGACAGCGGTGGCGACTGCGCTTGCTCTCCACCAGTGGCGGCTGCGGGGACGAGAGTGTCGAGCTTGAGCTTACTAGTGCTGCTGATGACGGTGTTGCCGCTTATTGAGGGGCCACTTTCCTCTTCGTGCTTCAACGTCGTTTGGGCCATCGTCGGCTGCTGGTTGGATTAGGCAGCAGCAACCGTGCGTACTGCGTACTGCAGCTGACTCGGCGGCTCTGCGAGAGAGCGCGAGGCTGATAACGTGCAGGTGCGTATAGAAGAGACTTGCAGCCAGGATGTTCGGCGGCGGAGCGGGAGCTGGCAGCTGTTACGATGTCAAACGTATGACTAAACGTGAGCGGAGTAAGGAAAGGTTGGCGGCGAGTTGAGCCATAGACAGCGTGCTCGCTCGCGGCGCCACTGGATCAGCCAGCAGTCAGGGAATTGAAATGGAGTGGAGGACTCAAAGGCAAGACGCTTGTAACTTCCGCTGTGGCGGTGGGTGCGGCTGCCGCTCCGTCTCATGCGTCGGTGTGTCGCACGCGGGCTGTACAGTGAGGTCACCAGGAGATGCCCAGCTCGCACCAGTCCATGTAAGGAATCGAGCGATGGCTGGACGACGTCGTTGTCACCACCACCACGTCACAGTCTCTCTAACAGCGCACCCCCTTTGCGCGGAGACACAACCTCCGGAGTTCCTTCGTCTGGCCAGGTAACACAAAAGGTAGGGTTGATATGGTTGCACCAGCAACGCCGCCGAACTAAAGGCGAGACCCATCATCAGTATCTCTCACTAGTTCCCCGTGTTCCCATCTCTACTCTGGGCCACGCCGACATGACAGCAACCAGCATCCCAAGTGGTAACGGCTGGCAGTCACCACTAGTTTACACATAGCCACCGACTTGGTCGCTTACTGGGTCATACTATCATCTGCGGCCTCAGCACCCAATGCAAGCACGGCAGAACGGGTGACAGCTCCATGCTCCGTGCTGAAATGGCCGCATTCTCTGCCCCGAAATACATGCATCCTCTTGGCCTGCCCCCTTTCCAAATCTACTGTGTCGCACTTGCCTCCAACGCCGCATTTGGCACCAGTCCCAGCTCGCGCAGCGTCCTGCCCTTTTCCTCCTCCGTGAAGATCCTGCGCGGGAACGTCGTCGAGAGCTGTGCATGGGTCAGGAGAGCCGATCCAGGCAGACGAAGGGAAAAAGCGAGGAACAAGGGATCAGCTTTCTCTGACATTCAAACGTTCAAGTCCTGCTCTGCCGAAAGGAGCACTTGCCTCGAGCTTCGGCCCTTGGCTCTTGCCATCTGCGATCACCTTCTGCTCCACGTCCCTCAGAGTGCCGCTGTCCGCGTCCAAGCTCCCGCTCCACATCTCTCCTGTGTTGAGCCGGACGCGCAGCCTGCTCTCCTTTGCATTCGCACCTGCTCCGCTAGCCCGCGGCACGGATGGTGCTGCTGCTAAAGCTGATACAGGTGCCGTCTCATCCAGCTTGCCTTCGCGCTTAAGCTTCTCGAGCCGTACCTTCTCGGCGCGCTCGTGCTTATCCGCCTCGATCTGCGCGCGCACGCGCTCCTTCGCCGCAATGTCCGCCATTTTCTCCTGCAGTTTGCGCGCTGCATCCTTCTCTGCCTCCTTGCGCTTCAGCTCCTCGCGTGCGTCCAACGTCTCTTTGCCCGCTTTGCGGCGGATCTGGATGGGTGGGTGCAGATCGAAACAACTCAATGGGCTAGCCAAAAATGGAGATCAGTTCTATGCTGTGCTCACCAACTCATTCGCGCGTGCTTCTTCCTTGTCAAGTAATGCCTGCTTTGCCCGCTTTTCTGCCAATTTGCTTCGCACTGCGTGGGGCCAAGAGCCCAGACGCCATTTGTTTAGTCACCAAAGAGATGTGCCCACGCCAAATAGCAAAGCACACGACCCACTTTCATCTAGTCTCGCCTTTCTCTCCTCCTCAGTCAACGGCTTGATCTCCTCGGTGCTCTCTTCGAAATCGGTGTGCCCGCTCTTTTCGGCGTGGAACTGGGCATAGGCTTGGTTCCGGAATTGCTTGCCGCACTCGGTGCATTTGATCGACTGCATCGCATATGAGCCACAGGGTGTGGCAGAAGAAAATTAGCTTCGAGGATATTGGAAGGTCGTGGCATTCTCATGCGACCTAAGAAGAAACGCACATTCGCCGTATCGCCGATCCGTGCCAGTCCCTCATCCTCGCCTGCGGCGTCGGCGCCTTGCGCCTGCTCTTCGGCAGGTGGCACGGGCTCCTCGCTGTGCTCGACAAGGTGGTCCATCGCCTCTTGAATCCCCTTACCGCGTGTCGCACGCAGAGCCCAGTCGACGCGCTCTGGCGCAAAGCCCATGTCGATCACTATTCCAGTGTGCGATACGGATACAAAACATCAGCAGGGCGGAGTGAGTCGCTGGTCTTGTTTGTGGTCACTCACGCTGCTGCTTGTCCGCCATGATGCACCTCCTTTTCCCCTTTTATTTCCTTGAGCGATGAGGCTCTGTTTAGCGGGGCTGCGTCACCTGCTTTGAAGATGCACACCACGTTGCGTATGACCAGATGGACCTCGAAGGTGGAAGATGGAGATGTGGACATGACGAAAGCCGCAACAGGCAACACCTGCAGAGCTGCCTGCTACACGAGCACATGTGTGGTCCGAGCGCGGCGCTATGAGGGAGGTACAACCCTATTTGAAGCGCCCCCCTACTTAGAAGACTCAAAGATTTCGGGAAGTTTCTGAAGCTTTCAGGTGATTCTTGCGCCTTTCCCGCGCTGCGCCACCGCACACCATCAAGGTTACCTCACAAAGGGAACATCCTTGGGCACTATCCTCATCTTCACTCACAGTCGACTGAGCACCTCTCCCATCATTTCCGTGATCCTAGGACGACACTGAGGGACCATCATCGAAGCGTAGCAGCGATCGACTCGGAGACCTCCTGATCCTGCAGCGAAGCCAGCACAGCTGGCTTTACACCGAGCTTCTCGCAAAGGGGACAGGCGTGGAAAGCACACGCGATCTCGCGATTGCCGAAGCGGGCTACTCACCTTGCCTAGCCTCTGTCGGGTCGCCGCTCCTCTACACATTGGATTCTTATCTCCCAGCTTTTGACCAAAACCAAAACGCAGAATGTCTGGCATAGTCAGCTCGGGGCAGAGGTCCCGAGTGGACGTGCCCACCAAGCGGCGCAAACCCGGCCAGGGCCCAATCAAACGACATCATTGGTTCCAGTGAGTCGGCTTCGCTATCTTACCCTTCGGTTTAGCTGGTTCTCCTCAGATACAAAGTGTCTTTCTCTCTGATCTGCTATCTGTCACTTCTGATCTACGAACTTGCCATACCGCAGCGTCGTTGTCATGGGTCCGTACTTGGTTTGACTGTATCCCCAGTGGTGCCCTTCTAGCGCTGAAAACTGACCGCTTGTCTGCTTCTTATAATTGCCCGATCAAGTCTGCGGGTGGATCATGCCTCCAATTGTGCGTATGTGCTGGTAGCCCGCGCTTAAACTGACTTTTCCAGTGCCGCTTTCAGACTAACGATTGACCTATGCCCTCCGGATGTCCAGGCTGTTCTCATTCGATTCGGTGTCGGCTGGGACCTGCTGGTCAACATCATCTGCACCGCGGCAGCCTATATCCCCGGCCACTTTCACAATTTCTGGATCCAAAACATTCGCAACAACAACAATGCCAAGCACTCACCCAAGTGGGCCGTCAAGGCAGGCCTCGTCAAGGACTACAACAAGTCCAAGCTCAAGAAGCGCGGCTGGGCTGGGCGCTATGACGATGACGGGATCGCCATCGGCGGCAAGAGCTACCATGGGCAGAAGCGATGGGATGAGCAGGAAGTCATCGTCGACCCTCTCACTGGAGAGACGAAGAAGGTGGCAAAGCCGCAGAGCAGGGATTCCACCTCGCTTCCCAGTCCTTGGGCTGACGATCCTCTGCGTGAAGAAGATACAGCAGATGGCGCAGCGCGCGACTACGACGATGCAGACGATGGTCCAGAGGATGCAGCTCGTGTGAACTATGCGTCGCACTCCAAGCCAGATCACCTTCGCCGTGCACCGAACGGCAACAGCAGCAGCGGCAGCAAGGTGGACAATCGCAAACGCGATTCTGTCACCGGCGCTATCATTGACGAAGCCATGGGCAGCCACGACGACGCCTACGATCTCGGCCCTCGACGCTCTCCCTCTGGTCGATCGTTGCACTCGCAATACGCAGAGCGCTACCATCTCGGCGGGGCCAGGGGAGGCAAGGCTGGCAGCAGTGTCAGCCTAAATATAAAGAAGCAGCGCAGCCACAATGCCTCGCGCGATTCTTTTGGCGCCGCTGTTGCACCTGGCGAGGAGCTGCCGCAGCAACGCAAGAAGGGCGGCTTTGCAGGTATCTTTGGTGGTGGTGGCGGAAAGAAGAACAAGAATGGCGGTAGAAGCACCACGGCTGAGGGTGTCAACGGCAGGCAGGAGAGCTTTTACACGCCGTATGGCGGTTCCAACAACCAGCTCACTGGCCTGCCACCCGGCGGCGCATTCGGAAACGACGATAACCTCGACCGCGAGCTGCAAGATGTCCACCGGTCTGCTGGTCACAGCACTGCTTCGGCATATGGCTCGGGGCTGCAGAAGGGCAGCGCAGTACCGGCCAGCAACGGATACTCGCAAGGACCTGCACAGGTCCAGAAGGACTACAGCATCAGCAGCGTCGGTGGCGATGGACTCAATCACCAGTTTTAAATAAAGCAGCATCAATGGACTGCGGGCAAAGTGTAATGCTTTGGCAACCTTTTTGACTTGCGCTCGCATATCTTACCTCCACCAGTCTTTTAATCTGCTCATTCTCTTGATGTTGTACAATAACAAAGCGCACACAACGCACGGTCGTTGTCCCATTCCCTTTCTTTTAGGCGCGCTGAAAATGCTCCAGATTCACGCATTGACGACCTGCAAAAATATGTTTTTGGCTGATGATACAAGAATGCTCGAAATGCGACAGCACGTCCTTAAGCCCCCCTCCCACCTGCACCTGCGCCCCCTCCTCCGCCCGGTCCTCCACCCGCAGCGGCGCCTGTCCCACGTGGCCGCGGACCAGCGATCGGCATCGAACCGGGGAACGGCACGCGCAGGTTCCAGTTGCGCTCGAGATGCAGCTGGATATCCTTCACTTCCAATCGATCAGACTTGCGGTGCTTGGCGAGGCGGCATGCGAATTGTGTTACGCTCTCGATGAACTCATCGGCCAGTTCAAGGAAAAGCTGTAGGGCCGGGATGCACCAGTTAAAAGATCCGCAGAATGAAATGGCGCTAGACAAATACCTGCAACTTACATCCTCAACATCGCCCTCTAAGACCTCAGTAGGGTCGATATCACCGACAAGTTCCTGAATCTTGCGCTTCTCAATCATCCTTCCGGTCGGTCGCATCGTCGAGCCACCGGAAGTCGCTGCTCCTGTCGCGATCGCGCCTGAGATGCCGCTGCTCGCGCCACCGGCAGCGTCCAGATTGCCAAAGCCGTCGTCTGCAGGTAGACTCCTGCGATCTACAGGAACGTTGAGTAGTCCCTCCCATGTTGTCTGCGCCACGGCGGTGGCTGCTGCAGTTGGCCCAGCACTTGGCCCTGTTGATGCAGTTGTCGTACTTCCAGCTCCGACGCCCGCTGTGTGGCTTGTCGCCATCATCTCTGGCCGCTTCAGCATGGCTGGAGTGCCGACCATGGCGCTGCCACTGGCCAACCCTTGATTGAGCGTCGGTCGGGCGCCTTTGGCGTTCGGGAATGCTTGTGGTTGATTGATGCCGCTTGAAGGGCGGATGTGGTCGAGGTTCGGGGGAATCTGGACCTGGTTCAGTAGCCCTGTTGTCCCAGACGTAGACTGGGACGTGAGAGCATTGTTAATGTGCGGATTGGATGTCGTGGACGATGGGGTCGGAGGCACATTACTCTGCGTTTTGCCACCGGCAGTAGATGACGGCACGGTCACCCCGTTCGTTAAGCCTGGCGCAACTGCGGCTGTGGGCGTGCCTGGCCCTGCACTGCCGGCCCCAACACTGTTTTGCCTGGCGTTCGCACCCGTACTTGGTCCCGAGCTCAAGCTCGAAGCTGGAGCAGGTCCTGTGGCTGGTGCACTGGGAGCGATAGCAGCGGCAGCAGCTGGTGGTGGCACCGGTGAGCCGGTCCCTACCCTCGGTGACGCCGTCTGCGAAGGCGGTTGTTGAGCTAGTGGCCGTACTGCTGGCGATCCTGGTGTACCAGGCTGGCTTCGCTGACCCGCAGCAGCTTGCAGGATTGCTTTTTGCTGTTCAAAGATTCCTTTCTGCCGCTCAAACTCATTACGCACCTGCTGCACATGGCGATGATGCTCTTGCAACTGCGTCTGGACGCCTTGTCGGTCTGGTGAGTCGGCGGGCAGCGCATTTAGACGTGTTTGCAAGTTATGCACCTGCTGGTTCAGGTTGGTTCCGATGGCCTGGAGCTTCTTTAGCTTCTCTGATTGTTGCTGAAGAGCCTGTGCTGGATTCAAATTTGCTGCTTGTGCGAGACGAGCCGGGGTGTTGCTTACAGCTGGCGGACGGGCGGCTCCCTGCGCCGCAAGTGGTGTCGAAGGCCCTTGCCCTCCTGCTGCACCCGACTGAACCGGCAGCGATCGGTTCTGCGCTTGTCCTGCTGGCCCGATATTGCTTTGCAATAACTGTGCGACGCGCTGCAACGCCAACAAGAATGGTGATGTCAGTATAACAAATAAACTTGAGCAGGTTAATCAAGGTCGCTGCCTGCTGCCAAGACGCACGCTTTGCACCTCATGATGCGGGATCCTCCCTTCTCTCAGGTCTTTGAAGAACTGCGCTGCTACTGCTGGGAACTGCTGTTGGAGAATGTTGATGGCCTGGGCCATGAGCTGCGCCTGCTGAGGCGTGGACGCAATGCCCGGCGGTAGGCCAGCTACCCCGATGCCGCCCTGCTGCATTTGTTGCGGCCTCGCAGCAGCAGCGGCAACAGTTGAAGCTGGAGAATTCGCTGCTGCTACATTTGGCGCTGGACTTCCATTGGATGCAGCTCCCCCTGCACTCCCCCCTGCAGCTGCAGCGACTTGCATGGCAGCGAGCTGCTGCTGCATCAGCTTGGCGCGGTACTGCGAGGCGTTTGGATTGCCACCAATGGAATTGACGTTGTTGTTTGGGTTGCTCATGGTCTCTTAAGAGTGTGAGTCTATATGCTCAAAATGCAGAGCGGTATGAGAGAGTCGAACCCGACGATGTTATGCAGCCGGTCTTTTGCGATCGTGCGAGTCGACTTAAGAAGAAGCGGAGACCCACACAACCGACCTTGGGCCGAAATGGGGTCTGGCAGGTAAAGTCTTCGCTTGATCGCTCGCTCTCAATCGCCTCGTCCAACGCCCTTCAGCTGCTGTGCTTAATGCGACCAAGCTTTTCTAAAATTTGCGGTACCACTGCAAGAGTGGATGCCTCCCTGTCTTGTTCCGTGTGTGATATGTCCAACATGTATAGAGAGAGCATATCGCCGATACAATCAACTCGATTGAAATCAATGAAACATGCAATCGGCTTTCGGTGGTACTGGTTCGCGTCTCCAGCTGCCCTCTCCTCCCGTGCCTGCCTCGGAGAGGGGGGAGCATAGCTTCGACGAGGTTCATATACGACCATTCTTTCCAACTTTAGCTCCTTCCTCCTTCGACGACCCTCGCAAGCTTTCCGATACACGGTTCGAGTCATCTCAAACGAGCCGGTAAAGGAACGAAGGCTTCCAGCGTTCTGCGACCGGTTCGTTCATGATCTTGACGCGATGCTCGGTGAGCATCAACATCAACTGGATGCTTGTGGAGGTCATGCTGAGGTTTTAATTCGTCGGGCTTCTGGGCGCCTTTGCTTCTCTGCAGTCGTCGGGCTGACTGGTGGTATCGCATCGGGTGAGGAGGAACTATGGAATAGGATGCTCGGGGTTCGCTTCTTAAGCGAGCTTTGATCTGCAGGCAAATCGACCGTGTCGCGATTGATACAAGAGAGGCACCACATCCCGTTGATCGACCTTGATCTGCTTGCCCGACAAGTCGTGGAGCCGGGGACAACCACTCTCATAGCTCTCGTCAAAGCGTTCGGCGCCGAGATTCTCCAGCCAGATGGAACGCTCAATCGCCCCGCTCTTGGCAGGATCGCGTTCGGAGACGAGTCGAAGCGCAAGGAGCTGAACAAGATCACGCATTCAGCCATCCGCAAGCGCATGGTCTGGCTTCTCATCGGGTATTGGCTTCGTGGCACTCGCATTGTCGTGGTCGATACGCCCCTGCTGGTTGAAGCTGGCCTGTGGAAGTGGTGCGGCGAAGCGGTCCTGGTGTGGTGTTCGGCCGAGGACCAGCTGAAGCGCATGCTGTTGCGAGATACCGACAAGGGATTAACGGAGGAAGACGCGAGGAGCCGCCTGGCCGCACAGTGGGACCTCAATAAAAAGAAAAACTATGCAGACGTCGTGCTAGACAATTCAAAGCCCCTTAGGCCGCACGAGGCAGCGTCAAATCCAGGCACCAAAGACGAAGATTCGCTAGAGGAGCAAGTGCAGCGCTTAGTCGCTCGATGGCGCAGACAGACTGCAAGTGTAACAGGCGTTGCAAAATGGCTGGTAGCGTGGCTCGTTCCACCTGTAGGGCTGCTCATGGGATATCTGTTCGCCAAGCGTCGCGAGTGGGAGTTCTCTGTACGCTTACGAACTGCCGGCGAGGATGCAAAGGCAGAGTAATGCCGTCGCCACGAAGGCTTGACCATTTTGCAACAAGTTTTTCGACAGATATTGTTGCAACCGTCAGCGCTCACAGTAAACCAACACCCAGAGGTGCAGAGGCACTCTACCAAGGCAGCGGTTATAACTAGATTCATACAAGTCTGTGGGTCACCCAGGTGCATATAGTATAGTCGACCATGAGTGAGAAGAGGACGAGGGGAGACACTGGTGAATGTGCAATGGTGGGGTCCTTGCCGCGGAATGGCTGCAAGCATGGTCATGTACTCGTTTCCGTCCTTCAAAAGGACCCTTTCCAAATCGTGACATTGCTAGGCAATGGGCCGCACACAACGAGAATGTGTGTTATCCGAGTCAATGGCCCCGTGCTCCATCACCCAGGGCGTACCCGGTGTCGCACTCCTGTTTGGCAATCAAAAAAGGGCCCTCCGCGCGGAGCAGATTCGGTCCCGCCCGCCAGCTTACATTCGTGGCCTTTGCTGCGACGGTGAAGCGCATAAGCTGCTGTTGTCAATCGAAATGGACTTGTCAGCGGCGCTGCTGCCCACGCGGTGGTTGATGGGAGCATGTTGGAACCTGTTTGCGTTACGCATCGGTGAAAGAGCATTCATGGGATGCAAGTGCACGAGAGGGAGGGAGGGGCGTCGGGAGCGTGAGCGTTGGCAGACGTGTGGACGCGCGGGCAAAGAACAGGTTCCCAGGTTGTGCTCTCAGTGCCTCCGTGTGAGTTGTACTAAACGCATGCACAACCACTTCAAGCAGACGAGGCCAGCTGCCTTCCTGCAACAGTGCGATGAACTGCGGATTCGCCATTCAGGCCCACAAGCCCTCCTCATCTTCTTGACAACCATCTTGATGATGTTAGCGGACAGATTGGAGGGAGGGGGGGGGGGGAACGCGTTGCAGCCCTGAGCGCCAAAATAGTCAGCAACGCCTTGCTCTTGAATTCCACCGCGTTATCGGATGCCAATTCGGTGAGCGGAACATAAGGTCCCCACGAAAGAGCGTGTAGCGCGGCGGCCGCGCCGTGCGCTGAGGTGAACTCAACTGCACCGGCGGCGATGTACCCTGACGCCTGGTCTACCAAGACGATGAAGCTTTTCGTGGAGACTGTGTCCATAGGGCAAATGTATCCATGATCCACCTAAACATGTTGGCCCATAGCTGCCGGCTCGCGAATTCCCACCGTTCTGCGCGGCGGCGCCACGCTGCGGCGGGAGGCTCCACGCTCTTTAAAACGGCATGCGACGTCAGCCACTTTCGAGGCAAAGATGCGAACTTGTAGGTGCGCCGGAGAGCGAGGCAAAGCCGCCGCCCCCCGTGCGTGCGCAGTAGTCTCGTTCATGAATTACAGGATGCGCTCGATCTCAGAGTCAGGCACGACCACCACCAGTCTAGCATCCGCTCGCTCGTCATCATCCGTCGGGAACTCGACACGATAGAGAAAGTCGCCCTTTCGGCGGAACCATTGCAACGTGTCGCATACCAAGTCAGTGGATGGAAAGCCTTATGCTCTCGAGCTGCTTGCTCGATTTGGCGGCACGTTCCTCGCTGCGCGCTGCAGAACGAATCTGCGCTCTGCTGCGTGACAGACTCGTGCCCCTATGAGGGACAACGGACTGTGGACGCTTCTAGGTGCGACCGTTGCGAAGACTGCAGGCGGGACTCGGAAGGTGAGGTCAGCGATTCTATTGTCGACGCCGGTGAGGTGAACGATCTCGTGATGTTCAACACCAAGCTCGGAGAGTGCTACCGCGTTGCTGCGAGATGATCGTCGCCTTGATGAAGCAGACCCTGCACAGCTGCACTGTCGGTCTCGTAGAGGACGTTTGGTTCGTCTTTGATGAAAGGATGCAGGCGTTCGACAACCGTCTTGAGGGTGACAGCTTTGCGACGCACCACACTGTAGATAGGCTAGGCACCTTCCCATCTGTGTGGGACAAAGGCCAGCGGATGGTTAGTGCCGCCTCGGCGGACGCACAGTGATCCACCTCATCCGGAGAGCGAGGCGTCAGCGCGTACACTAGCTGCTCGCCGGGCATGTGGAGTTGAGGCGGGTAGGCCGCGGTGACAGCCGCTCGCACCGCCTCCCACGTCTACTACAAATCGGCTTTCAGGCGTGCGCCTTTAACGCGTCCGATGTGACGGTACAAAGGTGTAAGCCGACGCCCGCAGCTAGGCATACGCATCTACAGATATTTCACCATCGCGGCTGGCGAGCGCAGCTTTTTTAGTGCCCTCAGGGTGGAGGGAGCGAAGATATCGGCGATGTTCTCGTAGGTCGGCCGAAGCTCGCCTGCGGACCAAAGCGCGCCTAGCACACGGATGTGCTTCTTGCCACACCAAGCGGACGACTTGAGATCCAGGGTGACTTTCGCGTCCTCCAGGAGGTCGAGTACTTGGCGAATGCTCTCGTAGAGAGCCGGGGCTGGTCGCTGGTTCGCGTAATGACGATGTTGTCGGCGTTAGACGAGGACATGTAGCCAGCCGGTTACAAGAGTCTTTGGAAGAACGCTGTCGCCCGCGCCGGCGATTGGGACTCTCGTTGCGACAGGCACATGACCCACAGTCGGCCGTGTCTCCCTCAGTTGAAGGTGAAGAAGACGCGGTCGCGCGGATGCAGAGAGAAATAGTAAAAGGCGGAGGCATCCATCGAGCAAACGGTCGTCGCGTCTTCGAGGAATGGTCAGGCATCGCGAATGCACGGCGGAGAGTATCGCATCGACTTGAAAAGCTCGTTGGCTGGGCGCGCGTCCATTACAAGGTGAACTTTAGACAGTTCACTGATCTCAAAGAAGGCGGTGTTGACGTTGCCATTGTCCTTAGCCTTCTCTACATTGCCCTTCTCCGCCCAATCTCCGAGCATCCGTTTGAGCTCCCGAATCGCAGCTGGTGAGAACGGGGAGGGATGGAGCGGGAGGGAGGGAGCGGGAGTGCAGTGGTGTTGCTCCCCCCAACACGTGGAGTCGGACTGGGAGGATCGGCATCGACGGCGGAAAATTGGGTTTATATTCTCTCGTCAGGTTGGGTCTTGAAAGGGATAGGTCCGGGACGACTTGTCGATCGTGTTTTGACGCGCCCGCACCCACGCGAAACCCCATCCCCCCACGCTCTCTGCGGAGGCGAAGGGATAGTTGCACTTCGCCTGCTCGAATTCAAGGACGTGGCATGGCGTGAACGGCTCCATGATAGCTTTGGCAGACGCGGCCGTCAAAGCGTGCCTGACTAACGGGGGCGCCTTTCCGCCAACCGTCAGCACATTTTGACCACCCAGGAGGTCGGTGCCGTGCGCTCGCAGCCACGGATAGCCGAGGAAATCGTCGAAGCAGTCGGCCTGCCTCCCCTTTTGCTGTCACGGGCGAAGTGAAGTCGCCGACCACCACGGTCGCCAGCTGACCGGACCGAGTCAAACCCGTGACAAACTCGGTCGCATCCTCATGCAGTCCTATGCTGAGCGCAGTACAGAGGTAGTGCGAAAAGGCGTCTCTACGAAGCCGGAGTCGACAATAACTGTGATCGGGCGACCCTGAATCAGGCAGGGGAGAAGGGAGACGTCTGCGACTGGTGGCTGTCAAAAGGCGATGATGTGTGAGCGCGATTGCAAAGGCGAGGAGGCCCGCTGGGAACCAATCGCCTCCGTCTGCCAGTTGAGTTTGCGCTTCCTCTTGTCATTAGCCTTGCTGCTTGTGGCTGGCGCTACAGCGGCTGCATGTGCAGAGCGCTCGGCCAATCCGTCAGAAACCGGGTGCGAACTGCAGTTCAGGAGAAGTGTTCGCAGAGCCCAGGCTAAGTCTCCGATCGCGGCGGGAGTGGCCGGGAGAAGCGAAGCGCGTCATGGGAGGTGAGGAGCGCGCTGCGCTGCGCAAAGCAAAGGTAAACTGGTCGACATCTGAAAAATAGCAACCGTCTCGGACTAGCAAGTCCGGTACGTCGTCAGGGATGACGGTGGCATACCGATTGCCACTCGCTGCTTCACGACGGAGGCGGGCAACCGCGCTGGTATGGTTGAGGCTGCCTCGAGTCGGGTTAAGAGCTGGTCGACCAAATCGGAGGAGCGGAAGACTTCCAGATCTTTTAAGTCTATCCGCTTTGGGCTGAGAACGTTTAGCAGGAGGCGATTGTAGGCTGGAGTGACGATGCGACAGGCGACGGGCACCTCCTTAAACCACTTAGGATGGTAAAAGGGCTCATCGTCATACACCTGGGTGATTTTGTCCGCCAGAGTCATGATGTTCCGGTTCAGACGAACGATGTTTCCTGGTGTGCGGTCTCCCCTCCCCCGGATCACTCGTTGCCAGAGCCAGTGTTGCAATCATCCTGTAGAGAAGGTTCGGTAGCGCAGTGGGTACGCCTTTGGCAGCATTTTGACGAAGATTGTCCGCTGACGAAGGTTCACAAAATAATGGAGAGACTTTTATGCAGTTTGTACATGCAGGTTTGCTAAGAGGCCACCCTTCCATTGATGATGAGGAGTAGCGAATGGTCGGCGTGTCTTCGACCGTAGCCATTTTGGCTCTAGGACCCATGTCACTTAAGTTTGAGATCGCGGTGATTGTTCAGGGTGCTGCTAGTTGATGGTCGTGATCGCTGATATGCATTGATCAACAATTTGAGTCGTACACTTTGACGGAAACACGGTGTTTGCGATGATTTTCACAAGAACCTCCCGTTTTTATTGTGCCAAATTCTTGGGTGCGGAACTCCGCATTCAGCAACCACCACTACGGCAGACAGTGGAGGTACTTTTTCCTTGAAAAAGGAATGCGAGGGAAGGTCTGGGGCCCCGTATATCACTCATGATTGCTGCAGTGTCGGCTGGTGCCCTCCATCCGAGATTTGTGGCGGTAAGTTGTGCCCGTTGAAGATTGCCGTGTCTGTTTTTCTTGCCGCGAATTGCGAGCGCCTCAGGGCAAGCTGGCGATGGACGCTCAGGTGGAGCCTTTCAGTTCATGTCATCTGCTTTGCCAACCAAAGACCTCCTCTCCTCGAGGATAGCAGCTATGACCCTCGTTCCTGCACGCCCGCGAAAAGAATTCACCTTATGTGCGGCGAGAGGTGTATGTGCATGGGTACATACATAGAACAGGAATAGCCAGCCAAGTGCTCTACGTATCGTTGAGAAGACTCGTATGTAGCTGCTACAAACTCAGATACAACAGCCTCGTTCTCGGCCGTAGCGCAAGCGGCGTTGTCCGTCTTCTGTGCCTTTCTGTGGCGCATGCCTATGTGGCATGCATGTGCCTGATCATACTAACGTGTCTGCCATGCGTTGATCGTTCCTGTTTTGAACGCTCGCTCGCGCAGCTTTGTTGTTGCTGCCTGCTGCTTCCGGACGGCGAATGCAAACGCGATCGATGACAAACCGGTCACCTGGCATTCTCTCAACTTGTTTTCCGGGCCCACGGCAGCGCTTGCAACCCGACGACCCTCCGCTTTGTCCGTCACCAGCATTCACGATGGATTCCCAGGATGGTCGATGCTCATAGCGTTCGACCATGCTATCTGCGCTCGATGACATAAAACATCGACATGCCGGTGCCATGTTCGGAAGACCAGCTCCCCCCTACGACCTATGTCCATCCTTGTCTATCCCCCTTGACCCGGACCCACTCTGCTCATCCCTGAACTCGCCCTGCACGTTCACCCCCTCCCCCTCTCAAGAGCTCGACCTTGGCAAGACATAGTCGAGCCAGTACCCTGGACCTCACGGCACACGCTCTCTGAATAGACACAACTTCCGCGTATCATGCACATGTTCAAGATACTACCTCTGCTCTCCCTCCTCAACTATCTTGCAGCAACCACTGCGGAGCCCCGTGCAAACTCATACAGTCTGACGGTCGACACGACCAAAAAGACCAAAAACAATTACGAGATCCATACCATGCTCGAGGCCAACATCAATGATGTGAGCTGCTCGCGAAAGATGTTTCATCAATCGCAGCCTTCCGCTCAACCTCGTCTGTTTCCCCACTTTCAAACGCAGGCAACTGATGGTGGAATCTGGAGTGAGCTTCTCATTAATCACGCTTTCCAAGGTGAATAGGGTGAACACCGCGTAATTCCTTCTCGTACAGACTTGCTTACCGCTGCAACTGCTTCCAGAATTGAATGATGGAAGCGCTCTCCCTGGGCACGGCTCCTTGAATTAATGGGTTGCGGTGGGCGGTGCCAAGCTCAGTTTAAGCACCGCCAAAGGCCTCACCACCTAGATTCCTGACAATGCCGTCATTGCACCTGGCGCTGCCGGCATCGGACTCCAGAACCCGGGCTGGGCAGGTGGTATTAGCGTCATGGCCGGCCAGGAATTCAATGTCTCCTTTTCCGCCAAGACAGACAACGCACAGAGCATCCCATTTAACACGGGCATCTGCACTGGTAACACTGCTCTCGGCCAGGCCTCAATCAACGCCAAGCTGACCACCCAGTGGCAGCAGTTCACCGCCACCGTCACAGCGTCCCAGAGCGTCAACGGCGGCGCGTACTTTCGATCACTCTCCCACAGGGCTCCACTTCCAACATCAATGTGGCTTTCGTCAGCCTCCGACCTCAGTCGACGTTTCGTGAGGATATTGTGCAGGCCTATGCCGACCTCAAGCCGAAGTACATCCTCTTACCCGGTGGCAACGACCAGCAGGACCACTACTACTGGAACAAGACGATCGGCCCGATCATCACTCGCCCTGGTCGTAAGGGCGTCTGGACAGGATAGAACACCAAGGGCTTCGGGCTGCACGAGCTGCTTGACTTTTGTGAGAGCATCGGCTCGGCGCCTGTGCTCGCCCTCTTTGCTGGCTACGCACTTGACGGCACCGTCGCCGCTGACATGGACGCCGTAGCGCAATCTGCTGTCGATGAATTGTACTACATCACCGACACCTCGGGTAAGTAGGCCGACCTCCGCGCCAAGAACGGTCGCGCCCAGCCTTGGACGATTGTCACCAAGCTTGAGATCGGAAACGAGGTTTGTCTTTGAAGGTAAATCTTTCCGGCTTGTCACTGACGCTGAATAACCACCACGGCAACACAGGACTTCATCGGCAACGGGCCCCAGTCGTACCAGAGCCGCTTGAACACCATTACTGGCGCTATCAAGAAAGACATTGTCAACCGCTTCGAGCTCATCTCGAGTTCACAGAATATCACCGGCTGGACCTCTGTTGATTTGCACGATTACGGTCACCCGAGCTTCTTTGTGGACAATTACCGCCGTTTCGACAACATGACCCGCGATGGCCATTTTTACTACGAGGATGAGTTTGCTGCCATCAACTCTGGTCTCGGCGGCTCCTCGGAGAATGGCTACACAGGCCCTCACCGTCTGTAGTACCCCACGCTTGACGCCGCTCTCGCCGAGGCTATCTACATGGCAGGCATGGAGTGCAACGGTGTCATTGTGAAGGGCAGCGCTTACGCACCAGGTAAGGTTTCGCACACTTTCAAGACTGGAGGCACTTACTCATCTAGCTATTTCAATATTCTTTCAGGCCTTGGTTCGGTCGTGTACAACCAGTGGGCACCAAACCTCATCGGCTTCAACCCCTCTGGCGTCCTCAGGACCACATCGTACTCGGTGCAGCAAGGATACTCTCTATACCCGACATCATATAACCTTCTTAGCATCCAGGCAAGCGCACAGCCGGAGTAATCAAAAGTCTACCACACCATCGGCCAGGCGATCGACGGATCCTATGTCGTCCACCTCATCAACTATAACAGCAGCGCTCAGACGATGAACGTCCAGCTTAGGGACGCCAAGCTCACGACTGATGGGTCCAACAAGTGGCAATTCAACCCTTCGGGTAACACTAATTTGCAGGCAGCAAACACCTTCGACACTTCCAACGCGGTGTCGGTCAGCCAGAAAGTCCTTACCTCGAGTGAGATCGTCAGCGACACGCTGAGGCTCTCCCTTCCTGCTTACTCTTTCACCACGGTTTCTGTCCGTGGCACATAAGCAGAGCACTTCATTTCTTTCATCGGAGAAATATTTGTAAGATACCAGTCTAACCCATGCAGTTTAATCCATCCTAATTTTCCCACGGAATAACTTCCGACTGTACGACATGTATTCAATAGAGTAGCAGGGAAGAGCGAAGCACCTCTTTCAAAGGTGCGAGATGTTTTCCTCGTGTTGCGGCATCATTTTGTGTTACAGGCCAAATGACTTTTCAGCCTGAACTCTCGTTCAGATGTCCGGCGGGACGGCCAGGTGCATTTCATAGAGCCTGCTTGAGGCTCAGCTTGAACCCAGCGACGTGATACTTGCCGAAGATCTTGTCTATGCGTCTAGTGTAGACATTTGTTTGGTCTCAGGAATTGTACTGTGGCTTGCTTGGGTCGATGTCTTCCGCCTTGGCGTCGAGGTCGATTCGGCGGATCATTTCCACGATCATTTTCCAGTTGTAAATTTCAGTGAAGGCGCGGATGCACTCATTCCTGACATCCTCGCGTAAGCGGGTAAGAGCGCGAAAATGTGCAGGCGTGCTGCATCCACCACGTTGACAAGGTACTTTGAGCTTAGCCTTTGGATGACCGTCTCGTTGACCTGTCGCAGGCGTCTGAATTCAGTATTCCTAAAGTAGCGATTGTTGCATGTGCAATGGCGTCCATAACCAACATATGCAATTGTTCGCACCCATCGATTGGTGGAATTGGTCGCTGTTGCTTGTTGCTGAAACCCAACCTTGGCGTTGGCACATATCGTAGTAAAAGCAAAGTGTGGCCGCTCGTTCTCGACAAAGCCTCACGCGGCTTGCTTGATCAGAAAATTTCTGGAAGTTAAGGTGTTCCATCCTTTCAGCTTTCTTTGGCTTTTTGAACAAATTTATTATTCCAAGTGGATGAGTCCGACTCTTGCGGTTTGTCACGGAGTCGGAAAGCCACAAGTGGACGAAGGTGATGTAAGGGTAAACAAGAGGCGCTCGGCTCCTTTGCAGCCGCTTTGAAGCTTACATTTGTACCTGCAAGTGCAGGTTCGATAACTTCTTTCCACTTGTCTCATAGCGACGATACGGGGGCAACATGGAAGACTCCATGCATGCCTCAATTGCACAAGTGAGTACAATTTCGCGTTAGTTGCTTTCAGTTACGAAAGGAGGCCAAGAGTGCTGACGGGCACACGTCATCGCATCGTCGTAAGCACCGCATGCTGTAACGTCTGTAACGGTGGAAGCCTCCGAATTTCTCTTTGCTGTTCGTTTTCTCAAAGATGGACATGCATTGCTTGGCCCTGGCGTCGTTGCGGGCGGTCACTCGCACCTTGAGCCAGGCCACAGGTGCCTGGGGTACCACGGTCGATCCGATAAAGCCCGTCGCCCTTGTCCTTTTTTGAGCGCGGCCAATGTGTGTCCTATACCCACTTGCCTCTCATTTTGTTACCTCACTATATTTTTTCCAGATGCAGATAGTGGGCTGTTCGCTTTGGGTAAGCAAGGCAGCGCCCTGCTATATAGCCGAGGGCATTCCATTCAATTTATTCGATGCTGATTCAAATGACAGTTCATCGCCACAATGGTATGGGTTCGTATATTGTCTACTTTAGAGTGACGAGGATGCGCTCACCGCGCCGCTTGAAGGTCATAGCCATGAAGTGCATGTGCAAAGTGTGAGATTGGGGTGCTTTGCGGCCATGCACCCATGGAATGGACTATGATAAGAGCCAGCATGAGCATGAGGTACGCTATACATAGTGAATGAGATTCCGGTCAAAAGTGGTACTCGCACGGGGTCTTGACAGTTTAACCTTCGTGACTAGTCGCGGCGGTGGGGAGTCCAGGGAGGGATATGTTTCTATAAAGCCCATGCACAACAAACTTGTGCGGGTACTGGTTTGGCACCGTGCAATAACTAGTGCCCAAATGGTTCAGTTGGCCATACATACAGCTTTGTGTCCATTCATTCATTCTGCACTCAGTTGATGACTTTGCTTGAGGCAGACCGATCCTGTCGACAAGTTGATTTGACTGTCCCGGCTCCGACAGAACCTCTCCCACAAGGAGAGCATCGTCCTTACTGTGAAAAGTAGTCTCCCATTCCGAGGCATCACTTGTTGGAAGAGGCAGTGTGGCCGTTGGAGAGCCCCAGGTGATGTGGTTATCGATGGAAAGGTGAGGGGGAAAGTCATCGCGATCCGGTCAAGGCATTCTTAATACGGGTCGCGGTCTCATCGTCTTTTGCTCTTCAACCGCGAGAAAGCCTCTGAGAGACAATTTGGATATCATGGTTTCAAACGTCTTTTTCTTCTTCCTGACTCCTTCCTTGTGCATCAAAATACATTGGCTCACTATGCGACACAGGCTGATGGAGCTTTGCCTTTTCGAACGACAGCACCGCCCCTTCCAATCCCATCCGATTGACACAGTCCGAATTTCCTTGTTTGTTGCTAGACTATCGTCTCTGCTCAGACACAGTAGAGCCAGCTATGACAGAAGTGAACGCAGTGACAGCTTTCACCGAAAGCAATGTTTCCCTTGCATGTCTCGCACAGCACACCATCACAACAATCAAGCTCCGAGAATTAGGAGGCATTGGTTACGAATGACAACAGCAAATATGACGTTCTATGGTTGATGTTTGTGCTGCTCTGCGGCAGAGTCAATAGTATCGTCCATCAGCGAACCGTCCCACATCCTTTTCGCGTAATTCATCGCCAACTTTGATTCCTGATTTACGTCCACTTTTGAGCACCTCGCCGCCGTTTTCAGATCTTCAAGTCGCATCTGTGCAAGCCATGACTCTGCCGAGGCGCGCTCAGATTCTGCTCCTGCTTTATCTGTGCTGTGCACGATATTGGCTTGAGTTGCAGCGGAAATTGATGCAACAGCGCTGTCCCTGGTGGTGGCCCAATGTTGTTGCACCCTGTCCTGCAGTTCCGGATGCCTTCGAACAAGGTCGCGATTGAAGGACATGGTCTGATGGCCGATGATGCTGTTGTCCAGTGCTTTCATAGTTGCATGCTGTGCGGCAATCACCCTGTGCGCTGTAGCAGGCAGCGGACCTAGCGATGGGTACAGAATGATCAGGATGTATAGCGCCGCCGCAGCCAGTGATTCGAACAATTGCAAGTTGACGTGCCACTATGCATGTACCGGGCGCGCAACAATTGCATCATCAGCCGAGTCCAGCAATTGGTATTTGTAGGTGTTTTAAAAAAACGCAAACTCACATGGTTCATGCGATTCTGATCCGAGCTGACAGTTGCGTAGTACAGCAGTACCCCCACCCTAATGGATGCTAATCCCAAGAGGCCGCAAGTGGCTGGTATTCGCCAGTGGCTGCTATTCCATCTTGCCTGCGGAAGGGTTTGAGGTGAGGCTGAGTTGCCCGCCGAGAGGCCAAAGCCGGTGGCAAATTCGTCGAAAAAACGCAAGGTGGAGCCTGGTATCGTAAGAGCGCCGACAAGCGATGCCTGTGCGACAAACCATAGGGAGCGGCGGGCGATGGCGTATTGTGCAAATTGCTTGTCCGATTTGCAGAAGAGGCATTCAATGAGAGGCTCAGGACCATTGATCAGATACGCTCTCTGTTTTCGCCCCGATAGTGACAGGTGTCGGGTCAAAACTACATCATCAATCTGCGACAAAGAATCAAGCAGCGGCTCACCCGGCCATCCAAGCTGCTCAGTCTTGTGATGAGCTTTTCTAACCCTTCCTCGCCCCATCTCGCCTTCCAGCCCATTTCCGAATAGCTCATAGATGCTAATTTAGACTTCAGCTCGGATGTTGGAGCCGTCATAATTGTGCGAGTTGCAAGGAAGAGGTCTGTCGCGGTCCAAGCGCTTCGAAGGTGCATGTAAACAATTATGCACGCCAGAAAGAATGCCACATATTGTGACGGATATACTTGAGTGCTGCTATCCTCTGATCCTTGCCTTAAGGGGGGCCTGAGCGGTACCACAGGGGTGAATCGTGCTTTCCAAGCGGCTGGCTGTGGCGAAGAGTACCATGCGTTCAATTTGCGGAACATAGAGGGCGCAGCAATGACAACGACGAGGGTCCACAGATCGTTGCCCATTTTCGCGGAAGCTGCTCGGTAGCTCCTGGAATGCCTGGCTCACTTGCACTGGCTGAGCGAGCAGCAAGAGCTGGATGTCGGATACCATCGGCAAGACCAATGGTGATGAAAGGATGGGGGTGAGAGCAGCAACCAAAAAGAGCATAGCGCGCTGGTGCGCACCATGGGGCGTGTCAAGAGCGCATCATCGGCATCACATCACTCCATCATCAATCAATCTCAAAAGTCAAGTCCAACTGCTCATGGCAAAGTTGCAATCACTGCTCAAAGCTCTCTCAACCACATATGGCACGCGGCGCGAAAACGCAGGCGTGTTTGACTCCGTTGGCTTCGAGGGCAGTCGCTAATCGTCTGTGGATGTGTTATCGGGAATGGTCCACGAAACATCGCACTCGCACCGTTCAATTGGCACATCAGGCTGACATCTGGTTCGTTTTGAGAAGCTACCTGGTCGAAGCATCGATCTGATCTTACTGTGCACCTAATCCGCACGTATGACCCGGGCCAGGTCGAGAGCGTAGAGGGGCGCATAAATATCAAAATTCGGGCTGGACGCTTCCAATCTCCAGAAGGTGCCATCAGACGGAACCCGGCGATGATAGCGTCGCAGGGTCACAGCGCGGCGGTAGCACGCCTTGCCGTCACGGCAGGCGCTTTGCTCTTCTCCCTGGCTGCGTTCAAAGCAAGCGCCGCCATTGTCTCGCACTACGTGCTGGGAACCGAGATGTGCAATGCCAATGTGGACACCAAAGTCGTTTTGGATCCACGATCTGCTGGAAAACCAGTCAGCTCGTCTATAGTTCAAGTTACATACACAACAACTCCTTCAATGTGCTTTTCAGTTCCTTCATCGACTGATCCGCGTCCTGCTGTCTTGTCTGGTCCGCTGCTCAAGATGATCGACATTGTCGCCTCTGTTGCAGCTCGCCGTCATGCCGGTGTTTCTTGCGTCACCATCAGCGTCGATGCTGTCTTGTTTTTGAAGCCAATTTATCTTGGCGAGCTGATACATCTTAGCGCTGCTGTTAATAGAGCCTGGGGAAGTAGCATGGAGGTCGGGGTGAAGCTCACGAAGGAAGAACCGGAGAGGAATGGCAAAATGACCTATGTCAGCCATTGTGAGCTGCCCTCATCACTTCTCTGCTCCTTCAACAGCCCCGGATTCTGATACTTGCGTACATGCAGCATACTTGACTTTTGTCGCTGTGCAGACATCTGGCTACTCACACGGATCGCCATCATCGACAGTCGTACCGAAGAAGCATCCCCTCAAGTTCCGCCTACCACCCGTGCTCCCAGAAACTGCATTGGAGCTTCGACGGTACCGCCTTGCTGGCCGACGCCGAGCCCGGCGAATGGAAAGCGCAAAGCATAGTAAAGGAGTGGGAGAGGAACCAGTGGGAAAGAACGGCATTAGGCGACGGGTCATGGATAAAGTACGCGCCGAGGTGATTGATATGTCGAGCAAAATCGTTAAGAATGAGAGAAGCTCATCACGGACAGCAGAGCGTCAGCGAATTGCTCTGGATGAGCTGGAGCTCGAGTATATCGCCAGGGCATATGCTGCCCAAGAGGAGGGAGTTACGATAAACCCTTCCGCAGGTCAAATAATTGTGGAGATCGCGGACGACGAGGCATTCAGCCGGTCGATCGAAGATGTCATGCGCGCAGGGATTCGCATTGGAGTAGATCCGGCATGTTTTGAGCGCTCAGGAGTCGATGCTAACAGTCACAAGCGTGCAGAGTCGCTCGGCTCTGACGGAGGCTCGAGACGCCGGCGGTCGGCCACCGTCTCCCTCATGTCCGAGGCTATTCTTTCTCCGTCATCCGGGACAGATGCAACGATTCCAGAGGAAGCTGAGCGCAGCACCAGCGCCGAGTTGGGCTCCGCCCAGCCTCTCGAGCCATCGATATCAGCGGCTCAGACGTTGACGCGGTCGCTGCACCTCGTCTTTCCGGAGCACTGCAACTCTAATGGCGTCCTCTTCGGCGGGCAGCTGATGGGTTGGATGGAAGAAGTCGCGCTCATGGCCTGCAGAAGCCTTGGTCATGGTCAGCGTTTCAGCACGGTCGCTTTAGATGGCCTCGAGTTCAAGAAAGAGGTGCAAGTGGGGGAGTGAGTGGCAAGCTGTGGCAATCGCCAATGTAGATGATTGGCTGACTCTTCGCATCTGATAGAATCATTTTCTTTACGGCGGTGGCCGTACGCGCGTTTGCGAACTCTGTCGAAGTGTACGTCGTTGCGGAGGCGGAGACAAGAGAAGGCAAGAAGCGGATTGCGAATGAAGCTCTCTTCACTGCGGCATGTGCACCTACATCGGTGGCGCATGTCGGCAAGCAAAGCGACCAGCCACTGCTAAAGGTTGTTATGCCGCCCGGCAGTGCATTGGAATCGTTACAACAAGCTGCGGATGGCCGCCGGTATGAGAGGCTAGCAATGAAGAATATGTTGACCCGCTTGTACGCTTTTGATGGCGAGAGCACTTGATCGCAGCGGAGCGCTGATGCCAGACGATTGTGATTGTATCATACACGTTTTGTTGATTGGATAGCAAGTGGTGAAGGTGACATATGTTCATATCACTTTTTGTTCACAGTAGGGTCTTCGTCGGCACTGATGGATGAAGTGTGTTAGGCCCAGTCAACTGGCAATACATGCAACTCGCAGACTCACACGTTGAGCAGCAACGACTGCGCATCTAGCATGATCCGGTTACCAGAATTGGAGAGAATTGTCGCAATATCTCGCGCGGCCTCCAGCTTACGTAGCGCCAAAAAGCCTTTGTTCTTCTTCAATGCCTCTCCGATCAGCCTATGAGGGAAAAACGCGTCAGAGAGGGTGTGGGTGGCAGTTGTTGACACCGATGGAGTAAACTCACTCTGCGGACCTCGCCTCTCCCTGGGCCTTGACGATGATGCTCTGCTTCTCCTGCACAGCCTGATCCACCAAGAATGCTGCCCGAAGCGCTGTCTGTTGTGCGATCTGCTTTGCTTCGACGGCGTGTGTGAACTCTGGCGAGAAGGCGACGTGCGTGATGGAGACGTCATCAAGCACGAGATTGAATCGCCTTGCCCTCTGCGTCAAGTTGTCCCTCACCAGTCGCGAGACCATCTCACGCTGGGTAATGAGTTGGGAGGCGTTGAATTGAGCAACAACAGACTTGAGCACCTCGTTCACAATCGAAGGAAGCACTCTCTCATCGTAGTCTGTCCCCAGCTCCCTGTAGATCGTGGGAAGTTGCTCGACAGATGGACGGGACAAGACACGGCAAGTAATGTTAACCATCTGCAAGTCCTTGGTGCCAGTCAAGCTTGCGATACTCCTAGGCTTGGCTCTGACATCGTATACGATTGGTGACTCGAACCATGGGATGACAAAGTGGGTGCCTTCGTTGTAGATATCTTGCTTGACTCCGTTGATCCTGGAATATTTGATGGCTCGGTGACCGCCATCGACATTGAACAAGCTCGCATTGATGCCGAAACCGAGCGCTATCAGCAGGAGGATACCTCCTGCACCTCCTGCGGCAGCAGGGCTAGGGCCACCAAAGCCTTCGCTGCCGCTGCCACCCACAAAACCTCCGGATCCGCGAGGGTTGAAGCCGCTCCGCTGCGCTTGGTCGCGGAAGCGCTTCAGCATCTGGCCGAGGGCCTGCCGTCCTTGCTGAGGATTCATTATGCTATCACTTGAGGGAAGACGTGCACCCCGATTCTTTCCTGATGCTGCTAGGCCGTGGCTCGACGGCTACTAGGTCCACGTTTAAAGCAGAGGTGGGAGGAGGGAGTGTAGGATCAACTTCAGGAGATATGGATCTCCATTGGGGATTTGGTCTTTGCTGAGAGCTTCTCTTCGTAAGCCTGCGACGAAGCTTCTCGGCCGAGAGGCCGACTGCTGGACACTTCCTATAATTTCTGCTCCCTCTTGATTCTCACGTTCATGATAGTCGGTTTACGACGCTTTATTGTGAAGAAAGCTGGAGCATGACAGACAATTCAAATGCAAAGAATACATTTAGACATCGATTGGATATGAAGAATAGCGGAAGAGTGGGCGAGGCGCTGATCTGGTCTCATGAAGGCTCTTCGGCTGTGCTAGTGAGAGCAGCAAGCCCTCCTCGCGCTAATCCGCCCGACCAAACTCGCTTGAGCGATCGTACTGGATGTTCAGCAGCGTCGACAAGCTGGGCAGCATAGGACTGCTGAGCGTGCCCTCCGATCCCGTCACCTGGGCCCCCCACACGAGATGTCCCAGGATTCCGGGAAAAGTCAGGGTCCGGGAAAGTAGGGCTGTTTGGCGCCGATTTCCTGCAGCTGGGTATACCAGGTGTGCTTGGCTGCGACATCGGCGAGCGAGCCCATCGGCCGGTCGCCTTGGATGAAGACGCGGTGGAGCGCGGTACTGCGCCGAGACGGCCTGACGCCCTGGCGACCCGCTCCAAAGAGTTGCGCATCGGATCGGCGAACCTCCGAGTAACTGTATGTTGCCGCTGCACAGATTGAGCCTGTACAGTAAGAGCGATCGCTCGCATGGTGGAAGGTTTTATGAGCATTGTGTGACCTGCTGGAATGTCGCTTCCTGCTGCCAGATCTGTGGCCTCGAGAGGAAATGGCTCGTTGGAAATGGAGGTAAGGCCATGAATGATGTGCAAAGGCGTGGCGTTGGGGCCATTGACCATGGCATTGCCATCGAGGTCGAAAATGTCACCTACCGGTATGCCATCTGCTGCCAGCTCTCCGTGCATGTGCGTGCCTCTCGACGATCGAGATCCAAGTCCTGCGGCATTCGCCAACGCGGGAGCCCAGCTCGACTCGAACTCATTTTCCTCGAATGCTGGTGAGAGCAACGCTGAATTGAGTGAATTATTCTCAATCGGCGGGCCGCTCAAGCCATACGGCAGGACATAGCGAATCTTCTTGACGTTGGACTGTGCTTGAAGCGAAGTCTGCGCACCCATTTTCTTCGCATGAGTCCAACCCTCGGAAAAGATCGAGCCAGAGCCGACGGGTTGCACGAACGCCTCCTGCTGTGCCTCATTCGTGCGCGTCTTGGCAAATGTCGAACTTATGGGCTTTTCGGCCCGAAATTCGGGAAGCTTTCCCAGTGAGGACGTGGCATGTCCGCGGCGGGAGGAACTGCTGTGTATGTCCTCTTCACCGGTGCCGGAGAGGTGGTCACGGGCTCGCCGGAGCTGAGCCGCGAGCTTGGCGGCGTCGGTTGCTGTGAGCGACTGACTGCTGATGGTGCGCTTTCGATCTCCAAAGGAACCGATATCGGTATCACGGTTGCCGCTGCTGCTCATCGGGGAGACCGGCTGCAAGCTCGCAGTAGAGTTTCGCCGGGAGACTGAAGCGTAGAAAGTGAGAAGTGCTCGTTAGCGTGAGGTGACGCTGTTGTGTCCAGAAAAAAAGGCTCACGTTCTGATACGGCTTCTGTAGCTGACCTCCGTAATAAGCGATCGCCTTGATATGGACGATCCTCCAAGAGGCTGCCAAGCGTGCCAGCCAGAGCGTTGTGTTTATCGAGCTTTGGCGAAGCAATGTGCACGCTGTCCCTCGGCAGCAAACTTGAAGTCCGAGCGCGCACAGAAAGGCGGCTGTGGGTCGAAGCTGCCGCGGGAGATGCCTCAGTCTCAGCATATGATGCGCGCCGTGCATCCTCACCGGGCTGTCTGTCGTTGCTGGACACCTGCACCGGAGACGAGATATTGCGGTTGCCTGCGGATTGACTGGAAGGAAATGCGAGTTGCTGCTGATCCTCGGGAATGATGTTGCTGTCTGTGTTTAGACCAGGCAGATTCGCAGCTTCTGGAGTGGCGCTGTGGGTACCATCGCTTATCGCATTTTGAAAAGCGCTTGGCTCTTCCGCCAGCGTTCGTTCTGATCCGTCCTGGGATTGCTCGCTCGGTGCTCGGTCTATTATCTGCGTATTTCGGAGATCATGAGCAGGAACATCTTCATCCCTCTCTTCTGATTTCTGCGGGCCCGCTCTTGGGGTCCGCAGGGTAGATGCCTCTGGAAGCGGCACCCCACCACTCGATCCACTCTCCTTTTGTTTGGGTAGTGCTTTCTTCTTGATGCCGACAACGAGCGCGTCCTCATCTCCGCTGTCGTCTGCGTCGCTTCCTTTGACTGGAGAGGATGCAGCACTGGCGTTGGTGCTGCCTTCTTCGGTTGCACTAGCCCAGCCGTCATCGTCTTGCTCTCTTTCAGGTTTGTCCTTATTGACGCCAGATGCGAGCCTTATCCTCGAGTTGGATGCACGTAGAGCTAATGCGGTGCTCGAGCCTTGACGCCGCTTTGCACTAGCCTTTGAGCTTCCTCGTTCTACCGCAGCGGCTTGCGCTAGCTGCGTGTAGCTCTTCGACCGACCATAACCTTTGCTAGAAGTAGCAGTGGTCACAGCAAGGCTGCCTGACGAGCCAGTGCGAGACAGCCGATCGCAAGAGCGCCGAGAGGTTAGGCCAGCTTTTGCGAATGCCTCGGTCCGGCTGCTCATCATCAGCGTCGGATCGATTCTGCCCAAAGGTCGACACAAGCGACGGTGAGCATCCTCAAGTGAGACGCTATGGGGAACCCAGCAGTTGCCATCTCACCTTCCGGTTCGCCGCTTGCCTGCACAGCCGGCGCCGTCGTCGGAGCGACTTGCGCCGATGTTGCTTTTGGTGCTCCGCAGCGTCGCCATGCTGAAATTTCCGAAAGTTCCGCGCGCTCAACCGGCAGTGGCGATGGATGTAGCTTGACGAGGGGTAGCAGCCCTTTACGCACGTCGATTTACATATATCATTACCTTCCAGACGTAGGAGAGCGTCCACTGTGTAAATAGACTTTACAGGCTATAGGCGAGCTTGTGGTCGCGTCGAACTGACCCTTGTCTGCAGCACACGTGACGTGATTTTTTTGGCCCCCGCCCAACGGCGCACAGCGTACAGTACATACATAACACGAAGGACCATCATTGGCGGCGGAGTGCTGCGGGTCGAGCTTTATTACATATGTCGGCATTCTGAGGTCTCATCTAATCGTGTCGTGCCTTCGTTGCAGGGCGGCGCCGCTTCTGGGAAGGCATATTAGCATGGACGTTAAACATCTGGCAAATCAGGCTGTTGACAGCCTAATCTCGCCCGTCGTCATTGACAGGCCCGGGCGCTTGGAGCCGAGAAGCGAGGGTTCGCATTGGTCGCTTACCATGCACACGGCGACATGTCTCCTTTGCGCCTCCTGAGCTTTCCATCGGTTTATCGAAATAACGGAAGCTCACTTTGGCCGCAGCTCGTGAAATAATTTCGACTTGCTTCGCTGTTTCATTGCGAACTCTCGCATGTTTAGAGACGCCGCGATCGATGGAATGGTTTCCAAATGATGGTTCCACCCTTGCTCCTGGTGCTCATCTGAACATCCACGCAATATCAGATGCAAGCAAGCAATTATTGTATTGATGGGGTTTGACAATACTCTGCCTGCAAGGACATACGCACGCCAGGCTATCAAGCTCCATACCGCAATCAGGCACTTGCAGAAAGCATAGCGCCCACCTTGGACAGTACCGGCGGACCGCGTATTCCCCTACTTTGGTCCCGGTGCTCGTGTGCTGCATTGGGTGCTGAATGCCAGGCGGTCGACGTGTGCTTCGAAGATATTGTTATTCTAAAGAAGATGGACGTTGAGCAAACAGCTCGTGCGCGTATCACCGGGGGAAACGGCCTACACTTTATCGACACAAACACAGGTATATGGGGAGGCTACCCGGGGACGGCTCGAACAGCTTCACTGGTGAGATTCAAATCGTACACGGAGCACTCGCCATGTTCATCTATGAGGAGGTGCCGAGCAAGGCTACCTGGAGTTTCGGGACGGCAACGCTGCTATCGAGCACGGCACATCTGGCGTCCAAGACATTTTCAGCAGTGACGGCAAGACGCGCGAGTACGACATCCTCATTGTAGGGTTAGGGTTAGGGCAGTCTACGTCATCTACTGGAAAGGCCCCGCGCTGCGGAAACGCTCTCCATTTGCGCAGAATCTTGCTTGAAGGGCGCACCCGAGAAGCAGGGTAATGAAAAGGGCCACGCTAGCATCAAGTTGCCGGCCAACTCTCGCAGAAGCTCTTATGCACGCTCGGACCAAGAATCCCGTGTGCGCCCAGGTATCGCGTCTCGACAACAGAGCATTGCTGCCAGCAGGGTCAGCAGCAAGGCGCTGAGTAGGCGCAACAGCGAAACGGCCTGATGGAAAGCTCTTTTTGGAAACATCATTCTTGTTTTCTTTTCAAAGTCTCTGACTGCCGCTTCGTATTCGTCATCGAAAGTTTGCTTTAAATTTGTCTTTCATTCAATCATCTGTTGCATTCGTATTGAAATAATGTTTGTATCCAGTCCCTACCTGAACCGCATGTCTTTCACCTACTCGGGCCGCAATACCCCTCAACATGTGAGCCAATGGCTTCACCATTTGAAGCAACCTAAGGCGACGAAAAGTGGTTCGGGGACTTCGCTAGTTGTAGTTGCAATTTGGATCATCTTTTTGGCAGGATAGTAAGCGTGAGCCATCTTACGTGATGAAATTCATCAGCATTGGTTTATTCGCAGTCCCCTTAAGCGTATGCGCATAGCATCCGCTAGCATCTCAAAGGGTGCTTTGGCAAGAGGTCCATCTCAGTGAGTTGGGCGGGACTCCATGCTCGCTGCTCGAATGCAATCACTCTCTTTCATCCGCATCATGCGGCAGGCTCCAACCTTCGATCACGAACCTCTTCGAGGAGCCAAGACTTCAAAAATTTTGGTGGCTCCTTGTGAATAATCACAGCATTCGAGCGGGAGCCGACGAGACACAGGTATATTTCGGCATACTTTACAGACGAGGTGGCCGATGCTGATCCCGTCTTGACCCAGTAGATTCGGCTCGCCATTGCGATCGCATGAGCGGCCTGATGAAGGGCTGCTCACTGTGCACACCCTTCAGTCAGCTGCCGTCTTTTGACCTGATCCCAGTGGTAGGGACGGCGTAACTCTTCAAAGATGCGGATTGTGACCACTTGCAGCGGCATTAAACAATTGCTGATCACATATTTGCCCACTTTTGTGCAATTTCGATTCTACAGATGCGTCGGCCTGCAGAGAGTCAAGCCGTGAGCCGTCAATGTCAAGATTGCAACGAATAAACTAGGAATGTTAGTTTACATTTGACAAGACCATTTAGGTTGTGGAAATAACTTCGTCTGCTGTATTAAGTCGTTAAACCTTGGGGAAGCAATAGCAATAAGTACCCATAAATCAGTGATATAATTATTCCATCGGTAGCGAGCGAGATCTGTGAACAGTTCCGCAGTCAGAACACAGTCACTACCGTCCACACCATTTAGCTTTTGTATCTTTCTTTATCATCATTCTGTACGCCTTGCGAGACTTCGGTACTAAGGACATCTGTTGTTTCCCAAGGTCTCATTTCCAACTCGTTGACGCAAACCCAGGAGTTATTGATTACTCGGGCTCAATAGAAATCGGCGCAATTGGATTTGGAACTAAGTTCGGTTTGGACTACATTGTGATACAAAATGTACGGAGCGTCAAAGCCGTCTGCCACTGGGCACCCTTTTGTGTATACAGCAGAGACGCAAACTTTGGTTATGTACGGCATCCACACTGACACGCGAAAGACGGGGGTGAATAAACGCTGCGTAGAAGAGCGATCGAGAATGATGGGTGGGTGCACATCGAAAATGCATGAACTTTGACTTCACTTGTGGCTTGGTGAAGTGCGTCTGGTTTTCAGCGTGTGGCACTGGGTGACTGCGGGTGTGCTGCCGGGTGTTATGCTGCTGGCTGCACACTTCCCGCGGCAGCGTTTCCTAATCGTCGCGTCTCCGATAGTCTGAATTTGGCTGGTCGGTACATTAGCGTGATTTGAGCTCTGAGATCGGCACTAAAGAGGGTGGCCGACAAGGACCGCGCTGCGCTTCCCTTGCACGTTCTAGTATATACGTAATCCGTGGCGCTTCCGACTTCCCAGCAAGATGTTAGATTGCAGCGCAGCGGCCTGAGGCGCAATGCTAACTGCCCGTTAGCGTTTCAAGGCGGCGGCGGCCATGCCGGCGTCCCTGGCAGGATGTTAGTGGGCTTCTTGTCCAGAGGCCTGAAGCCTGAAGTGCCTAAATCTGTTCGCATCCCCTGCGAGGGAAGGTGCCCTGATGCGCACCGAACGAATATTCCAGTTGCGGCCGGGGTTGTGCCATGCTCATGTCGATTTTAGGGTTAGGGTTAGGGTTAGGGTTAGGGTTAGGGTTAGGGTTAGGGTTAGGGTTAGGGTTAGGGTTAGGGTTAGGGTTAGGGTTAGGGTTA